AGGATAGATATAGACTATAGTAGGGAAATACTGTAGAGGAGATGGTGTACTCATTCATATTATCCTTTACTCTTTTTCTTGTCGTTTTCGATACCTTATAATGCATAAATTATATCCATTCGCTTTCAGTAGCTCTGCTGAAGAATGATGGATTGGCATGGTAATTCCATAAAATCCATCAATAACAAGCTCTACAATACACATAGGTAAAGTTATTAAGTAAATAAACGTTTGTGAGTAAACGAAGCGTGATTTCCGATAATAAAACAGACTAATGTAGATGTCGTGTAAATATATTGAATGGATACCGCCTACAGTTTTCATGTAGAACTTTGATTTGATACAAAACAGTCATCAACTATACATGAATAGTGTTCTGTTCTCCTAAATTTGTTTGATATAGATCACAAATGCAATCACATATGAAGATATCTAGAAACAATTATTTAATTGATTAATTTTCGTTTCACGATAGACAGAATTTTCCAAATAAAAATAAAAAAATTTCCTTGGATCATTGTTAAGTGATGTAATAACCTTCCTTGTGTTAGAAGATTTGGGATACAAACGTTTCTTAACTAGTAAGTTTATGATGCAGTTTGATTACTAGATTTAGGGCACAAACTGTTTAGTAGTGGGTTTAGAATACAAACTGTTTACTAGTAGGTTTAGAATACAGTCTGTTTACCAGTAGGATTAGGATATAGTTTGTTTACTAGTAGGATTAGGATATAGTTTGTTTACTAGTAGGCTAAGGATATAGTTTGTTTACTAGTAGGTTTAGGATATAGTTTGTTTACTAGTAGGATTAGATTATAGTTTGTTTACTAGTAGGCTTAGGATATAGTTTGTTTACTAGTAGGTTTAGGAGACAGTCTGTTTACCAGTAGGTTTAGGATGCAGTTCATTTACTAGTAAATTTAGGGTACAGTTCGTTAACTATTAGGTTTAGGACGCAGTTTCTTAACTAGTAAGTTTATGATGCAGTTTGATTACTAGATTTGGGACACAAACTGTTTAGTATTGGGTTTAGAATACAAACTGTTTACTAGTAGGTTTAGAATACGGTCTGTTTACCAGTAGGTTTAGGATAAAGTTTGTTTACTGGTAGGTTTAGAATACGGTCTGTTTACTAGTAGGATTGGGATACAGTTTGTTTATTAGTAGGTTTAGGCTAAAGTTTGTTTACTAGTAGGTTTAGGCTAAAGTTTGTTTACTAGTAAGTTTAGGGTACAGTCTGTTTACTAGAAGTTTATGATGCAGTTTGATTACTAGAAGATTTGGGATACAAACTGTTTAGTAGTGGGTTTAGAATACAAACTGTTTACTAGTAGATTTAAGGTACAGTCTGTTTACTAGTTGGTTTAGGATACAGTCTGTTTACTGGTTTAGGGAACTGTTTGTTTACTAGTAGGTTTAGGGTAAAGTTTGTTTATTTGTAGGTTTAGAGTACAGTCTGTTTACCAGTAGTTTAAGGGTGAAGTCTGTTTACAATATGTTTAGGGTACAGTCTGTTTACCAGTAGGTTTAGGATGCAGTTTGTTTACTAGTTAGTTTAGGGTACAGTCTGTTTACTAGTTGGTTTAGGATACAGTCTGTTTACTGGTTTAGGGAACTGTTTGTTTACTAGTAGGTTTAGGGTAAAGTTTGTTTATTTGTAGGTTTAGAGTACAGTCTGTTTACCAGTAGTTTAAGGTTGAAGTATGTTTACAATATGTTTAGGGTACAGTCTGTTTACCAGTAGGTTTAGGATGCAGTTTTTTTACTAGTAAGTTTAGGGTACAGTCTGTTTACTAGTTGGTTTAGGATACAGTCTGTTTACTGGTTTAGGGAACTGTTTGTTTACTAGTAGGTTTAGGGTAAAGTTTGTTTATTTTTAGGTTTAGAGTACAGTCTGTTTACCAGTAGTTTAAGGGTGAAGTCTGTTTACAATATGTTTAGGGTACAGTCTGTTTACCAGTAGGTTTAGGATGCAGTTTGTTTACTAGTAAGTAGAATACAGTCTGTTTACCAGTAGGTTTAGGAAGCAGTCTGTTTACAAGTAAGTTTAGGGTACAGTCTGTTTACTAGTAGTTTTAGGATGCAGTTTCTTTACTAGTAAGTTTATGATGTAGTTTGATTACTAGAAGATTTGGGATACAAACTGTTTAGTAGTGGGTTTAGAATACAAACTGTTTACTAGTAGATTTAAGGTACAGTCTGTTTACCAGTAGGTTTAGGATGCAGTCTGTTTACAAGTAAGTTTAGGGTACAGTCTGTTTACTAGTAGTTTTAGGGTACAGTCTGTTTACTAGTAGTTTTAGGATGCAGTTTCTTTACTAGTAAGTTTATGATGTAGTTTGATTACTAGAAGATTTGGGATACAAACTGTTTAGTAGTGGGTTAAGAATACAAACTGTTTAGTAGGCTTAGAATACAGTCTGTTTACTAGTAGGATTAGGATATAGTTTGTTTACTAGTAGGATTAGGATATAGTTTGTTTACTGGTAGGTTTAGAATACGGTCTGTTTACTAGTAGGTTTAGAATACAGTCTGTTTACTAGTAGGCTTAGGATACATGTATACATGTAGTTTGCTTATTGTAGGTTTAGGGTACAGTCTGTTTACTAGTAGTTTTAGGGTACAGTCTGTTTACTAGTAGTTTTAGGAATCAGTTTATTTACTGGTAGCCTGGTTTAGGATACATTTTGTTTACTAGTAAGTTTACAATACAGTTTATTTACTAGTAGGTTTAGAATACAGTCTGTTTACTAGTAGGTTTACGATACAGATTGTTTATTTGTAGGTTTACGATACAAACTGTTGACCAGTTTCGCTTCGTTTACTATTATGAAGTAGGTTTAGGGTAAAGTCTTTTTACAATCTGTTAAGACTATACATTTGTTTACTAGGTTTAGGGTAGCGTCTGTTTATGGTAGCGTCTGTTTAGGGTACAGTTTGTTTGCTACTAGTTTTGCTAGTAGGTTTATGATACAGATCGTTTGCTAGTAGCTTTGAGGTGGGTTTGGTTTAGGATACAATTTGTAAACTAGAAGTAGTTTTATGATACAGTTTACTAGTTGGTTTAGGATAAATTTTGCTTACAGCAGTTTGATGTACAGTTTGTTTACAAGTAGGTTTAGGGTACATTAGTAGATTATTAGTAGATTTAAGTTTCATTGGCCTGCTCTTTTTCGATTTAATACTGTCGATGAATCTTAAATGTGTACAGCCTGTATCACACGGGGCCCCGGTTTATTGTCCCATCTGAACACCTTTTCATTTCAGTTCCCCTTACCTGCATCACTGACTGGGGGAAACCGGGTTGAAAAATCCGGGGGTATTATCTCGACCTATGCCGGGATTAAACTCTGGACCTTCAGGTTAGCGAGCAAGCGTCTTACTCAATGAGCCACCACGACTGGGCCATAAAAGATCTTTGTTAAGTATTGTGTATTTAGTACACGGTATATGATGACCGTTTGAAAAAATCATTTAGATTATGGCGTTATTGAGTTAAATGTGTGACGCATCGTGAAAAGGGAATAAATGATCAATCAATCGTGAGCAGCATTCAAAAAGTATTCTACTCCATATTCATGTGATTGGTGAAGGAAACTCTGTTTCTAGTATCTAGGGAATGAAAATAACAGAGGATATTGCATGTTTCTATAGATAAACACCCGTAGAAACACTATGGGATGGCAAACAATAATCATATTATAGGCAGTGTCTGGATAGCTGTAATTAATAGTTTTCCATCACTTCATACCATTACAAATATTACAATTATACAACTTCATCGTCGTCAACCAAGAGAATGACTTGCATGATGAACTTTCTAGAGCATTTCCATGTGCACCGACTGATCTTTTGCTTTCAATTTGTTCTTTTGACTGACAATCCTTGTAGCGTAAATTCACAAATGGTTTGGACTGGAAATTGAAACCACCTCTTGACGTGTATGGTGGGCAGATGAAACTTGCGTTACAGAAAGGCGTTGTCAGATCATGGTGTGATAAAATAAAATAATGAATTAAATTAGCCTAGTTGTATTTGTATTAGATTGTCATTTATAATCTTTAATATGCTACATTTAATAAAACCGTTCAACTATAATGAACGTCTTTCTGTTACAGGCTCATGTGTCTTTCCATTAGATGATTGTTGAAGAAATAGCGTTGTTCCTCTTCCCGTACCAATACCTACGACCATGGTGTAACGAAGATGAAACTGTCGAGTCAGTTCTTTTCAATTTCTCATCAGGAAATGATCATCTTTTCTTATGTTATATCATTTGGAAATGTTTCCCAAGGTAAGAATTCTGGTTTCTCTATAACAAACTAAAATTTCTAGTAAGCTTGTATCATTGACTTGCATTGATGTCGCTGTCAGTCCAAGGTTCTTCAAATCTGGATAAAATCTATATTTAAATAGGCCTGTCATCAACACAGAAAATGAAAGGTGTTCTATTAAAATGGGTCAATTTAGTTTTATATTGTAAGATTATCAAATCGATTATCGAAACTATAAATCAAACTTGTTGAAAAAGACTCAACTCCCTTTAAGAGACGCGTGGTAATTTCACCTCTATGTATCATTCATTGTCGAAACGTCGTTATTGGTAAAGTAATTAGTAGGCTAGGGTACCTTGCTGCGAATATGTTTCAGCTACACGAAAACAGGAATAAGGACTAAATTCGCCGTTTGAAAAGATTCCTTTTCCCTTGGCCAAAATCTGAGGATCCCCAACCCTTTTCCACTTCGGCACTTCTCGTGGATTAAGTAACAGATGTGATTTATCCCATTACCCCATAATAATGTAGGCCTAAGTCAATTTTGGGGTTAGGTCATGTAGCCTAGGGAGGCTTGGGAGTAAGAATTGCGAATTTACGCAAGATAGATAAGAGCTGTGTTGTGTATTTCAGTTGGTAGTCATTTCAATAGCTATTCTCTACTTTCGTTTCTAACTGCAGAACTCTCCTATTACAACGAGAGAAGGCGAATAAGGCCTAAAGAATATGGCGCTGCCCATGGAATGTAATTTGGATTGGCAATATCGAGGTGAAGGCAACTGTAGTCTAGCTGTGGCGAATTCCGAGGTATATTTTACTTATCCACTTCATCCATCTAGCATTTTCTATTGAATAATTCATTTTTTAGCTGTGTTCACAGTCCGTGTTTTGAATGACAGGCGGAACAAAAATGTCTATTTATTTTGTCACTTTCCTCACCTCATCAGACAGACGGCTCAGACTCCCCCTCCTTATATTATAAATATCATGGTATGCATGCACCATGGACATAGACCTTAATATTTTAAGAATACAATTTGGATGTAGGCGTATCCATCTACACTTTGCTGGGTGAATATGATATCAAATGAGATTGCTCTAGCTGTTCAATGTTTTCAGTACACTAACCTTTTTGACCTTAAATTTTTCATGCCTGACAGGGTTACTGGCAAGAGTTTAGTTGTACAGTACATGCCCAGTACATGTTTACTAAGCATCATTTTTAAGATCTCTAAGATCCTTGAATATTATTAGCAGAATTGCAATTGTGATGTCGGTAAACACAAAGTTTAAAGGGAGAGGTGCAGGATTGTGCTTGTAAATATGTAGCCTATATGGTTATGCCAAGTGTTCCTAATTCCCTGTAAAAAAAGAATCGCAAAAGAGACCACCGTACCCGTCATTTCAAAGTCAAAGCATGAAAACAAGGTTCATCAGCATTCAGCAATCATGCCATAGACAGTATTGGATAGGCCAAGTACAGTAGTAGGCCTAATAATATTTGTTTACATCTTTTGTTCCTAGTAAATTGAAGCAATTGAATAAGCTAGTTATGAGATTAGAGGACTAAAAAAACCAATAGATAATGTTAATTTGTTTACTAATATTCCCTAGAGAAAAAAATAAGGTCATGTTACTATAAATAGATAGTATCAAAGCAGGTGTTCTTTGTGCTGACTGCCGTAAAATTGCATGACAAACAATATATATTGAACAGATACAATTTTCCTCATCTGATTTCGGATCAAATTGGTATAACTCTATGCCTATTCTTACAAATGTGAAGGGTGAAAAATCATATTCAAATGAATATTGTGTTTTCATTGGTAAATATAATTGGTTTGTTACAAATTGTTTTCATAATGTTTATTTGTCGCTGATCTCCGTTTGTTGAATGATCGCTGACGACCGAAACCAAGTACAAATATATTTCCGATCGTTTGATCGTTATTAAAACAAATTACCAGAAGTTTTAAATTTGTGTAGACGAGTTAACTCAAGGTTGTTGACAAGTTAACTCACGGTTGTAGGCGAGTTAATTCAGTTTGTTGATGAGTTAACTGTGAATGAGTTGACTGAACACTCAGGATTACCGTGGTCTCAGTAACGTGAATTGTACCACTAAGCTTACCGTAGAAATTTGAGACTTCAAATCCAAGTTAATCCACAATTATCTATGATTGAAAGTTATCTGAGGAGTTGTCACGAACAGACTTCAATATTTGAATATTTTTTGATGACATCATGTGTATACAACAGAGTAAATTCAATTATCCTGTCCCACTTCGTCTACGCACGGCTGCGACCAAAGATGTCAGGGACTACATCAACAAGACGTTCATTTTCGGATACCCCGATTTTTAGAAAGAAGATAAGCTTGTGAAGGAAATGAATAAAAAGTTAAATTTCTTGATTGAGGTCTATTTGAAGGAATTATGCCATTTTCGTCCAGATTTAGTAGTTCTGAAGACTATTTACATACATTCAAAGCCAAATCAACCCCCCAAAATGCCCCACCTGTCCTGTGGAATTGCAAGAAACTATGTCTGAAAATTGTAATGGTGCAAATTGATGCTACCATAAAATCCTGGATGGATGTCTTGCTTGAGAGTTCATTTGAATTTTGGTATCAATTTTCAAATTGCTCAGAAAATTGTGTTTGATTCTGACCATATCTTAACTTTATTATAGGAAAAGAAAGTTTTTCGTTTTGTTAAGAATTATTTCACTCAACAGTTAGAGGCTATATCCAGTAAATCATTAGAAAGTCGAAATCAATCTATAGATGTTATAGAAGAAGAGTTAAAGAAGGTTATAGACTATGTCAAAAATGTTATGCAACCATTGTTATCCAAGAAATTTGTACAAATACCAGTAAGTGTGTTTTTAATGCATTTGTCCTCCATAGGTTGATTGGCTACTACCAGTTTAGTAATATTTCAATGATATGGTAGTATGTAATGTATGTAACTCTCAGATTACACGTAAAAAAGATCGAAATTGGATGATAATCTTTGACAGTTTAATTTTATTTACTTCTGGTATACATGAATTTAGACCTTATAAATTTTCTTGATAGGTATTATGTAAAGTAAAAGATGGAATCCCTAAAGAAGCAGAACTGATGGTGACACCTTCTAGACCAGGTAAGTCATACATAATGTAAATGAAGTTATAGGGCAGGTGCACGGTAACTTGGTCACATTATACAGGCACAAGGTATTTTGGTCACAGTAATACAGACACAATGTATTTTGGTCACAGTAATACGGGACAAGATATTATGATCTCAGTAATACAGGCACAAGGTATTGTAATCTCAGTAATACAGGCACAAAGTATTTTGGTCACAGTAATACGGGCACTAGGTATTTTGGTCACAGTAATACGGGCACAATGTATTTTGGTCACAGTAATATGGGTACCAGATATTTTGGTCACAGTAATACAGGCACAAGGTGTTTTAGTAACAGTGATACAGGCACAAGGTATTTTAGTAATAGTAATACAGGCACAAGGTATTTTGGTCACAGTAGTACAGGCACAAGGTATTTTGGTCACAGTAATACAGGCACAAGGTATTTTGGTCACAGTAATACAGGCACAAGGTATTTTGGTCACAGAAATACAAGCACAAGGTATTTTGGTCACAGAAATACAAGCACAAGGTATTTTGGTCACAGAAATACAGGCACAAGGTATTTTGGTCACAGTAATACAGGCACAAGGTATTTTGGTCACAGTAATACAGGCACACAGTATTTTTGTCATAGTAATACGGGCACAAGGTATATGATCTCAGTAATACAGGCACAAGGTATTTTGGTCACAGAAATACAGGCACAAGGTATTTTGGTCACAGTAATACGCGCACAAGGTATTTTGGTCACAGTAATACGAGCACAATGTATTTTGGTCACAGTAATACGGGCACAAGGTATCTTGGTCACAGTAATACGGGCACACAGTATTTTTGTCATAGTAATACGGGGACAAGGTATTATGATCTCAGTAATACAGGCACAAGGTATTTTGGTCACAGAAATACAGGCACAAGGTATTTTGGTCACAGAAATACAGGCACAAGGTATTTTGGTCACAGAAATACAGGCACAAGGTATTTCGGTCACAGAAATACCGGCACAAGGTATTTTGGTCACAGTTACATTTACCCCTCGTAATCGATAATTACTCTCATAGCAATTACATGATTATATTATAAAATTACCACCGATCAGGGGTAGGTTATCTCTACTTCTATTTCAGATCGCGGATCAATGGGGACAATAGAGCGTAACAACTTGTCATCATCTCACTGAGCCTCAGAATTAGGGAGAAATGAGAAGTCAAAATCCATTGGTCATCTGAGGTGGAACTGTCTGGATACTGATATAATAGGGTGGGCCGTTCCAGGACTGCTCAGTGTCTAGACCATGTGCCCATATTACTGTGACCAAAATACCTTGTGCCCATATTACTGTGACCATATTTCCGGTGAACAAACTTCCGGTGACCAAGTTACCTATATCCATAGGGCATTGTGCAATGAATAATTTTCTAACCCTAGCTTTGTTAATATGATGCTGCCTACATGTAAAAAAAAAAGGTAAAATGAACTTTTCAATTTAATTGTGATTAAAGAAATAAAATTAGAATTATTAACAGTTGCAAGTAGAACAAAGGTTGAAAAAAATCAGTACTGCAGCAATTCCAAATATCCATGCCAAAACAGAAAGAAAAAACTACTGACAAAAGGGGGCAAATTGAAGAAAGTCAGGTGATTCCATAAAGGGTTGCTCTACCATAAAATACTGGTAAAATGTTTTGTGTTTTCTCTTTCAATATTTGATTTGCATCTGTAGGTCATAGAAGATGTAAAAGTCAGGATAATGTTGATACTTCAGCCAGAACAGCATTAGTACTTCCAGATCTATGTTTTTTACCAGGCAATATAATGTCACCATGTACATCATCTAATATATCTGACACACCTACTATTAGTATTGAAATAAAGGTAAACATTTTTCTCTATCCTTTGATCACTGTATTTATCAAAGGGCAGTAACGGTATGCAAAATTTTCTTTTTTCAAAAACGTCGTAAATTATACCTAAAAATATTTCTAAAATACGCTATTTACATTTATGTATCTACTTTGTTTTAAAAGGTTAGATTGTAAAAAGCATCTGTATCTAGAAGAATACAGTGACAAGACTGTCCCCATCAACCTATTTACCAGCAATAAAGAAATCTAAAGTTGCCAGAATTTGAGCTTTGTTAAAATAACAACAAAAGCAGGGTGGTCTCTTTCATCTTGAAAATCATAGGATAGCATGTGACTTACTTTGTCAAATTTGAGAATACACATATTTAGCTTAATTCTTTGTTTCAGCTCTTGACTTTTTTCCACCGAATATTGTCTGATCAATGGATTTACAAAGATTTATGTGGACATATTTCCAGCGTTTGTGTATAATTATTAATTTTATGTTCACACATTTTACAATAGAAAGATTTTGGATATTTCAGCCCAAAAAGGGATTTTTACCGACATCTGATGATATTGATAATACATCATTAAGACATCAAGTATGTAAATATTGTATGCATCAAAGGCTGAAGGTAAGCATTGTACGATGACTCCTCATTCCCTTCCATTTTTATACACCCACATGAAATGGGGGGCGTATATTGTCGTCACCCATGTCCGTCTGTCCGTCCACAATTGCTCGTAAATAGGGTTTGTAAATGAATGTTTGTAATCACCCAAGGATGAAACCTATTTAAAATCAGAAAGATCGAAAAATAATTAGTATGAGTTATTGCCGTTGTTCTTGAAAACACGTTCAATTTTAGCTTGTAAACACTCTAGAAGGCTCAATTCTTAAAGGATTTTGACGAAACTTGGTGTGAGTGTTTGTAATCACCCAAGGATAAACCCTATCGAAAATCAGAAAAATAAAAAGATATTTAGTATGAGTTATTGCCCTTGATCTTGAAAACTCGTTCAATTTGTAGCTCGTGAAAACTCTAGAAGGCATGATTCTTGCCGGATTTTGACAAAACTTGGTTTTATTATTCAGTACCGCACTGAAGATTGAATATTTGTCTTCTAGAGTTTTCACGTTTTCAAGAACAAGGGCAATAACTCATACTCAATATTATTCAGTATCACCCTAAAGAGTTCAAAAGAAGTGTATGACTGAAGGTTGAATATTTCATACTGGCGATTGTTACTGTACTGCTAAATATTTTTATTCAAAATCAAAGCTGCCAGTGGGCATATATTACCTTGCCTGGCAAGCTATCTTTACAGGTTGTAGTTGATAGGACCATAACAATATGCCGTATTGACCATATAGATATGTTTGATTACAGATAGTGTCAAAGTCCTGAACTTTTACCATCTGCCATCAAAAGTTCTTTTCCATTACAGATAATTATTTATGTATGACATACTTATTTCTATTATTACTGTTAATTTGTCACACCTTTGTCTTTCTTGAAGACTGAGATTCAACGCAGAAACAAAGGAGTCCTGATTGTTACTGTAAATAGTATCATAGCCAAACATTGTGCTGAATAAGGTTTTATACTGAAGTTTCTGGGATGTAGAATAGCATGGATATGGCCTACTTTGTTGATATACAGTTGCAAAAACGTAGGCTTCATCATTTAACTAGCGAAATAAAACACTATGCATATTAGTAAGAAAAAGTAAATTGCTCCACAAAACTGCTATGCAATACTGCCCATAGAGCAAAAAACTGCGAGCCAAGTAAAAAAAAAAGTACTTTCTACACTGTTATAAGGTCCTCACTATAGCATGTTTTTACTGATATAATGACTACTTAACAACTTATATCTGGATGAGATTATCTAAACCTAATGTATCGGTCTTATTTTCAAATTCATGCATAATATCAGTGTGTAGAACTAAATGACACAAAAAAAAGATTCAATGAGACATTTAAATGTAATTTATCATCTGAAATATCCTTATGTATAACAAAGAGAACTGATTCATCTGTTCAGATGGAAACATCAGATAAATTGTTATCTACAGAATAAAGCTGTTGATTCTAATGAACGTAATAATGTGACTTAGGGGAGTTGTTTGCCTACTAATGTACTTTGATTGAGTACTAATGAGGTATTTTGGGTAAGAAATGTTAGTTTAATTTGGCAATGTGCTTAGTTAGTATAAAGAAATCACCGTGTTATAAAGGTTGTTAGAAACTGATCAAACTACAGTGCTTGTCTATTTATTCTGTGATGTGGTTAAAAGTTTAAGTATACATAGTCAATCTGTCAGTGTAGTATGTTAATACACCATCTTTTAGTACTTTATACCACTCAATAGTACTAAAAGTTCATAGTTAATGATTATTTCCTTTTGCCTCAGTTTTATTGTGTGAGATTTATTTCATATTTACTTTGCTTTTTCATATTCCAACATATTACAGGAGTTGTACAATAATTTGAACTAAAATTACTCTTCAATATTATTGAATTGATTTATCAAAGAGTTGTCTCTGTCCAACATACCATAGTCTCAGAAACAGGAATTCTTTAGCTTAGCTTATACTTAATTGTGTTCACAGCTCATCGCCTTCAAATCCATGTGTGTCCAGAATTATTCACATTTGGAAGTGAAAATGATGAGATATATAGGAATAAAAAGTGAAATTCCTAGTTTGAGGTAGAAGGAATTATGCAATTTTTCTACATGTCCAGTACTTCTGAAGAGTATTTATATATATTCAAAACCCACATCAATTCCCAAAAATGGAAGACTGTCCCTTTTAATAATGTTTTTACACAGTTTAGAAGATGGCTAAGCATGAGTTTATTGCATGGGGGGAAGCCATCTGGCAAGATGTTTACTCAAATGAACAAACAAATGTTTTCATTTTAATAATAATAAAAATAATTTGGAAAAAACCATGAAACATAAAAAAGGTTTAATATTTCCTATTGGGAAAGGTGTTTTTCAGAAAAAACATTCACATTTTTACTATGTTCTAATGAAATTGATCCTGTACTTTTGAGCAGAAGTTTTGAGGAAACTGTTTTTTTTTTATGTTATGTCTGGTAAAGGAAAAGAAAAAATCAAGTAAAATCATGTTCACATGTCAATTTGTTCAGAGCTGAAAGTGAAATGTCAGCTGGGAGAATGTAGGTCATCTTTGTTGCTGGGCAGTCAGTCTAATATTTTAACAATCACATATCTCACGGTCTTTGTTTACCAAATGGTCATTTTTGTAGCTAAGGATTTTCTGACCAAATTTTCATCAAACAAGGGAGATCTATTATTTGAGGCTGACCAATATTGACCATTAAATATTCTGGAGTTGCCACAAACAAACTAAAAGTACAAGGAAAACAATGGTTTGTGATTTTCAAAGATTATAGATATTGAAACAACCTTACTAATATGTCTGGTGTTCTGCTGTGAATGTTAGACAGTTTTCTAGAAGATCAGAATGTTTATTTTGTCCATGAAAGATACATTGTTCTTCAAGTAGTCTATATACTTATAAAGATATGTAGTCATCATTTACTGTTAACCTAAAGCATATTTTTATAAGCAAAAGAGATTTATCAGCATTTATTATGTTTGATATAGTTTTTCCACCAAAGTACTTTATCTGGCTGGGCTAGTTTTCTCACCATCCTGTATTCTGTTGGAAATAGTCTTTCTATCCAGATGTGACAACAAAGAAAGACTTGATGCAAATGAAGAATAACTATCATTTTAATTTATCGTGCCTTAATGTAGTGTGTAGTTAATTATCTTAATAGTCGCTGCAATATTTACCTTACCAGTTAATAGATCTCAATTAACAGACAGTAATCTTATTTTCATTTGATAAAAAATTTTTCTGAGATTGTTCACTATATTACGGTCACCTACAAATACTTGATCACATGCTAACTATAACAATTCAACATGATCAGATAAGTCATTTCTAAGATTAGGAAAATGTGTGCCAAAATTTCTGATGAATGACATTCTTTGTTCAATGTTAACTGTCTATGTTTATGGAAAGACACTCACTATAATATATTTATAGTATATATGTTAAGTAAGGCATCTTATCTTTTCTATATATTCTTTAGTCTCATCTATTACAGTAGTAATACATTCAAAATCTGTTGATTATAGTTTATGGGTAATTTGCATCACAAAATTAATTCAATACAAATACTCTTCTAATGAGAGACCACCTTCATTAAGAGACCCTTTTGGATTATTCCTCTGAGTGGTCTCTTAAAACAGTTTCTAATGAATTTACAACTATAGTTCTGGTTTACTCATAGTTTCTTTTTAATGGGGCCCGTTTGCCATCCGATCAAAACCTCAGTCTCAGAGATGGGCTTGAATAGTAAACAAATCATATCTCTTCCGTTAAAGAACCGCCAGGAATATTATAAGCCTATTTATACTAAAGTATGAATGAACTTGATGACATTGGATTAAGCGACAGACAGTATAATAAACAAATTTTTCTTTGTGTACAGGGTCTGATTGCATACTTTATAACTTTCCTTTATGGTAAAATGAAGAAAGGAGACAGTTCTTTCCTTTTATATTAGTTTAATTTCTGTTATGCCTCATCAACTCTCATGTTCTTATGGTCACTCTGACCTTCACCTTTCAACCTCTAGGTCAACAGCTGTTTCTGGGTAGAGGTCACATGACTATTGTTTACAAACAAAATGCTGAAGAAAGTGTTAAGTGACTCATGACTGGTTTAAACAGAACATGTTTATATCTTATTCCCCTGAGATTCTCTTCTTTAACCCTATAAATGGCTGTCTTGTCTCTTTCTTTGTGTTCTTGACAATTGCCAAAGGACAAGATTTATTAAATTTGTCTTGGGGCATGGTTTTTTATGTATTTATAAGTCTCAATCTCGCAGCAAGGTCTGGAACTCAATAACAAACCTTGACTTCATAGAAATTTTTATATCTCTTAAGAGAAAACTCGTGATCAGTATTCTGTTTTACTGTTTTCTCAGTGATATGTGGCATTAGACAGATGTTGTCAACAAAGTGTTCCAGTTTGGGATAGTTTTAAATGACTACTGTTGTCTTATTTTTGTGTGTGGTGTATCATTTGCATTAAACTGATAAAAAGTCATCTTTTCCTTTAAATTTTTCTTTACATACATGACATTAACGATATATTACCGTTTTGACATCCTAAATTTACAGTATATATATAACATGTTACATTAAGGGAAATAAAAGTTAAAAACTGTACAAAATTCATGGTTTATGAGATTTACTTGAAAGCTAGAAGACCTAAAGTCTATTTAAAACTTTTTTACCTATGAAAGCAAATCCAGCCTTGACACTACAAGAATATGTCAACCTGTTCTCTTATAAAGAAAGTAAGATTAATTGTTTTGGGATCAAGGGCAGATAATCAAATGTTAATTAAATGAAATCTGAGGACTATTTAGAGTTCAGATTGCAAGTTTAATAGTACAAAAATGTGGACATTTCCTTTTTTCATCCTTCAGAATCCAACTACCAACTACTACGACTACCAACATCTACCTAGTTTGTGATATCAGCATCTGATGGAAACGAACATTCATTTGTCGTCTACTTACCTACCTACCTTTTTTTTTATCCAAAACTAGTAGAGTAACTAATTATTAACAAGTACCTATTGGAGGTTCAATAGATGATAGAAGATCATATCATTATATATGTAAAGTACTTAGACAAATTCAAATCAAGATTCTAAAGTTTGAAATCAGATTGTTTGGCTATCTTGATTTTTCTACTTGAAGGTGTTGAGTTACTTCCCTTTATTTAGCCTGAGTTTGTGAAAAATGATCCCTGAGTGTGATAGAAGCTTAGTGTGAGTTTTGGTTAGTAGACTATATCCAGGATGATACTGTCCAGACCTAACTTACATACAGAATTTGAGATATTAGATGTTATTGATCATCTGTATTTTATTCTAAATTCTTTTCCTAGTTAATAATCTTTCTAATGTTAGCCTACTGCTTTCTACTGTTTTTGTTTGAATTATAAGAAAATTTAATGTAAATGTCAAAATGCAATAAATGACAAGTTGCAGGTTGTTCATGTGATATAAATATTTATTTTGACAGGTTTATATTCAATAAATGTCATATTTGTATGAAGACTGGTATGTGCTTTGTTTTACTTGTCATGTTGTGTGTCTCGTATGATGACCATTTTTTCTACTTGGAAGGATTTTAAAACAGCATTGTTGAATTGTTGTGGAAGAGTACATTATACTTTAAATTTCAAATTGTGACAGGTTAATTGATATAAGTGACACTATTTACAAAGCCAGTAAATCTGTATTTTCCAATAATTGTTAATTTCATGTTTTGTAGATTATGCATGGTGACAAATTATGTCTCTGATAATATAACAAAATGATATTTTCAACTTACATAGAATTTTTTTAAAAAAGGCATTTTTGAAGATTTATGTTATCTATAGCGGATATAGTAATGACTTATTCTGAAATTGATGCATGTTTTTATTGACTTCAAAATACGGATATAGCTTTACATATGGTAATTTATACATAATATTAGGAGATTTAATAATCTTTTTATATTTCTTAAATCTGCATTGTAGCAAGCAGACAGCTAGGAATTATTTTTTGCCTTCTAATTATTTATGATATTCAATTTACAAATAAAGTGGGATTTTCTTATCACAAGATGACAGTAGTTGACCACTAAATAAAGCCACCTATAACATTTTAATAAGTTCACCCCCAGAACTGATGGGGTTAAAGTCATTAAGTTTCAAATGACAGAGTAAATAGGCTGTTCTGGTGTTTTCAATGACCCTTAAGGGTCAATTTACTGTTATTTTATCAAAGGGTGTCAGTCAAGATTAATAAGACCCTTACTTCCTATGATTGTTATCTATGTTGAAAAAAGTCTGGTTGACAAAATCTAATAGTTTACTGTTAGAATCAGACAAAGAAATGTGTCTTGGTTTATAAGACTTTTTTATCTGATGTCAGTTAAGTTCATACTGAGTGTTTTTGTCTGGAAAAGCAAATACCATTTTAATTTGATGGTGTGAGTGAATGTTTAATGTTTAGGAGTGACCCCTACAGAGTTAGGCCAGGCTTGTCTTCCTTTTGGCAGATTTAATCCATGTCATGAGGGAATTTCTCATAAATAATTTTGTGAGGATGTTCAAACAGTGAAAAATGTAGCAAATAATCTTAAAGGGAAAGCAATTTTGGGGTTTGAGTTTAAGTTTTTTATGTATATAGTCTTTAGAAGTACTAGAAATGTACAGAAAATCGCATAATTAAAATAATAATAATAGCAACACAGTTAAGAGAAATTAAACATACATTTGATTGATGAAAGTTTTTTTTTATTTTTTCATAATTTATAATTATTAAATAAGTTAATATAATATATATATATTATGTTGCATTCTCTATATGCATGGTAAGATTTGAAAAAACAATTCCCTTTGTTTGCATAATTGTATCAAAGGCATCTGCATCATTGACTGCATAAAAATGGTCAGACACATTTTTCTATGCATGACACATATAACAGGGTGGAAAAAGTAAACTGAAGTTCAATTATATTGTAAAATAGGTTTTGCAAGATGAACATATTTCAAACAAAGAAACTTTTAGCTTAGTATTTTGAGATTGTCCCTACTGAAATATGAGAGAGACAGGTAGTAGAGGTTAAGAGTCAGTAGTTTACATTTGCTAGAATAGTCAGCTGATACAGGTTAAAGAGACAGATGGAAGTTCTGATTGTTGTAATTTAAAGTTACAAGTTCGTTTGTTAAAGCAGTATTTCAAATTAAATTCCTTAAGACAATTTTTCCAACATATTTCTCTTCCCATACTGCAAAATATATGCCTGTGATATTAAACTATTGAATAAAATGCAGGTTAAAGATATAGTCTAGGGAATTGATGTTACATTGATCAGTTGATACAGGTTAAAGAGACGGTCTAGGGAAGTTGATATTACAATGATCAGTTGATACAGGTCAAAGATACGGTCTAGGGAAGCTGATATTACAATAATCAGTAGATACAGGTTAAAGATATAGTCTAGGGAAGTTGATATTACAATAATCAGTTGATACAGGTTAAAGATATAGTCTAGGGAAGTTGATATTACATTAATCAGTTAATACAGGTTAAAGATATAGTCTAGGGAAGCTGATATTACAATAATCAGTTGATACAGGTTAAAGATACGGTCTAGGGAAGTTGATATTACAATGATCAGTTGATACAGGTTAAAGATACGGTTTAGGGAAGCTGATATTACAATAATCAGTTGATACAGGTTAAAGATATAGTCTAGGGAAGTTGATATTACATTAATCAGTTAATACAGGTTAAAGATATAGTCTAGGGAAGCTGATATTACAATAATCAGTAGATACAGGTTAAAGATATAGTCTAGGGAAGTTGATATTACAATAATCAGTTGATACAGGTTAAAGATATAGTCTAGGGAAGTTGATATTACATTAATCAGTTAATACAGGTTAAAGATATAGTCTAGGGAAGCTGATATTACAATAATCAGTTGATACAGGTTAAAGATACGGTCTAGGGAAGTTGATATTACAATGATCAGTTGATACAGGTTAAAGATACGGTTTAGGGAAGCTGATATTACAATAATCAGTTGATACAGGTTAAAGATATAGTCTAGGGAAGTTGATATTACATTAATCAGTTAATACAGGTTAAAGATATAGTCTAGGGAAGCTGAAATTACAATAATCAGTTGATACAGGTTAAAGATATAGTCTAGGGAAGTTGATATTACATTAATCAGTTAATACAGGTTAAAATATAGTCTAGGGAAGCTGTTATTACAATAATCAGTTGATACAGGTTAAAGAGACGGTCTAGGGAAGTTGATATTACAATGATCAGTTGATACAGGTTAAAGATACGGTCTAGGGAAGCTGATATTACAATAATCAGTTGATACAGGTTAAAGATATAGTCTAGGGAAGTTGATATTACATTAATCAGTTAATACAGGTTAAAGATACTGTCTAGGAAAGCTGATATTACAATAATCAGTTGATACAGGTCAAAGATACGGTCTAGGGAAGTTGATATTACAATAATCAGTTGATACAGGTTAAAGATACTGTCTAGGAAAGCTGATATTACAATAATCAGTTAATACAGGTTAAAGATACTGTCTAGGAAAGCTGATATTACAATACTCAGTTGATACAGGTTAAAGATATGGTCTAGGGAAGTTGATATTACAATAATCAGTTAATACAGGTTAAAGATATAGTCTAGGGAAGCTGATATTACAATAAACAGTTGATACAGGTTAAAGATACAGTCTAGGGAAGTTGATATTACAATAATCAGTTGATACGAGTTAAAGATATGGTCTAGGGAAGTTGATATTACAATAAACAGTTGATACGAGTTAAAGATATTGTCAAGGGAAGTTGATATTACAATGATCAGTTTAATACAGATTAAATATATGGTCCAGGGAATTGATATTTCAATGATCAGTTGATACAGCTTAAAGATATAGTCTAGGGAGAAAGTTTCTATAATAATCAATTGATACAAATTAAAGATACGGTCTAGAGAAGGTTATGTTACATTTATAAGTTTATACAATTTAAAAATACAGTGTAGAGAAGTTGATATTTGTTAAAGATACAGTCTAGGGAGATACAAGTTCTTGTTACTATAATAATCAGTTGATACACGCTAAAGAATATTGGAAGGTTGATGTTTTAAAAAATTAGTTGATACATCCTTAAAGTTAATTACTTAATACAAATTCTTTATTTCAGACAAAAGAAGGGAAATGGCAAAGAACAACCAACTACTGTCCATTAGATTTATTTTCTGGGTAAGTTAAGAATGATGTTTTATGTATGATTTATGTTAAATTGGATGGAGCTAAGTATGTATATGAGAGTATGTAGAAATATTAAAACAGAACCTTAAAAACATACTCAAAGTTTCAGAAAATATTTGATTATATGATAGTATGTATATGATAGTACACTTTATGAATACATTTAATTGAATTTAGAATATTTTTTTCTTTTATACTTTTACAGTTTAATTATTCACATTTTGCCATTTGTTTTTTGAACATTTTTACCAGGAGAAAGCTGATATCAGATTTTTATAACTACATGTACTGGTACATATAATTATCTGTTAATCAGAGGAAAATAAGTACTTTATTCAAGGATAAAACTTTTCCATGTGACCTTTTATTTGTAATCAATAAACTACCACCATTATATCTAATAAAATGTTTAATTATGTAGAAAGTAGAAATATCAGCCAGATATTGGTGTATAATTTTATATACTGCTTAGTTTTTATACGCCCACATTTCTCTATGTGGACGTATATTGTCGGCACCCCTGTCCCTGTCCCATTTGCTTGTAAACACTCTAAAAACTAGATTTTTTGATGGAATCAAATGAAATTCGGTATGTGTATACATATTCATAAAACGAAGATCAAGTTCGAATTTGAGCTATTTTCGACCGTTAGAAGCAGAGTTATTGCCCTTGCCCCAAAATCTTGAATATTTACCATCCGCATGCCGTGGTCCACTATCTTTATTTTCGTTCTTGTTATGAGGAGTGATTGAAAAGTTTTTGATAGGCAAGTTGTTATTGCTTGAATGTTACAAACTGTCCTTATTATGTGGACAGGTTTTAATGGTAAAAATCCCGCAACACTAATCAATGAAAATATCAATTAAAGAATTTTGGAAAATAATCTTATCAGGGGAAAAAGTTTGAAATGTGCTTTTTTTCTTGCTGAGTACTTAGTAAACAAATAGATTTCATGTAATTTCTGTGTCAAATAATGTTCCAGAGTCACATTTCTTGTATTATTGTCTTTTATGACAATAATGTAGAGTCCCTTGTTAAATTAAGCATTAAAAGGATTGTAAAAAGGTTTTCTAGCCTTTTTATACACCCACATGAAATGGGGGGCGTATATTGCCGTCACCGATGTCCGTCGGTCCATCCACAATTGCTCGTAAACACTCTACAAGGCACAATTCTTGACTGATTTTGACGAAACTTGGTATGGTTGTTTGTAATCACCCAAGGATAAACACTATCGAAAATCAGAAAAATTGAAAAATATTTAGTATGAGTTTTTGCCCTTGTTCTTGAAAACGCGTTCAATTTTAGCTTGTAAACACTCTAGAAGGCACAATTCTTGATGGATTTTGACAAAACTTGGTGTGAGTGTTTGTAATCACCCAAGGATAAACCGTATTGAAAATCAGAAGAATCAAAAAATATTTACTATGAGTTATTGCCCTTGTTCTAGAAAACAAAAAAAATTCAACATTTCCATCGAATTTATAATTGAATTATACACATACATACCAAGTTTGGTGAAATTCGGATAAGAAATAAGAAAGTTGGTAATGCGCATGCGCACAACGCAAATTCAATATTTCCTTCAAATTTAGAAATGGATTATACACATACATACCAAGTTTGATGAAAATCGGATAAGAAATAAGAAAGTTGGTAATGCGCATGCACACTGCTCAAATTCGATGATTCCATCAATTTGTGAATTTGATTATACACATACATACCAAGTTTGATGAAAATCGGATAAGAAATAAGGAAGTTGGTAATGCGCATGCACACTGCTCAAATTCGATGATTCCATCAATTTGTGAATTTGATTATACACATACATACCAAGTTTGATGAAAATCGGATAAGAAATAAGAAAGTTGGTAATGCGCGTGCGCACTACGCAAATAATGCAGGGTGTTCGTTTCCTGCAAAAATTGAGAAAGTAAATCACTAAAAGATGTAAAATGATGCATATATGATACAAGCAAAATCTTTTTGCATAAATTCACATACTATTTATCAAGCTCAGGCTTAAAACTTTTTACCTAGCCCTCATACTTCAACATGTACCAAAACTTAAAGCTTTGTATAATTGATCGACTTGTTCTATTCAGAAAGTAGATTTTCAAGGTCTAATTCACCAGGGTTAACAATTGATTCTGTCTTCTCATTGGTTTAAAACTAGACAGATTTCTAGTTTATATCTACCGTTCTATTTGATAGGTTGAAAAATAGGTTGAACATCATACTATCAACAAACTGGAGTATTTACATCTAATAGTACAGAATTACACACCACCTGCCCATATATCATCCAATCAAATTTCTCATCTTTGGCTAAATTTAGATTTTTTTCTATGAAGCAGAAATCTGTTGCCATGTGATTATATTCTCTAATCTGGACCTTTTGAAAGCTTGTAGTTTTAAAGCCACTAGTTTTTCTTGGTTGCTTTACAATTTCTATCCAAAGTTCACCTTGTTTTCTAAAACATAAGATTGATATTAAGAAAACTTTTGTTGACTTTAAAATCAACAAATTTGCAATATTCAATTATGAAGGTGATAAAATATTCTCTCAGTCAAGATTATTTGGAAACCATCAGTTTTGACCATTTTCATTTTATGTGAATCAGTACTGAAAAACCTGTGGGTACCTCACACAAAACTCAATCTCCAGTCATTTTAGGGTTATATATTTATGTTGGATGCTCCAGAAAAACAATAAGACTTTTCATTTCAGGATTTTTCATTATTTCAATATTTTGATCTCTTAATTATAGATCATGACCAACCCTCACCCATCTTCCAATCACACTCAAACAGATTACAATGTACAGGACTCTCAACTTGGAAAGATGACATTGGATAATCAACTTTCTTATAGAAACAGGAACTGATGGGCAAAATTAAGGACTAATGGACTGAAATAAATCCTGAATTTAAAATGGTGGTCATATAACCCAGTTGTTCATTTCAAGATGATATTTAATTTAAGTGTAATTACAAAATACTTTTGTATTTTTTGTTAAAAAATGTCTAATATCTACAAGGTTAAAATCTTATGACTTTAGCTTTGATACTTTATGAAAATCCTGAATTGAAAATTGTTATCGATATTAGTAGTTTTCGAAAGAAAAGAACCCACTAGTTTATCTTTCTACATTTAATGTATTGAAGTCAATAAATTTACATCTTCGTTTGAAATTGGTTTATCAATTGTATCAAAGTTCAAGTTTATGTTGGTGACACCGGGTGTTGTTAGTTTGATTTCTATTGATATGAGAGTACAGTACATGCTAACAATAAACACTGTTGTTGTTGATCTTGGCATGTCACAGTTTTATTATATTATTTAATCTGTAAACTAGGCTTTGACGTCACATCCCTATTACAATAGTCTTTCTTGTTTATCTTGAACTATTGCCAAGTGATTGTAATATGTCATTTTTAAAGGGACATTCTATGCCTCTACATAAATTTGTCAAGTGTTTTTTCCAATTAAATATCAATTAGCATATTTCAAGTGTAATATCAATTTTATGACAAGAATTTAATTAGATCAAAAATATATTTATATGTAAACGGTCATATACAATATACTTCTTGAATTGCCTTTCTGCATATTATATTTTCTTGAGAGGCAGAAAATTATTGCAGATATCACAAGACACATGATGTACATGGATATGAATTAGGAAGATATGTGATGGTTCAAATATTAAAAAACTGACAAAGTTAAAATCAGTCTTATTTTATAAGACATTTTATAAGATATTGATAAATTATTTGTCAGGTCATTTGAATATTTCCTTAAATTCATTGTGTAGGCTGTATTTAAATGAAAGTGTGAGTATTTTCTGTTGAAACTGGGGAAATAAACTGACTCTTATTTCCTTGTCAATTGATCAGCTTTATACTTTGTTGTATAGTGTAAGGAGACATTTTATAATTAGAATAAGGAAATAACACATATTATGACATGAATGCTTTGAATTTGACCACCATAAAATCTAACCATGAAGATTCCCCTTTATTTCATTTAGAGTTAAAGTTTTATAACAGTTCAGACATGCACATTCTCTGTGAATGGAAATCCTTAGTTTCTCCTAGGACACTTTAATTTTAATTTTTTGAATCTAAATTATTATGTCCCTGCTATCTTTTGTTTTGTATGTTTTCTAATTCTTATTTTGTAGTCAGAAAAGAAATCTATTAGATCTGGACTGAGAAATATTAATACTAATAATATATACATTATAATATAGTATATTGTCGTCACCCATGTCGGTCCGTTGGTCTGCCAAAACGCATCAAAATTGGCTTGTGAACGTGAAAGAGTCTACAGTTTTCATCTGATTTGAATGAAATTTGGTGTGATCATTTATATTGATGAGATCTTGGACAAGTTCGATATTCATGATTTTTTGATGAACGTTTTTTTAGTTATTGCCCTTGACTTAGCCTAAACGAATTGAAATTGGCTTGTAAACGCAATAGAGACTACAGTTTTCATCTGATTCGAATGAAATTAATATTAATATTGATGAGATCTTGGAAAAGTTCGATATACGCATATTTTCGATGAACGGTTTTTGAGTTATTGCCCTTGATTTATGATAAATGCGTCAAAATTTGTTTGTGAACACAATAGAAACTACAGTTTTCATCCAATTTAAATGAAATTTGGTGTGAATATTTATGATGATGAGATATTGGTCATGTCTTAAGTTGGCTATATTTCGATGAACGGTTTTTATTGCCCTTGATTTATAAAAAATGCGTCAAAATTTGTTTGTGAACACAATAGAGAGTATAGTTTTCATCCGATTTAAATAAAATTTGGTATATGTATATCTATAATGATGAGATCTTAGTCAAAATTGAATATGACAATTTTTCGATCAACAGAATTTGAGTTATTGCCCATGACTTAGTAAAAACTCATCAAAATTTGTTGGCGATAGAGGTAACAGTGTATGTCAGAATTTTATTAAATAATGTGTGTTTGTTTAAATCAACAATATCTTGCACAAATTAGATTTTTGGTATGATTTGACACAGATAGGTGACTGCCCTTGTTATACTTAAAATGTAGGTGGGCTTATATTGCTAGGCAACCACTTGTTTTTCTTGTTTGAAAAGTGCCTATTTGTTAAATGTCTTGATAAATTATGTATATTTTCCTTCACAAGGTGACTTTAAAATAAACAGATGTAAAATATAACAGTACATTAAATTGTTTCAAGGTTTTTATATTTTTTGATAAAAAATTTAAACCTAGGTAAAGTAACAAAAGAATTGAAATAGATGTTTTAATAGTTGAGTATGTGATGTACCAGGACATTCAAAACCTGTATTTTTATAACATGGTTTCAAGGCTTGTACTTGTGACCTAAATAATAGTTGAATTGGTATATAGGCCATTGTTTAAAATGTCTTGACAAACCTGTAGGCCTACCACTCGCCATCAGACGTCATTTCCTTCAATTATTAATTCAGGTTTAAGATCCTGTTTATTCTGTAGAATAGTTAACTACTGTGTTCATCAAAGTAAATGAAAGCCACAAATCAATTATAAAAAAGAGACAAAGAGACACACTAAAGGCATATTTAACAACTAATCAATTATAACTTCTTAAACAACTGTTATAATGAAAATCTGATTGGCTTTAAATTGTTACAAAATTAAGCTAATAATATTGTGTACAATTTTAACATGTGCAGAGGTTGTTTTTCTAGAAAATATTCCAGGGAAATGATCTAAGTTTGTCATATAGTACCATGTTGTAAAAGTGAACATATCTATTTATTTTAATCTTGAACTTTGTTTGTGACACAAAATTTACTGACAACTTAAACTTTTACAGTATATGATTTGATTTTTAATGTTTTTATTTCAGAAACAAACAGAGAATGAAACATGCATTGTTAGGTTTAATACACACACCCCAAAATAATCTCAAAATATGTAAGGTAAGTTCTTCATGTTACCCTGCTTTGAGTGTTGTCATCTCAGTTTTCTTCTTCTATTGCCTACAATTGTCAGATTGATTACTCAGAAATCTGCTATGTAAACATCAAGTGTTATCAGGCAGTGTTTGTGCACAGACTTTTTGATGATTCAAAACCTGTATGTATATATAACAGATAGTATATAGAAATGATAGTTGAGATGGAATTCAATAGTTTGATAGGTATAGGTAAAAGTTGTAAATGTATTATTCTATGACTGGTTATTATTTCAGAATGGTACAGAAGTTTATGGTGCCCACATCCAATCAGATCTAACAAAACTCTTTCAAGATTTTTTCTCCAATGATAGAAATAATAAGTAAGTTTATAAATACAATCAACTTTATCTGATCATTCTCATCCATTCAGTACGAGGCAAAACTTCATATGCTTTGTCAAAGAGCTGTCAAAATTTTGAACCACCGTGATCAAAAAGCATAGTTTTGCTTTGTAAGTGATTACTGCTTTGGTAATAAAGGTTTGCTTTGAACAGTTGTAAATTCTTATATAATTTCAGATGTATGTATGCTGGTAATTTTATAGACCTAGTTATTTATATTTTGTTAATGCCACAGTTAAAGGGAAATAACTCTCATGATACCAGCCTTGATCCTAGTCAATCTCAATCACAAGTTTGTTACAATTCTAAATATGTTGAAAAATCTTGTAATGCAGGTAGGTGAACTCGTGTAGTATGTTTTTAATATTTTTCAAATTTTTGTATTTATCTATGAAATGTATGCTTTGTCTCTTGGTTGGTTGGTATGTAACAATTTGACTCTGATATTACAAACTATTCAAAAGGACCAAACTGTTTGTATTTTGACTTTGTTTCATAGCAGATAAATCTTGTCTCAGGGATCCAAATGATCAATATGATATAATCTAAGATAGGAATTTCTCTAAAGCAAGAAGTTCACAATAATAAGATTATTATACAGTTAAAATTATTGCCAAAAACTTGTAACATTATGATTAATTAATAATTGGATGTTCTTCAACATTATAGAAAGAGAAAGTATGTTACCAGCAGATAGTGTATTAGAGAAGATACATAGTTTACAGTCATTAGATGAGTTTGATATAGAATTAATATATCCTATATATAAAACACTACAGTCACATCTTAATATTTACCCTCAACATAGGTACATCATACCTTCTTTAATACTGATCTTTTAATATTTAACAGAACTATGCTGTAACAATACTTCTAGCTATAATAAAACCTGGAGACTGGACTTTTGGAGATCAAGAAAGAATAGGATAATGCTTCTATAAAGGCAAAATTTCATATTTAGAATAACTTTGCTTTCCAAATTATTTGCAGAAAAGTAAGACTTACAACTCCATCTTACTTTATTTCTTTCAATAATTGAAAACACAATTTACTACAAGTTTCGACCAATAAGAGCTCTTGATAAGTCTTGCAGATTTAAAAATTGCGTTAACTGGCTTTAACACAAAATGTATATACACCTCTTACGTCTAACAAATGACGAATCTGGGCAGTTGGGTATTTTATGTTTAACTTTTAGATTTGAAATCCCGAAAAGCAGTTTTATCAGAATATTATTAATATCTAATTATAGAGTTGATTGGGGACTGGATGGTCCATACACAAGTGACTGGTTAACAGAGTCTATTCACAGTGAAGATTCTCAACACCTACAATCAGCTGTTATAAGAGTAAGTTAGTGATACTGATACTAATCAAAATAAAATCTTACTTTAAACATGAAACAGACTTATACAATCGTATCCTGAGTTGGTTTACATTTATCATGTGATTTGATATATCAGTCTTTGTTTGTCCAGTCTTGTCATTTTTATACACCCACATTGAAATGTGGACGTATATTGCCGTCGCCCCTGTCTGTCGGTCTGTCAACATTTCTTGGGAACAGAATAGAGACTACAGTTTTCAACTGATTTGAATGAAATTTGGTGTGATCAATTATATTGATGAGTTCTTGGTCAAGTTCGAATTTGACGATCTTTCGATGAACGGTTTTTGAGTTATTGGCCTTGATTTAGGAAAAACATGTCAAAATTTGTTTGTGAACACATTAAAGACTACAGTTTTCAATTGATTTTAATGAAACATGTTCTGATCATGTATATTGATGCGATAATTTGATGTGTTTAGATTATTGATGATGATTTTTTAAAATTTGGTGGAATTACTCAGCATAAATAACTGGCAGTAAATATATATATCATTGAATTCAAACTATTAAAATTTCTTCATTATGTGAAAATTCATACTTTAGTCACTAAAGACTGTTTTATCATTTCTGACAGCTGCCAGTGGGTGTATGTTACCTTGTCTGGCAAGCTATCTTGGTACAAATTATGCAAATTTATATTTTAAATTTCAGATCAAAAAGTTTTTAATATCAAAAACAGTACAAGATTGTTCTATAATGATAGCTATCAAACCATTAAATAAAAGGTAAATCTGATAACTGTGTTTGGGCCCCTCCCCCAGGAATTTTTCTTTTCTGTAAGTCAATTTAATACCTGGAAGATTTTCATTCTGTAGTTCTATACAGAACTATAACTTGATTATAATTGTATATTTTGGTACATTTTTTATATTTGTTGTATTTTTGTTTCTGGGGAAGAGGGACTGTGGATTTAGTTCAACCAGTCAGTAGTTGAACTACTGAACCTATATGATTATGGTGTAGAACACTAGGAGGTGTAAAATCTTTTTGGTTATTTTATGTTAACACTTCTTAACATTACCTTCTATTTCAGACCAAGTGATTCGATGTCTGTGATAAATTATCATGAACAATATTTCCACTATTCAATATCTATAATTGATCTAGATCCTAAACGCTTTGATAAAATACCAACATATTTTACTATGGAACAGGAAATGGAAGAGGCATATCAGGAGAATTTAGATAAGAGAAAATTACATGAGAAATCCAATGGTTGTGATCAGGGTAGAAGTTAGTCAGTGATATTTATTTACAGCATTAATCAAGTTTTTATTTTAAAGAATCTTGCGTTTATTTAAAAACTTTGTTTGTGAAACTTGTGAAGACATTGAGTATTGATTTGTCACTTGTTCTTTAATTTCTTTTTGTCTTTCTTTAAGACAATAAATAAATACTCTTACTACTTATTCTGGTCTGAAGTAAGGATTTAAACTAGATATATTAACACTATAAATAAGATTGGAAAATTATTTTAAAAATGAGTCCCAAGTTAAAAGTTTTTTTTCTGTATTTACTAGTCATATTCAGTAGGCCTTTTTTTGTCTTCAGTTTGCTTTTTCTTATCAAAAATGTGTCCTTTCATTTTGTGACATCATGCACTAAATTCATTTGAAACCATAAACCAATGTATGTTAAATTTAGTTTTTGTCAAATACCTTTTTTCCTAATAAAAGTAGGCCAGTGATTCTTACATATGTTTACATGTACATGTATGGTATATTCAGTGTAAGATGAAACAACATACTTTGAAATTTGTTCATGTAATAGTATACTATAAATTGATGTTTGTAGACTTATACCCCTTACAAAAATATCAGAATAACTTCCAGTGTATTAGCACTGGCAAATGAACTTATTTTGTTATAACCAGAAGTTATCCAGATAGAAAAATCTACCTCCAGAGGTGGATTTCATCTGGATACGATCCAGATAAGTGGCAATTCCATTTACATACCAAACTTCGCATCTTGCCTAGCTCCATATAGTCGCAGATCTAATATCTCCGATAGGTAGAATTTCTCTGTTGATCAGGATGTTCCATTTAATGTGACATGTTATCTAGATAACTTTTTTCGGCAGTGCGAAAGTGACTATCCAAACCGAATCGAATTTCTATTTGGTTATAACCAAATTCAATAATCCAGTTGTGCAGTGCTGAAGGGGTATAATAGTACCAAATGTTACATTCATTATTATACATGTACAATTAACATAAGGTAGTAATTTTGATACCAAAATTGTATAAATTCAATTTGTGCCATAATTTATATCTCTCTTGCCTACTTGCCCTTCTTTCCAAATAATTAAACCATTTATATATCGTACAAATATAAAAAAAATTTGATTGTTTTAAAGAAGTAACAATTCGATATGTGATGTTTCTAAAATTGTTATAGTATTATCTGCATGTGAAATAATAGAAATATATATATGAAAGGGAATGTAAAGAGGTTTTCTAAATTGTTTATATGTATCGGGGACACTGATAGAATGATGTTGTCAGTGTCCCTTATACACATATAAAATTTAGAAAACCTCTTTACATTCCCTTTAAGTAGGCAATATTAGAATCTTTTTAAGTGAGATATGTTATATGGCATCGTCATTCTGAAAAAGAAGTAATATCTTTTAAAAACAACCCAATTTTGAATATCATGAAAAAAACATCTCTTTCAAATATTAAGTTATTTGTTTAAATTGTGTAGATGATCTTATCTGGACAAAATTTAACAATATATCTTGATAACTACCATATATCACAATATGGCGAGATATTTCGGTATTTTTTAATATTCCTATAACGGTATTTATTGTAGTACTGGTAAATTGCGCTGCCCTGGCATTTTGTCATAATATTATATTTATTTATTATTACCATGGTTACTATTATCATTTTGGCATGTGATAAGCAAGCTTTAAGATTAAGATTTTATTAGTTTTCTGATGCTGCCTTTCCTTATTAATTCTTCACAGAGACTCACTAACTTTTAAGAGAAATATTTGAAATAATATCATATTTACTTTAGGAAAGCTTAAAACAAGATTGGAATTTTGTTTAAATGCCACACACTCACTTTATCTATGCAAAAGTACAGCCAACTTTAGTAAAATTGTTTCTTTATATATTAATTAGTGGAACATAAGAACAAATTGGATGAATTTTGAACATTTGTATTTGTCATCATAATTATGCTGATTAGATTTTGTTGCATGAATTGTGGCTAATAAATAACATTCAACTAGCAGTTTTAAAAGGAAATGTTTAATTTCAGGATGAAACATCCAAATACCAGGTATGCATATTATTGAGATAGTTTTTGTGTGAAAGTGTGTTAAGAATATCATACATATGCAGGGTTCAATTAAAGTGGAATCAGATCACAGTTTGGGATTCAAAATGACCCATTTTGCGACCAATATTTCTTTGATTAGCCAAAATTAGAAAGATCACGACAATCTGCAAATCAAATCAAATTGTATATTCAAAGGTTTACTACTAGAACATTTAAATTGCTACCGAATTTTGAAGAAATGTGAATCAAAATTTAACTTGATGAGTCAATACTAACATTTTCTGTGATATATAGCTAATCAAATTGTTCGATCTGAATTGAACCCTGTACATATGTATTAAAATACATTTTAGTTTTACCAAAGATATTTACTCAATAATCAAATTTTATATTATTACCTGTATATATGCCCCTCGTTTTGGAATGTTTATTGATGTCATTTTGTTACTTTGTTGTTATGTTTATTATGGTTTTTATCAACCGACAATTATTTTCACTTTCATTTATTTTGTTTTGAACCAACCTTACTTTTTATTGTATGGATTGAATCAAGAAAATTGTTGATATTTTTTAAAAAATGATATAAAGATATAAGTTATGACACTGCATGTTACTGAAATAGACGTAGTTCAAAATCCAATTTTTTGTCCTTCAAGATGTACTGACTCAACAAATCTCAAACAGATCAATCCCTATATAAGTCAGATACAAGGTGGGTTTGTCAAGCAAGTTTCCTCTATAAGTCTTGCAGGTGGGAAAGACTGGTGTGGGAAAAGCAAATAACATTTTGTGCCAACAGGCTGTCTTCTCATGTCAATATGCTTGATAAAATGTAGGCTTATGCTGCTATCCTGGCCTTTTTTTTCTCTAAGTGCATCTTCACGGTAGCAGACTGAGCCTTTGACGAGCAGATATAATATAGAATGTAAAACTAAATAATGCCAAAGTCACCTCTTGTATTATTTGATCTGGTTTCATGATTCAAAACACTCATCCTACACCAATAGGACCCAAGGTTTCATTTAATTCAATTAACTAGACATTATCCATATCATTCTTCTGAACTTCATAATTGACATGGAGGACATTAGTTTTGAAGATTTTTCTTGAAATAATAATTGATGGCATAATAGGTGGATATTCAGTGTAGTTTATATTTCTATCTTTGGAGCATCTCCATGCATTGGATTTCTTGCTATATTTAGACATATCAGATTCTATTTTAGAAAAATCATCTGGAACAAGCAGTTTGAATGGCATATTTAAGGTTCTGCTATTTAATGAATATAAATATTAATATTTACATGTAGTTGAATTTTATATTTGAATAAACTGAATGAAATTGAATTTTTATCTTATTTTTTACCTTATTTCAATACATGTGGAGTTTGTCTGAACAGGTTAGAATACCCCATTAAAATCAGATAGTGAGTTAGATATTTATGGATGAACATAAGACAGGCAAACTTCACAAACTATGATACAGTTGAGTAAGTATACAAACCCTGCAAACTTATTATACATGTATATTGGATGAGCACGACTACTGTCTGGGTAATATTGACTCAAGTCACATGTGTAAACAATATCTGACAGGTGTTTTTTCCAAAATGGTAAAGTTTTATTTTTTCAACTAAGTTTTGTATCAAGGACATATTTGTCAGTTAAGATATGATCGTCTAATTGGTGATTGGTATGTACATGTACAATTTATTTCGATCTTGTACGCCAAGATTAAACTTAAAGTGAAATGAAGATCAAAGACTTCATTTCTATTTCCTCTTTGAGATGTTACTTTGTGATTTTCTGAGAATCCATTTTACCGGTATCGTATCGAAAGTTTAAGAGTAATAAATTGCTTATTCTCATTTTATCGGAGCAACTACATAAGTTATGATCATTAGACTCTCTTCAGATCGAATGCAAATCAACACATCATATCATCATCATAACATGTTATGAATGCCTAGTCTAGGCCTCTACTCTACAGGAACTGACTTCTTCTTTCAAATATTAAAAGTAATTTACAGCTACAGGATGATCCTGAAGCTGAAAGACCTATTTACTCTGAAATAAATCATTCTCATGGCTGTTAAAGGCCTATAAGGTGGGAACGTAGTTTAAAGAATGATAAAAGTTTGATGATATAACTGAACGTTATCAGTTTTGATGAACAAAGTGAAATGATAAGTTATGTGTTTACAGAGATTGAGAATGCTGAAATTTTTACTTTATATTAGTTTATATAATATGTATAATTATCTAGAAGTTGTTACAACATGAATAAAAAAGGTTATGATGTAGTGTCATGAATTAAAACAATATGGCAGGAAATATTATAGATGCGCCTGATTGTTTGACTGATAGTGGAAGAAGCTCCCCAATGCCAAACAGAAAAAGAGAGATGAATGGATTTGAAGTGGTTGGAGACCAAAAGAATATTCGACTCCTTCAAGAAGCAGACGCCATTCTTCAAACTCTTCAACAATCGTTTGTAGTAGAAGAATTGACAAGAAGTCTGTTTCGGTTACAAGATCTGTTCCAAAATGGTAAATTAGTATACTGTAGCTTTTGCAATATTTATTTTAGACTTGAATGCATAATTTTAATTTTATAAAGGCATTGAGTTCATTGAGCACAATATTTTGATCTCTTACATACTAGCAAGGATTGTACTTATTTAGTCATACAGTCTATTTTAGTAAATGGTAAAAATATCACATAAACTGACACTAAACTGTCGAGAATAAAATAAAATTCATTTTGCTTCTGTTTACAATTTTTTGGTGCAATATAATATCAATATATCCTATTTGTAGAATATATACAGAAGTATTTAGAAAATAATCAAGTGTATTTACCAGTTTTATCTGTTATGAAACATCTAGAAGATTATATACATATACAATTGGTAAGAATGTAGATAATAAACAAAGAACTGTGTAGAAAGGCAACACTTCTCTAAAAAAATTAGCCCACTGAAAACCATTCATTTTTTTAAATGCTTGTGCTTGGCATAACTCTGCTAAATGAATAATTTATGAATGTGAATGAGTGAGCTAACCCAGAGCAATAACAAAGACAGTTAATTGGATGATTTGTATATTGTAGATAGGTTTACAGTTATTATGTCAATTTATAGCCACTAGTTCTACTCTTCAAGAAAACATCAGACATTCAGATGCTCACAAGTAAGTTTGATATCCTTATCCATTATCTCTAATATATCACAGGCAGGATTATATGAAAGCAGACCTTCAACTTAGCTGCATGGTTCAGGCTCATATACTTAACTGGCCTGATGATATCTGACAGGCAAATCTGAAACCATGGTTCAGGATGTATTCAAACTATGAAATGCAAATTTAAAGATGAAGATTTATCATTATTTTCTGATAACATCACATCATGAATTTCTGATTGATACAATGGAAGGGATGTAATCATGCAAGTTTTGCTTCCAACACATAAACTGATAAATTCAAAAACAGATTACTGAACTGTAAGATAATTTAAACTATGATATCATTGGGTCTTTAATTTATTTTAATATTTTGATTTATTAATAGTTTAGTTATAAAGATTTTACTTGAAAATACATCAAATACTGAACTTATTTTGTATGGTATGAAAATATTCTCTTCATTATTGCAATCTGGTATGTATCATTTTCAAGCTTTATATCTTTTCCTTATTACAACCTGGTAAGTTCAATATGTTTAGTCACATATCCTGTCCTCATTATAACCTGGAAAGTTCAATATCTTCTCCAAGTTACAACCTGGTAAGTTATCTTTCCCTTGTTACAACCTGGTAAGTTATCTTTTCCTTGTTACAACCTAGTAAGTTATCTTTTCCTTGTTCCAACCTGGTAATTTATCTTTTCCTTTTTACAACCTAGTAAGTTATCTTTTCCTTGTTCCAACCTGGTAAGTTATCTTTTCCTTATTACAACCTGGTAAGTTATCTTTCCCTTGTTACAACCTGGTAAGTTATCTTTCCCTTGTTACAACCTGGTAAGTTATCTTTTCCTTGTTACAACCTGGTAAGTTATCTTTTCCTTGTTACAACCTGGTAAGTTATCTTTCCCTTGTTACAACCTGGTAAGTTATCTTTTCCTTGTTACAACCTAGTAAGTTATCTTTTCCTTGTTCCAACCTGGTAATTTATCTTTTCCTTGTTAGAACCTGGAAAGTGCAATATCTTTTCCAAGTTACAACCTGGTAAGTTATCTTTTCCTTGTTACAACCAGGTAAGTTATCTTTTCCTTGTTATAACCTGGAAAGTTCAATATCTTTTCCTTGTTACAACCTGGTAAGTTATCTTTTCCTTGTTAGAACCTGGAAAGTTCAATATCTTTTCCAAGTTACAACCTGGTAAGTTATCTTTTCCTTGTTTCAACCTGGTAAGTTATCTTTTCCTTGTTACAACCTGGTAAGTTATCTTTTCCTTGTTATAACCTGGAAAGTTCAATATCTTTTCCAAGTTACAACCTGGTAAGTTATCTTTTCCTTGTTAGAACCTGGAAAGTTCAATACTGTTACAACCTGGTAAGTTATCTTTTCCTTGTTAGAACCTGGTAAGTTATCTTTTCCTTGTTACAACCTGGTAAGTTATCTTTTCCTTGTTATAACCTGGAAAGTTCAATATCTTTTCCTTGTTATAACCTGGAAGGTTCAATATCTTTTCCTTGTTCCAACCTGGTAAGTACAGTGAATATCTTTTTCTTGTTCCAACCTGGTATATTAAATATCTATTTTGTGTTACAAACTGTAAGTTCAATATATTTTCCTTGTTCCAACCTGCTAAGTCCAATATTTTTCCTTTGTTAAAACCTGATAAGTTAAACATCTTTTTTTTTACTAGTTACAACTTGGTAAGTTCAATTTCTTTTATTCTTATAAAACTTTTTATTTTTCTAATATTTTAGCTAGTAAGTTTTAAGTTTACTTTTTTTGGTTGATTTTATATTCTTCCTCTGTTACAACCATGTAATTTAATATCTCTTTCAAAATCTTGTTTGTAATGATTGAATAATAGTTATGTTTTATGTTTTAGAAGAACTGTGTATACAGCTAAAGAAAGAAAGAAAATGTTTAGAAGTATTGGAATTAATAGTTAAATCTATTACAACATTTCCTGATCATGAAGAAATCCAAATTAATTCACTCTTATCTTTAGCACATTATCTTCACTTTGGTAAGTTAATGCTAATTATTATTATGCTATTATGATATTTCTAGCCTTTATATTATTAAATTAGGCAAATAGCACTGATTCAGGTTAGTAATTTGAAATTTTTCATGAAAAATTTTGACTGTGTTAGCTTTCTTAAATTAGGGTGATTTTTGTTGACACCACACTGTTAAAATCCCAATGTGTGTTTAAGTAGTTGTAATGTATATTACATGTTTTATTCAGATGTTGAGGTAAATATTGAAGTATTGAATAAATATTTTACCTGTATTACTGAATCTCTAGCCCTACATTCTTCTCATCCACAAATTGTAAATCAAATACTGTTAGTCTTCTACAGACTGGCTCAGCATGGTAAGTCTACATTTTATTTGAAATGTGGGAACAAAACTTTCATTCCAAAATTCTGTCAATGTTGAAGAAGATGGAAAGGCTTAAGAATGTGACCCTTGAGTGCTCTGATTTAAAAAGAGCCTAGGTAACCAGACAAAGCTGCTATCTTCATTATATTGCAACAGTGCAATATAGTCAGAGATCAACTTCTAATTCATGTTATTTCATCCAGCTAAAAAAAGTTTAATATGTTAATCATTTTCAATAGGAACAATATTTAATTGGTATAAGCAGTTTTGTTAAAAATGTGTTGAAATAACTTTGATGTTATAAATTTTAAGATTGTCTTTATATATAACAATTGATAGTTGAAGGAAGAAACATATTGGCCAAAGAAAACATACATTTAAAAGTAATGCAGTTTGTGAAGTCCCAGTTTCACTATGTTGTTATTACTAGTTTAGAAGTACTTGTGGAACTCTCCTGTGTTGGTATGTATCTTGCATTCTCATTAAAATTGGTAAGACCTGAAACCTATGGAAAAAGTGTCAATGTATTTGCTCCCTAGGATATGGTGTATATTGTAAGTTGTGCTACCCGTCTTTATGGGTCCATTTTCCTTTTCCAATCTGAAGAATTTGATTAGTTAAATAAACAAAGATTATGAGGGTCTTTTAAATTTTCTTATGACAAAATGTTGTAAATTTTGTAAAAAAAAAAGAATACCTATGAACAATATTTTAGGTCTCTAACCTATGTAATAAATATATTATTATATTATTATAAATATATGAAATTGATTAATATTTAGAATCAGTACAACAAGATATGGTTCAGTCTAGATTTCTAGTAGAAGTTATGTATCCTATTCTGGTATCTAGACCTAATGATATAAATTTACAGATACATGGTTTAAGAATATTTGCTAATACAGGTAAGACTAACAATTTCTGTGAAATGGTAATTGTACAAGATTATTAATTTAAGATCACATTTTGGCAACCTACAAATTGATACAGATCTACATGTGATTATTTCCAATCAATGTAAATATCAGTTGTTTAACTCCAATAGTCTTTCAGTCAGTTTTGACTAATTGTCTTTTTTCAGCTTGTGGTTTGTTTAAAGAAAAGGAAAGTACAGAACTAGCATCAGAATGGACGAAAGTTATTTATTCATCTATGTCACAACAAATGGACAATGCTTACATTCAGGTATACCAATAAGTTATATAAAACAACTACTACACAGATTAAATGACATTAGGTGTCTGAATTTTTGTTTCTTGGTACTCTTTGCATGAGTTTTCTGAGAGTAACTGTGTTTTTCATCATATTTTAGGAGCTATGTTGTAAAGCATTAAGTGAACTATTATGTTGTAAACCTGAAGCATATATGTGGATTGGAGATAGTGCAGAACTTAGACAGTATGTATTTGTATTTTGTCTTCCTCTTATCAGCTACTAAGCAGGCATCTAGTTGAAGTATAAAACATAATACCCTAGTGTGTTTGGCGATAGTCAGAATTCTGTGAGAATATTAAAAAGGTTTAGGGTTGAACTCATGAGATTAAAAAGAGTCAAATGAACATCTTCTTACTGTGAAAAATTTCAATATCTTTGCATTTATCTTGAAAGACAACATTATAATAAATTATTCTGTTTTATAGGGACCCATTACATACTCTGTGTTTAGGAGCTTTATTGATGCATAGAAAGATACAAAGTGTTTTCACTTCTGCTTGTGAATGTTTTTTCTACCTGACAGCCGACAATGGTAAGAATAACTATTATGATTATTATTTTTCATGTATAATTAAGGAGATGTATACTCACTATCATTAAAAAAGCATAAAATTGAAAATCCATACATGCTCATCAAACTGGATCTTTGATTGTATGAACCATGTCAATTAATTAATCTGTGGTCAAACCTTCTTGGTTTATCTGTAAGCTACCTGTTACATATGTTAGGTGATCTCATATCAAATGAGATATACTTATGTTGGATCTTACCTCCATGATTTGAAATATTGAAAACTGATTGAGCTACAGCTGGCTCTTACCTGACTCTGTGGAAACTCTGTTTTTTTTGTAGATTGGTTGTGTAAGAATATGATGGAGAAGAATTCACATGTTGCTATAATAGAAGGTATTAAACAACATATAGACACAGCTAAAGCAGTAGCTGCTGGCTGTAAAGCTATCAGAGGACTTTGTATTTTCCAGTAAGTTACCGTGTTTTTATCGCTTTTTTTCTTCCATTCTGTGTTTATGTTTTTACTAAATTGCACTTGCACTCTGATGAACACATTTTCTTTGGTGTCTTATGAGTATTTTGGTACATTCACATTTTTGAACTAATAGATTGTCATAGTGTTTAAAAGAAAATTATCTTATCAACAATGTTCCAACTGATTACAGTGGTTGAAGTTTTTTGTTGTTGTTGTATACTTTGCTACTTCATACTATTTTGAAATCCAAATGTTGAAGCTCAAATTCTTTAGTTCTCAAAGAACAAACTAAACCTGTAAAACAAAAAAGTAGAGAAAAACAATGAAACCCTTATAAACAGCATCCTCTATGCCATCAACCCCTCTTAACCTGCATTTTATATTGGGCTGCTGGTTTAGAGGGTTTTACTGTACAACAATCAGCAAATAATACAATCTGAAATTTCTTCACAAAAAAGTATGAAGAGTCACAAAGGTTGAGAACCAGAAGTCTGTTTGTTGTAGTCCAAGATATCTTCAGGAAATATACTGACTATGATGATTAGGAATTTAAGTAAATATTTTCTGAACGTTAGAATAAGCCCCTAAACCCAGATATTTCTTGTATAAAAAACCGTCAATGGATCAATTTATTTATAAACCTAGTACTTAAAAAGATTTTAAATATTATTGTAGTGATGAAAATAAGCTTATTGTATCAGAATATGATGATATTTTGATGTTATTAGTGAAAATATTACGAATGTATAATCAAGATATTGGTGTATTATGTGAAGCTATTTCTACTATTGCATGTTTAGCTGATAATGGTAGGAGTAAATTCTCTTTGTTATTATGTTTGTAAAAGGGGTTTATCTCTATTTAAGGCAATAAGGTGTAAAACTATGATATATCATACACAACTTTGGTTTAGTTCTTTGGCTAATGGCGCCTAGTACTTTCTCTAAAATATTCATACTATACTTTGTGAGCAGATGCACTGTATGGTCCTTAATGAAATTTATTTTACTTAAATATTTGTTAATTTTAATGTCTTAATTAATATTTTATTTGCATTTCTATACTTTTGATGAATAATCCAGTTGATTGTTAATATGTTAATGTAAATGGAAGATGCTAATTTTTTTTGTTTATTCCATGTTGTTTTTAGTATGGTTATTTATTGTGTACCAAAATATTATATTCTTTTTACTGACAGTAAAGTTTTCAGCGCTAAATAAGAGATTAACGCGAAATTGTTTTTTAATCCCATTTTATTTTCTTCTCACAATAGATGTGATACGTCATCAATGTTTAGTTGAGAATGTACATGGATATTTATTGGTTATATTGGATGAGTTCACTGAAGATGTTATAATACAAGAAGCTGTGATAGAAACCCTAGCTGTTATAGGTGGTGCTACTAGTGGGGCTGAAATATTAAATAGAGATGGAACTGTGGAGAAAATAATTAGAACTTTACTCAACTTTCAACTATATATTAGTAAGTACTTAGATATGTCCAATTATTCTTCTATACTGTATAGAAATTACTTTACTAATATTACTCTGAACGATACTAAATAACCATTTCTCTCAAAGTTGGATTTCATAGATTACTAATGAAAAATTGTTTGAAATTTGGCTGATTGATTAAAATATTGTTTTTTTTATTAAAGATATTCAGAAGAAAGGGATAATGACACTACAAATTATAGTAGATAATGATATATTACAATCTGAAGATATGTGTTCAGATTTAACACAACTTATAAAGATGATAATGATGACACATAAAAATGTTCTTAGTGTTCAGAGAGAGGTAGGGTATATTTTTAGAGCACTTATTCTTATAAACTTACCCTTCACTATATTGTTCCATCCTAGAAAAATTGGAAATTCTTTTATAATATGTTACAATTTGTGCAGCTCCAAGATCGTAAATAGTATTCAAGTTTATTTATGTCAAACAATGTCTTGATCAATTGGTCAAGTCAAGTGGTGGAGTTTTTTTTTTTTTTTTTTTTATTTATTCACCTATATAACCCTCTCCAGATGCAAAATTTTCACATGTACAGTACATAATGTTTAAATAATAAACAATATGATATAATATGATACATAACGTATATACAGATATCGCTACACCCACTCTGAGATTAAAGGCAGATTAATGTAAATACTATAAACGTTTTGAAAATAGAAGGAAATTGGGATCATTTTGGACACCATATAACAATTTGGATGTGTTTTTGAACTGAGTAGGTGAAAGGCTTATAGATTTGTATCGTGGATCTGAATGTAAGGAAGAAGCTTATGTTTACATCATTTGATTAACATAAAAACATATTAATATACATATCTATTTATTTCTAGGCAGTGGTGTTTATGCAGATATTAGCTGAAAAGGGTAAACGGATGAGTAAAATACTTGTAAATCAAGGTTGTCATGAGTTATTGTTTCAGATATTAGAAAAATATGTTGATGATAAAGGTAGGTTATTGTTTTTTTTTTAGCTGTACATAGAATATGCATGTCATTCTGATATTATCTGTGAAGGGTACAGTTGAACAATGTCCTCATGCAATTCTGACTCATTATTGATAGTCTTCACAAACAATTAACATTTACTTGGCTTATTCTAATAATCAATTGATCAAGTCACAATGTTTACATGATGAAAACTACACCAACATTTTGCATATAAACATGTTAGATTTAGTTGTAGTGGAGGTAGAGATATATATTTTATATTTTATAAATATATATTACTGGATTATATTATTTAGCTAGTGATTGTTTATATTTTACAGGATTAAATGAGTTAGCTATTGGATGTTTATATATTACAGGATTATATTATTTAGCTATTGAATGTTTATATATTACAGGATTATATGAGTTAGCTAGTGAATGTTTATATATTACAGGATTATATGAGTTAGCTAGTGAATGTTTATATTTTACACGATTAAATGAGTTAGCTAGTAAATGTTTATATATTACAGGATTATATGAGTTAGCTAGTGAATGTTTATATATTACAGGATTATATGTGTTAGCTAGTGATTGTTTATATTTTACAGGATTACATGAGTAAGCTAGTGATTGTTTATAGTATACAGGATGAAATGAGTTAGCTAGTGATTGTTTATATACTACAGGATTATATGAGTTAGCTAGTGAATGTTTATATTTTACAGAATCACATGAGTTAGCTAGTGATTGTTTATATTTTACAGGATTATATGAGTTAGCTATAGAATGTTTTTATATTACGGGATTATATGAGTTAGCTAGTAAATGTTTATATTTTACAGGTTTACATGATTTAGCCAGTGAATGTTCATATAATAAAGGATTACATGATTTAGCCAGTGAATGTTTATATGTTACAGGATCACATGAGTTAGCTTTTAATGGTTTATATATTACAGGATCACATGAGTTAGCTAGTAATTGTTTATATCTTGCAGGATAACATGATTTAGCCAGTGAATGTTTATATATTAAAGGATACATGATTTAGCTAGTGAATGTTTATATATTAAAGGATTACATGAGTTAGCTAGTGATTGTTTATATTTTACAGGATTGCATGAGTTAGCTAGTGATTGTTTATATTTTACAGGATTACATGATTTAGCCAGTGAATGTTTATATATTACAGGATTATATGAGTTAGCTAGTGATTGTTTATATGTTGCAGGATTATATGATTTAGCTATTGAATGTTTATATATTACAGGATTAAATGAGTTAGCTAGTGATTGTTTATATTTATAGGATTAAATGAGTTAGCTAGTGATTGTTTATATATTACAGGATTACATGATTTAGCCAGTGAATGTTTATATGTTATTGGTTGTGAACAGAATCTGAAATCAGATATGTTATTAGTAGCTTGTGCTAAAGGTTTTTACTTAGTAAGTTGTGAAATAGATAACATTCAGGACTCTTCAAAAGGTATTTCTAGTTAACAAGCCTAGTTCCGGTATGGCACAAAAGAGCATTACTTGTCTGTGACATCCATATTAACTCTAAGATTGCTGTGTCAGTGGAAAAGTGTAACATTTCATGTACTTACGCCAATGCCAGTTCTTTCAATTATTTTTTTATAGGGTGTAGAATGTTTATTACAAATTGGTTCTGATGTTAATATTGGTGAAGGACAAGAGACACCATTATATTATGCTGTTAAGAACCAAGATGAAAACATGGTGAAATTGATATTAGAACATAATGTATGTGATATATTAACATCATTACAACTCAGTTTAGATAAACAGTATGATTATATTACTGGTCTTCTATTATCATATATAGATTCAGACAGAGATCATCATAAAGGTAAGTCAGCTTTTATTTTTATCATAGTACTCAAATATTTTAACTGACATGATAATAAAATGAAGTAACAGGACTGATGTCTGATTGTTCAGATTGTTGTAATGCTCAGAACTCAGAAGTCACAGAGTATGTTTAATGTTTAATTACTACACTGTACAACTCTGCTGCTTAAATGGGCTTCCAGTAATACTTCTGATGAAGAACATAATGTTTGTAATCAGAATTTGAAAGAATGGCAAATTTTTCATTCTGTTTTTAATTTTGTTACTAAGTGAATGGCTTCCAAGGAAACAGAATTCCCATTTCATTTTGTTTACTTATCATTTATCATTATGATTATATAACAAGGTGTAAGTTTTGATGTTTTTTTCATATTTTACCATTTTGATATGTTATTCTAGCTGGTGTAGTGGTATGGAATGGTATAGGTTTAGGTGATCTTAAACCTGAGTGGTTTTTACCACTAATTGGTGGTGTTAGAGAAGGTAAAACAGCCCCAGGTCAGTATATTTATTAGATTGTTTTGAGAAAAGTCAATGGTATGGACACGATTCAACAGGGGTTTAGTTTACTTTAACTGTCATGTGGATTCTCAATCTTTAGAACAAAAACTGATAGAAAGCCCCAGTGTATGTTCTAGAAATGTGTTAAAAAAATAGCTTTAGGCCTACTACAAATGTTAAAATTCTAAAGGAAGTGGTTAGGAAAAGGGATGGTTGTATCTGTTCCAATTCATTGATAAGTAATGTGTTCTCTAGGTGTAGGAAGAAGGTTATCAACCAAAATAAAGAAAAGTGAACAGAAACGAGCTAAAAGATTAACTCGATCACCTAGTGATTCCTATGTAGATATTATGAAACATCATTGTTGGCGTATACCACCTAATAATGTAGATATGATAAAACATAGAGTTTCTATTATAAAACAAATTAGAGGTATGCCAATATTAATTTTTGTCAGTTCTGTGCTTTTTGATTTCCTTAAACAGATTCAAATTTCCCATAACAGGTGGACATTAAATGAGTTAGGCTGTCTATCAAAATGTATTTTGACAGGACATCGTTTGTTTTCATTAGCCCAATAATGTGGAGAAATTTGAATTTTAACCACATAACATTTGGTAACTGTATGATTTTATAATTCTTATTGGTCAATATATCATAGTTTTTAATAAAATGGGCAAAAATCTTTTTAAAACCTATTATATGGAAGCATATATCTTGTGATTCTAATGATTATGGTTCTGAAGCAGCATTTATATTTCAGAGGCTGAAACTCTGAAAGCTAGAGATAAGAAAACAAAGAGTTTACCTAAAAAGATCAAAGCACATCTAAGCAACATCAAGGACAATGGTTCTAAAAAATCTCCTCAAGGTAGTCCAAAGGTATCCAGTACATCTGATTTAAATCTGAGATATAACTCAACATCTACTCTACAGGGAGAACTACCACTTACAGAAGAAATTGATGCATCTTTAATCATACCCATACCAGGTATTTCCATGTTTCATTTTAGTCCAACATGATCCTAACCTAACAAACCAGATTGAACATTTTTAAGAGGAGACTTTTTTTTAAAGATGATTAATCTTATAATTTAGACTATTAAATCTTTTTAGTTTATTTCAGAATATGAATTAGAATAAATTTATGTGTTGTCTCTGACTTTTGATTATATTTTTAGATGATCCATTTTTTGAGAATAGTACAGATGAATGGGAAGAATGGAAGAAAACTACATTAACTGGTGCTAAATTTCCTTTTCATCCAGATGATCCCAGGAGACAAAGAGAGAAGAAAGTTGGTGGCATGACTGCACCTCCAGGTAAGTGTTAGCTGATTCCTGAAGGTGACTCATAGAGTAAGGAGTCTAGGATTTGATCCTTTACTTAGGATCCATGTGCTTTATATAGAACCCTCTACATTTGCAAAAACTAAAAGAAAGATTAATAATTCTGTCCTGGCTTAAGTTCCACATGGCACACTGCATGGCCTTGTCTGTCTTCATTAGTTAGTTGATCTTGATAAATGATTAAACTGTTTATGATTTATTGCAGTAAAATGGCAGCGTAAATTTTCTGCTAAGAAATCTGGTTATTCTCCACCACCAGGTCAAAGCAATAATTTTCAGTCCTGGGAGAGATTATCACCTGTTTCTACATCCTCTAGATTATCAATTTCTGTAGAAATGGTAGGTATTGGTTCAAATGAATTATGCACTATATATATAAAGATTCTTTGAAGAACTTCTATGTTTCAATGTATGTGTTAAATTTATAGAACATCTTGATAACAATGCAGATTTGTACTTGATTTTATAATGTGTATCTCTGGTTAATTTTTGATAAACTATTGTATTTAGGGTGTTGATAGAAATTACAGATCTAGTTATAGTATTGATGAGACAGGTATTATATCATTATTATAATATACTCATAATATTATATCAACATTTATTGAGAAATAAAAGTATACAGACTCGAATTATGCAATCCCTAGTTGTGATATGCTGTCTTGATATTTCAATATTTGCACCAGATTCTGTTAGGGCTTAGTAAAGGTATTGTAGGTCCATACAAATAAAGGAAATTTTTTTGATATTTCATATAACCAAATACAAAATATTAAAATTACTTACTTACATACTTAATCTTAAATTTTATTCTCAATAAGTAGGCTCAGGGACCAAACAAAAACTTCATTGTCTTGAGATTTTAGATATTACATATAAATTTCGGGATTTTATATATAATATCCCACAGATTTTACAGAGTAATAATCTAAACTATAATTGACTCTATACTCCCTTATAAAATATTTAGTCTAGATCCATGGTTGTCGGTTGAATTGACCACGTTTGTAGATACAAGTTGCACATCCTTGCCAGAAATTTTTTTAACCTGAGAATGTTTTGGATTTATAAACAATAGAGATTACGTTGTTTGACTCCAGTGGACATTATCAGGTGCAAGTTATGCTCGAGCAATGCGATTTGTCTTATATTTTGTATTGTATAGCAGATTTGGTAAAATGAGACAAAACCTAATAAATCACCTTTTGGTCAAGCGTGAGATATTTTTGGTTTTGATTAACAAGGTCCTGCCATATGTTTTAAGAATGGATAATAGAACATTGAATGCTTGTGGTAAAACCACTTTAATCATTAGTCATTTAATTATGACATGTACAATGGAGTAAATTAGTGTTTCTTAGAGTCGATCGAAATGAAAGAGATATGACTTACTTTCTCTCACTCGCAGTGTATAGGAATAGGATCATTATTTTGGTTTTTTTTTAAAACTCAGTAAATGAGTTCTTGTGAGTTTATAAATCAGATAAAACACTTTCCCTCTGGTATTTATGTCATTTAAAACCCTTTCCTTTGCAAAATCCTTCTGGATTGGGGATTTTGAATATCATAAAAACCCTCTGCCATGTTTTATCCTATACATAATTATTTTTTCTATGTTAGATTTGGAGACAAGTTTTGATGAAAGCAGTGATAAACAGAATACAGACTATCCAGAGTTTACCATTAAATCTCTCGATGTCTCTAGTAATAATATTAATACATTAGATCTACTGGTGGCGAAGGGAGAGATATTTCTACAGAAATTTGAACAAGTAACCAAATTAGATATATGTCATAACAGAATATCAGCTCTACCTTCTACTCTTACACAGGTTGTTACTTTTTATACCAACACTGCTGTGTGTAATTTGTAATAATTATTACATGTTGTATCAAGTTACCTTAAGACTCTAAAGTCACAGAAATTTAAAGGGATTGTAAATAGGTTTTCTAAATTTTTTATGTGTATTGGAGACACTGATTGCATCAATTCAAACTTTTCCAAATTTCAGTCAGACGTCTGTGGTTCCTGCAATTCCACTAAAACTAAGCATTTTATGACGTGACTAATATTCTTGTTTCATACAAGGCCCTTTGCGCTAAGTGACGTCATCAAACACTTAGTTTTAGTGGAATTGCAGAAACCACAGACGTCTGATTGAGAATCAGTGTCTCCAACACTAAAAATTTAGAAAAATCTTTACAATCCTTTAATTGGGTGATAGACATTTAGAAATATACAGCTCCATTTTGTACTGTTAAAATGTCCAAATGAACTGTACTTCCTATTTTTGAGTTGGAATCTATTTTTTACAATATTAGAAATCAAAAATGATGCTGTAATCCATTGTGTATTGTTTTGATATTGACTGTAATTTTTTGCTCTGGTAATTTGCTTTCGTAGCTGACTTTTCTACTTAGCTACCTAGAACATGTGTTGCATAACAATTATCAAGGTTTATGGATGCAAGCCACACAATCTAAAAACAAAACATCTGCAACAAATTGGTTTGTTAATACAGTGTATTGACCTGGAGACATGAGTATTTGATGTATGTATAGTCATGTCTGCTGTGTTATATTTATCAAGCAGTTTTAATGAGAGATATTTAACATCTGTTTAACTGACCTACTGACACTTTATCCTTAGTTCAATGGTACAGTAAGAAAATTAAAAAATTCTATTGATATTTCATGAGCAGACTAATACATGTTACACAATATATCATTGTGTTTGAAAATTATGAAAATTGAACAAAGTTTGTTCTCAATCCATATCAAAATTCAAATTCATTCTGTGGTATTTGATCTTGAAACATTTCTTTAATGAAATGGTGTTCAAAGTAATAAACAAACAAGAAAATGTTAATTTTACGATGCTTTAAAGAAGGGTTCCCTTATTTTCATTCATGAAAATGAAAATGCTAATACTTATATGAATAGAAAGTAGAGGTGTTCTGATGACTTGGAAAAATACCAGTTTGTCTCACATGTCAATAATTAATTCATACCGGTAATTAGCTAAATTAGAAGAGAATTACCAGCAGAATTCCAATAAGTGACGAATAAAAAAGGTCAAAAAGTCCTTTTTGTGTATCCAGACTGTACATACATGTACATTTATGATTGGTTAAAACCCTTAATTATATGCAATAAGAAGATAATGATATGATTAAGAATACATGGTTATTCATTAGAAACACCAATCAATCTAATAGTTTGCTTAATTTGACACTAAAAAAGGAGGAAACCCATCTTTAAAATAAGATATATGTAATAATGTGTTGGATATTCAACTAAGCTTATTTATTATGGATATCATTTTCAGAGTTGAAAAATAGAAAATGAAACAATCTTTTAGTGACATAAATATAAGGTCGGATAGGATGTTGTTAGTCATGAGTCAATTTCAATTTCATTTGAAAACACCTACAAGTAGATATCTCCAATTTACATATCAATTTAAAGGTTTTTTTTTTATGATCAATGCATTTTTATTAAAAGTTAGTTAAAAGGCACAATTATACTTTACAGTTGAGTACAGATGCTAGAATACATAGATTAAAGCTCAAAAGAAGGATAAATACAAACTGTAAGATTAAAGATTTACTTTCCAAACTGATTATTGACAACTTGATCAATGAAATTTCTCATGTTTCCAACATCTGTATAGACACCAGCTGCACCAGCACTAGCACATCCTGCTCCATAGGATACTACACCATACTGTACATATCTACCATTAATAGGACAGAATAAAGGACCACCAGAATCACCTTGACATGTATCAGCTCCTCCAATGACTGGACGTCCAGAACAGAGTTGTAGGTTAGGATTACTGGGTACCGTTTGAGAGAAATATCTGCTACAGTCGTATCCACTGTAGGTTGGGATGGTTGTTTCCTGGAGAATAGGTGATGTCTGACCACCTGTTGATGTTGTTCCCCAGCCAGCAGTTGTACATTGGGTTCCAGGAGGTAGTTTCTGTCCATCTCCAGCTTTAGCCAAACAGACTGGTTGAACACAGCTGTTCATTTGAAGTGGTTTGGCCAGTTTGATGATGGCAATATCATTCTCTTGTTCACCATTGGGTAAATCTCGATAGTTTGGGTGTTTTATGATAGCAGCGGCAGGGACGACCTGATCATTTGGTTCATTTGCATTTCTATAGTCATATTCACCAACATGTACTGATATTGTAGCAGGAGTGTTCTGTCCAACACAGTGTGCAGCAGTTACAACATGATAAGCATCAATGATACTTCCTCCACACATTGCTGATCCCATCCTCAATCTTGTCATCCATGGGTATTCACATTTTTCAGTTTGAACCCCACCAACAATTCTCATCTGATTCATTTTATCACTAAATTCTCCCATCCTTGTAGCAGGATTTGGTGTACTGATTCCACAGGTTTTTGTTGATGTGTTAGTTGTTGTTGGAGTTGGGGTAGGAGTTGGTGAAGGATTAGTCGGAGCTGTGTATGGTGATGGTACAGGTGTTGGAGATGAACCATATTGAGAACAGCATTGTTGGTAAACCTGATTACTGAGTACAGCTCCACTACAGTATTGAGCACTAGCTCTGAGTCTGTTGATGTAGCCACAATAGAAGGCAGTGGTTGATTGGCAGATGCTTGTTCCTGCTCTTTTCTGAGTTTCCTTAACCACAGATGGAGACTGTGTTGACAAGTAATTAATAGCATTATAGATATCGTTAATATTGCCATTTTCACCATCCCTTTGCATTCTCTGTACTGTGATTATTTTGATGATGGCATCTGCTGTATAACCTTGTCTAGCCAGGAATTGTGTTTGCTGCCACAACTGTTGATGTAGTTTAGGATCAGTAAAAGAAAATAGTTTCTGGTATGCTAATAAACCAGGTGACTGTATGAAATCTAGATTCCTTGTGTCTCTGCGTTTTCGTGTTTTTCCTGCAATTGTGTTGCAAACAAAATTATCATACATGCCCATTGGAAGATTTCCAAGAGTATTAGATGTCTGGGTATAAGGACTTGGTAGTGGTTGTGGTGATGGTTGTCCAAATCTATAGGGTGATGGTACTGGAGCAGGAGCTCTGTAGTAATTGTTGTAACTAGGAGCATAAGGTCGATATCCATAAGGAGTCGGTCTGTATCCATAAGGTTGGAATCCAAATTGACACGTGGCCACACATATTAAAGCTACAAAGATAATTTCCTTCAACATTTTACTTGTTTGGCTGTTGGAACTGAAGTCACTGTATATTTTAAAGTTGAAAGATTTTATGTTTTATGGTGGGTACAAAAACAGATGGTCATTTTTTGATGAAATGTTTTGTTCAAATAATTGCCAAACCTTTTCTCAAATGATATTCACTTCGTGACAAAAACAGTCTCTTATTATTCTTTTTAGTTATATTGATTTATGAATATTTTTTATTAAACTACTTTTTTACAATGTCATATTCAATAATCATTTACCTGTAATGGATCACCAAATACCCCTAAACTGATTTTGATTAAACCTTAAAAGGGTAAATTTGTCAACAAATAAGTTAAATTAGGAAACAGTTCCCTTTAACTTCAAAGACAAATTATACAAGTTTTGAAGTATTGAAAGAATGCCTTGCCTATAATGTAATTTGAATTTGTGCCTTGCAGTATTTAACTCAGTTAACCTGTATAGATTTGAAGAACAACTTTATTACAACTTTTCCTATAGAATTATCTTCATGTCTTCAACTTCATACTCTAGATTTATCAAATAATCAGGTAAATGTACTTCGTTTTACATTTATATCTTTAATTCTTTCATTAAACTTCTTTATTCTGGAATTATCAAAAAATCTTTTTATACGCCCACATGAAATGGGGGGCGTATATTGCTGTCACCTCATTCCGTCGGTCCGTCCGTCCACAATTGCTCGTAAACACTCTACAAGGCACAATTCTTGACTGATTTCGATGAAACTTGGAATGGTTGTTTGTAATCACCCAAAGATGAACCCTATTGAAAATCAGACGAATCGAAAAATATTTACTATGAGTTATTGCCCTTGTTCTTGAAACGCTCGTAAACACTCTAGACGGTGCAATTCATGACCGATTTTGATGAAACTTGGTATGAGTGTTTGTTATCACCCAAGGATAAACCCTATTGAAAATCAGAAAAATCGAAAAATATTTAGTATGAGTTATTGCCCTTGCTATTGAAAACGCGTTCAATTTTTAGCACGTAATCACTTTGATGAAACTTGGTGTGAATGTTCGTAATCACCCAAGGATGAACCCTATTGAAAATCAGAAGAATTGAAAAATATTTAGTATGAGTTATTGCCCTTGTCATTGAAACCGCTTTCAAATTTAGCTCTTAAAGTTAAACACTAAAAGGCATGATTCTTTCTGGATTTTGACAAAACTTGGTTTTATTATTCAGTCCTGAAGATTGAATATTTGCCTTCTAGAGTTTTCACGAGCTAAAGATTGAACACGTTTTCAAGAACTAGGGGAATAACTCATACTCAATATTATTCAGTATCACCCTAAAGAGTTCAAAAGAAGTGTATGACTGAAGGTTGAATATTTCATACAGGTGATTGTTACTGTACTGCTAAATATTAATGTTCAAAATCAAAGCTGCCAGTGGGCGTATATTACTTTGCCTGGCAAGCTATCTTTATATTTATGAATTTAGTTCCTTCATTGAACTTCTATCAAATGATCGCATATAATTTTAAAATTTTTTTCATAGTCACCTTTGAACTTGATTTGTCTTCTGTGTTTTTTTATGGAATGCAATGTATTTCTAAAATTTGTATTTTGAGATTCTTATAAAACACTAGGAAATACAAAAAGAGTTCATTGGAATAAAACCTTATTATTTTCTTGTGGGTTCTTTTTAATAGATAGAAGATTTAGGTGTAAAGAAGCCATATCCTGAACTTAATATAAAAACCTTTAAATTATCTTCAAATGGTTTAAAAGATTTTCCAAGATATTTGAACAAATTAATGCCGAAGTTGGAAAAATTGCGACTTGCAAAGTATGTCTGACTTAATAGTACAGTTGTCTATATCCATTTCTATCAACAAACTGATGTTAAGATCTAATTTAAAACCTAAGCAGTCAACTGACATTCTATACAGTGAAAAAGCCAACATTCAAGTGCATTTTTATACGCCCACATTATAATGTGAATGTATATTGTCATTGCCCTGTCCGTCCATCCACAATTGGCTTGTGAACACAATAGAAACTACAGTTTTTATCTGATTTTGATAAAATTTGGTGTGATTTATATTGATGAAATCTTGGTCAAGTTTGAATTTGATGATTTTTCGAACGGAATGAGTCGTGTACTTTGCCCATCATCAAAATTTGTTAGTTTGTGAGCGCGTTAGGGGTGAGAGTTTATGTCAGAATTTTATAAAAGTTTGTGTGTTAGATTATATGAACAATATCTTTGACAAATTAGATTTGTGACCCCTTTTGATATACTGAAAATTTTATGAGGGAAGTGGGCGTATCTTGCTAGGCAAACACTTGTTTTAGTTCTTTGAAGATTACTTTTCAAGTTTGACCATCTTTAAAAACTTTATCAATTTGAGACGGATTGTATAAGAGGCATAAACCATTTATTATTTTAGGAATGATTTAAAAGGTGCCCTAGATTTTCCACTTCAACTCACAGAAATAAGAAAATTAGATATTTCACATAATGATATTAGATCTATTGGTGATAAATTTCTTGTTGACTGTACCAAGCTAGAGTGTTTACAATTCTCCAATAATGGTCTAGGTGTGTCATTTTTATACGCCCACATGAAATGGGGGGCGTATATTGGCGTCACCCATGTCCGTCCGTCACCCCCGTCCCTCCGTCCACAATTGCTCGTAAACACTCTACAAGACACAATTCTTGACGGATTTTGACAAAACTTGGTATGAGTGTTCGTAATCACCCAAGGATGAACCCTATTGAAAATCAGAAGAATCGAAAAATATTAAGTATAAATTTTTGCCATTGTTTTTGAAAACGCGTTCAATTTTTAGCTCGTAAACACTGTAGAAGGGACAATTCTTTACGGATTTTAACGAAACTTGGCATGAGTGTTTGTAATCACCCAAGGATGAACCCTAATGAAAATCAGAAGAATCGAAAAATATTTAGTATGAGTTATTGCCCTTTTTTTTGAAAACGAGTTCAATTTTGAGCTCGTAAACACTCTAAAAGGGACAATTCTTGATGGATTTTGATGAAACTTGGCATGAGTGTTTGTTATCAACCAAGGATAAACCCTATTGAAAATCAGAAGAATCGAAAAATATTTAGTATGAGTTATTGCCCTTGTTCTTGAAAACGGGTTCAATTTTTAGCTCGTAAACACTCTAGAAGGCACAATTCTTGACGGATTTTGATGAAACTTGGTGTGAATATTCGTACTCACCCAAGGATGAACCCTATTGAAAATCAGAAGAATTGAAAAATATTTTGTATGAGTTATTGCCCTTGTTCTTGAAAACGCTTTCAAATTCAGCTCTTAAACACTAAAAGGCATGATTCTTGCTGGATTTTGACAAAACTTGGTTTTATTGTTCAGTCCCGCGCAGAAGATTGAATATTTGCCTTCTAGAGTATTCACGAGCTAAAGAATTGAACACGTTTTCAAGAACAAGGGAAATAACTCATACTCAATATTATTCAGTATCGCTCTAAAGAGTATGACTGAAGGTTGAATATTTCATACTGGTGATTGTTACTGTACTGCTAAATATTTTTATTCAAAATCAAAGCTGCTAGTGGGCGTATATTACATTGCCTGGCAAGCTATCTTTTATATTATATTTTGGTTACATTGTTTACAATACATTGTTTATGAATACAATTGTTGAGGCTTGTTCTAAGGGTGAGGCTAATATATTAGTAATTATCTGTGCAGAAAACTTCAGTAACTTTCCTCTCTATATACAGAGTAGATTGTGCAATAACCACAATTTAAACCTAGTTATAGCAGACCTAAGCACCTCCCACTCATTTATACTACAAAAGATCAAAGAAAATTCTTGATATCATGGTATAAGCTGTATTATACAATTCTTGTCAGATTACCCGACCTTGATGCTCATGAAATATAATTGAATCCTCAGGTTATGAATGTTGTTGATGTTTTTTATGATTTATTTTACAGAATATTTACCAAATGAAGCAATATCAGATAGTCTTTCAAGATTAAGTACAGTGATTTTATACAAAAATAGATTATCAACAAAGGAACCATTTTTTATCCCAAAATTCATTCTAGAACTTCCAAGGTTTATATTTTAATTAATAGGGTACATGTATTATTTAGAGTTTTAATTGAAAGGAGTATTAGATTTTATCAAACGTAATTTATTTACTACTAATTGATAGTGTCAGTATGTTTGTAATCTAGTTTATGTAAGTTATGAGTCAAAGGGTCTTTAAACTTTCAATATATACAAGACATAATTTATTAGTTTATTTTACATGTCTGTATGTAGGTGTATAGTGATTGAAAGGAGTTTTTTATTTATTTTAGTTTACGTACTATTGATTTAAGTGATAATAAGCTACTGGGATTACCAGCACCATTTTTATGGAAAACTCAACTATTAAAAGAGATATTTGTATCCAAAAATAATATAATCAAGGTAACATTATTTATGAACTTATGATGGACTTTAGGTCTACAGATTCACCAATACATTGATCTTTTGATAATTCAGTTCCCTATCATGGACCTTCCCGAATAAAAGATATAAAAATACTGATGTGGTCAAATTGTTGTAAATATCTTAAAGTTATATGAAACTTTTGAACAACTGCATCTGCTTTGTTTTAGATGAATTTAGATGGTGCTAAAAGTTGGAGTAAAGTGGAGAAATTTTATATTTCTCACAATAAACTCTCTGAGGTAGGAGAAAACTATCATATTTTACTGAATTTCACACTTTCGCTGTCTGTCCTAACCTTCATATATTACTGATCTGAAGATAGTATAAAATGGATAGATATACTGCTAGTTTCTATAGGTTCATCATTTGACATCAATATAGTTGAACATGAAAATTTCTTATTTCATTTCTCCTTTCATATTTATTTCAGTTACCAAAAGAGATTGGGTTATTGATATCACTACAAACATTTGATATAAGTCATAATAAATTATTGACTACCTTACCAGATGAACTTGGTAAATGTTCCAAATTATGGGAGGTAAGATATTAACTGAAGATCTTGATGCAGTACAACTAAATCAACAAATAAAAATGTTCAAAACTTAATGAAGTTAGAACTTGTGATTGGTTTATATTTTCATTATACTTTAAACTTTGATGTCATTCTTCTACATGACTTTAAGATCAAATCTAAAAATTGAATTAAATGAATATTGATCTCAAATGTAAGAAGATTTTTGTGTTTTTTGAACACTGCTGAGTGGCAATGGTGGCTGGAACATGTTTGGAAGAAGTTTTTATTGAATCAAATCTTATCAACTTGTGGTACAAATTAAATCGCCTTAAATAAATGACCATCAGCAAAACCAAGTTGCATGTTTACTTGTTAACTTCCCAATTATCCAGTACATTGATTATTGAACAGTTAAATCTGCAAGTGGAATAAAATTTTCTTCAGGTCTTTCTCTTTGTTGTTAGAAATTTCAAAGCTGGTAAAAATAATATTTTTGTCTTTGCTATAATCTTGAGGTCTTGAAATGTTTTAATATACCCACATGGATAGTATATTTATATTGTAGATGCCCCCAGGTGGATGTAGATTATCAGATAGTATATTTATATTGTAGATGCCTCATGATGGATGTAGATTATCTGATAGTATATTTATATTGTAGATGCCTCATGATGGATGTAGATTATCAGATAGTATATTTATATTGTAGATGCCTTGTGATTGATGTAGATTATCAGATAGTATATTTATATTGTAGATGCCTCATGATGGATATAGATTATCTGATAGTATATTTATATTGTAGATGCCATGTGATGGATGTAGATTATCAGATAGTATATTTATATTGTAGATGCCTCATGATGGATGTAGATTTTCAGATAGTATATTCATATTGTAGATGCCATGTGATGGATGTAGATTATCAGATAGTATATTTATATTGTAGATGCCTCATGATGGATGTAGATTTTCAGATAGTATATTCATATTGTAGATGCCATGTGATGGATGTAGATTATCAGATAGTATATTTATATTGTAGATGCCTCATGATGGATATAGATTATCAGATAGTATATTCATATTGTAGATGCCATGTGATGGATGTAGATTTTCAGATAGTATATTTATATTGTAGATGCCTCATGATGGATATAGATTATCAGATAGTATATTTATATTGTAGATGACTCATGGTGGATGTAGATTTTCAGATAGTATATTCATATTGTAGATGCCATGTGATGGATGTAGATTATCAGATAGTATATTTATATTGTAGATGCCTCACGATGGATGTAGATTATCAGATAGTATATTTATATTGTAGATGCCTCATGATGGATGTAGATTTTCAGATGGTATATTTATATTGTAGATGCCTCATGATGGATATAGATTATCAGATAGTATATTTATATTGTAGATGCCTCATGATGGATGTAGATTTTCAGATAGTATATTCATATTGTAGATGCCATGTGATGGATATAGATTATCAGATAGTATATTTATATTGTAGATGCCTCATGATGGATGTAGATTTTCAGATAGTATATTCATATTGTAGATGCCATGTGATGGATGTAGATTATCTGATAGTATATTTATATTGTAGATGCCTCATGATGGTTGTAGATTATCAGATAGTATATTTATATTGTAGATGCCTTGTGATGGATGTAGATTTTCAGATAGTATATTTATTTTGTAGATGCCTTGTGATGGATGTAGATTATCAGATGGTATATTTATATTGTAGATGCCCAATGATGGTTGTAGATTATCAAATGGTATTTTTATATTGAAGACGTCTCATGATGGATGTAGATTATCAAATGGTATATCTATATTGAAGATGCCTCCTGGTGGATGTAGATTTTCAGATAGTATATTTATATTGTAGATGTCTTGTGTGGTATATTTATATTGTAGATGCCATGTGATGGATGTAGATTATCAGATAGTATATCTATATTGAAGACGTCTCATGATGGTTGTAGATTATCTGATAGTATATTTATATTGTAGATGCCATGTGATGGATGTAGATTATCAGATAGTATATTTATATTGTAGATGCCTCATGATGGATGAAGATTATCAAATAGTATATTTATATTGTAGATGCCTCATGATGGATGTAGATTTTCAGATAGTATATTTATATTGTAGATGCCTTATGATGGGTGTAGATTTTCAGATAGTATATTTATATTGTAGATGCCTCATGATGGATGTAGATTATCTGATAGTATATTTATATTGTAGATGCCTCATGATGGATGTAGATTATCAGATAGTATATTTATATTGTAGATGCCTCATGATGGATGTAGATTATCTGATAGTATATTTATATTGTAGATGCCTCATGATGGATGTAATTTAGATTTATCAGATAGTTTATTAAAGGGTAGAGTTCGAGATCTTGTAGTATATCTTCATAATAGACTTAAAAAGGTAATCAATTACATACATTCCTACAGTGAATTATTACATTTGTGCTGTCACAATGCACAAAAAACAATGCTGGTTTTGAAGCTTCAGACTAAGCAATTCTTTTTAAATCAACAAGCTTTGTGCATGTCTGGTTTCTGTTTGATATAAGATATATCTTATGTCTTCCCTTCAATTAAATATAGACAACATTACATCAATATCCTAATACTCTTTCCCGTGTTTAAATAGGCTCAATATTATTATCGTATGAAGTTGATGGTGGTAGGTTTCGGAGGGCGTGGTAAAACAACTCTGCTTCGTGCTTTACGTAAGAAGTTTAAAGAAACGGCTGAAAATAGACCTACAGTAGGAGTTATTGTTGAAGATTGGAAGTGAGTTTATTACATACTGTATTTCATGATCTATAGTGATCTTTCAGTCAAGAATGTATTCATAATGAGAGACATTTAAGAGTGTTAGAACATGCAAATTTTCTTGGTTTATTATTATACATTATTATGCTCCAAAAACATCATTTAAAGTAGAAAAAAGTATATTGAAAAATAGAGAGAGGAGTTAATTCATGGCTTGCCGTTTATCAAACATTGTTGTGAAAATTTGCATGTTACATTTTTGTATTCAATTCATGTTATTCAGATATGAAAGACAAAGATTTGGCAAAAATGCCATGTATACTATAAGTACCTGGGATTTTGCTGGTCAAGAAGATTTTTACAGTACACATCAATGTTTTCTATCAAATAGAGCTGTTTATCTGGTTAGTAGAATATTAACAGACATAATTGTAGGAAGAAGATTAACCTCATACATATACAAACTTGTTCTCTGGGACATCATTATAATATCATTAATATCAATACATTGTTACTTGTTGAATAAAAGTCTATGGTATAGATCTTTGTGTACTGTGTCTTTAGGTAGTATATGATGTCACACGTGGTATAAGTGAAATAGACCAACTCCAGCCCTGGTTATCTAATATATTAGCCAGAGCACCTTTATGTCCTGTTATAACAGTAGGAACACATTATGATAAACTCAATCCAGGTATAGTAGATACATTTCATTCAAATTATAACTATATATATTTCATAATGTTGTGTGTAGGTTGACCAACAAGTGGTTAACTAGTGTCCAGTTAATAAAGACTACATGATTGTCACATGGTATGTAAGTCTGTGTAATTGGTTCGTATTTGCATCTGTGATCTGCAAGAGTATGTTTCCCCCTGGCCATTGAAGGTATTGTTGTATAGTATGTTCTTCCTTTAAATGAACTAGACTTAACTGTATTGTTGTTACCTTACAATAACATCATTGATCATAACAAACAATGTTAATTAGTTTGACTGTGATTACAATTAAAACTTTCACTATATCTTTTTCTTGAAAGAATAGAATGTTGGATTAAAACACTGATTCAACTCTGACAAATCATAATGATTGATGAATCTGAGTTTTGTCAGCTAGTAAAATAAAACATTAAGATTGCCATGTGACTTTTAATTGTAAAATAACAGTGTCAGTGGGGGCCTATTGACTTTTACCACCACCTAATATATTACTGTTCTTTAACTACATTGATTAACCACATTTTAACTGTAATTTTATAGCTGTATCTGATGAAGTGTTAGCTGAATTTGAAGAAAGATTACAATATTTATCTAATAAACCTGGATTTCCTCTTATTTCATTGAGAGCTATGGTAGATTGTTCTAAGGAAAATACTGAAATTGAAGAGTTAAGGAAAAGGTTGAAGGATATAATAGATAAGTATGTTTTCTATTGGATTAAATAGAATCTTACATTCCAGCCTCATTTTCACCAAAAAAAGAGCTCATTTTCTTCCATAGCCATTTTCACAAATAATATAGCTGCTTCAGTATGGCCAAGAAAGATGATACATTGCATTGATTTATTACCACTAATAGAAAACATGAGTTGATGTTAAATGAAGCAGTTGTCAAGAGCCTAATGTCATTTTACAATTATCTTTGCATGTGTTTTCTGTTTGTATCTATATGTTGTGTATCATTGGGTGTGTTTTCTGTTTGTATCTATATGTTGTGTATGTGTGTGTGTTTCCTATTTGTATCTATATGATGTGTATGTGTTCTCTATTTGTGCCTATATATTGTGTGTGTGTTTCCTATTTGTATCTATGTGTGTGTATGTGTGTGTGTTTCCTATTTGTATCTATATGTTGTGTTGTATACTGGTATATGTTTGTGTTTCCTATTTGTATTTATTTGCGTTCGAGATTGCCCGTACAAGGATAAGAAAGATTTATTATCATTATTATCTTTTTTTTAGTTTTAAAGTAAAAGGAAAGTTAGTTATGGGTCAGAAGATACCAGCAAGCTATGTGGTAAGTACTTTATTTAAGGAATGTTCATGTTGCATTTTTCAGAGGTTATTGTGAAGAGATTGTCTCTGTAGCAGCAGATTGGAAGGGGCTATATGAAAGAGTATTTTCAAAAGTATAATCAATCAATTTTATATCATTCAATATTCATTCATGTTACTGTTAACTTTTATACTAAAATGAATAATTATTTCTCACATATTATCTGTATTATATATGATATTTTATAGAAATTATCAGAACTCTTATCTGAAGAAGGTAAAAGTTGTGAAAATAATTTACCAGTATTACGTAGAAATCAAGTTTTGAAACTGGTGCAGAAGGCTGGTTTAGATTTAGATGAAGATGAATTACCTCAAGTAAGTTTGTGTCATATTTATCTGGTGATTTTTGTGTTATTCAAGAAAAATCATATGATAACATGAAAAGAAAATATACTTTGATATGAACATATAAAAGAAAACTATGAACACAGAAATATGAAATATTTTAAATCTTACAAAAATTAATGTAATCTAAAGCATCTGACTATGTCGATTCTCCAAATGAGATATGAAATCACAAACTGGCATGATCTGCCTTAATTCAGTATTTATTATGGTAGAGCTCAATTTTAATTATGATTTTTGTTTGAACCTAAGTGCTAAAATATGTATACTGATGATATCATTAGATAGGCATAACTGCTAGGGGTCATTCTTCAACCACAACCTTTATATATATATATACACGATATAATTGACGATAAGTGAGTAGATGTTGAATTATACAGTGTCGGGACCACTGATTAGTATCGTTATTCGGAATACACAGAGTGTCCGAGTACTTAAACTTTTTAAACTAGACTAAGAAGGAAATCAATCAGGACCAGAAAATGATGTCGGATTACGCAGAATGTCGGAATACTCAGATGTCTGATATCACAGAGTACACTGTATAAGTATAGTAGGTTATTTCTGATGCACAATATTATAGGTAATGTCTCCCTGAAGATACTAACTGAAACATGTAGAAGATAAAAGTTTAGTGTAATTTTGTTATTTTCTTAACTTATAGGTATTATTTACTTATCTATTTCAGGCCATAAATTTTCTCCATGAAACTGGAGTATTATTACATTATAATGAATCAGCTCTACTTCTACGTGATTTTTATTTTATAAATCCTGGTTGGTTATGTAGGATGATGGCGCAAATCGTTACTGTACCTCAAATTAATCCCTTTATTAGTCCCGAAGGTGTAAGTATACTAAGGAAAAAGTCTTCACATAACATAGATTGCAAACTGATTCATAACCTATGAGTTGAAGACACTCATTGGGCTAAAGGTATATGTAGGCAATTAATTTTTTTTCTCTTCTGTATAACCATATTGTATATTCTGTAGATAATGAAGAAAGAATCAGCTAAATGGTTGTTTACTGGTAAAGCTATCGATAGAGAAACCAAGTTTACTTTTCCTCATCATATGATACCACAATATCTTAAACTATTAGAAAAGTAGGCCTATGTATCATTATTATTTCAATTATACATACCCCAATATCTGAAACTATTAGAAAAGAATGTATCTTTATTATTTCAATTATACTTACCTAAATATCTGAAACTATAAGAAAAGTATGTATTTTAATAATTTCATTGATACATACCCCATTAGCAGAAACTATCAGAAAAGTATGTATCATTGTTATTTCACTGATACATACCTCAATATCTGAAACTATCAGAAAAGTATGTATCATTATTATTTCAATTATACATACCTAAATATATAAAGCTATTAGAAAAGTAAGTATCTTTATTATTTTAATCTTATATACCTCAATATCTGAAACTATTAGAAAAGTATGTATTTTGATTATTTCACTGATACATACCTCAATATCTGAAACTATTAGAAAAGTATGTATTTTGATTATTTCACTGATACATACCTCAATATCTGAAACTATTAGAAAAGTATGTATTTTGATTATTTCACTGATACATACCTCAATATCTGAAACTATTAGAAAAGTATTATCTTTACTATTTCACTGATACAAACCTCAATATCTGAAACTATTAGAAAAGTATGTATCCTTACTATTTCACTGATACATACCTCAATATCTGAAACTATTAGAAAAGTATTATCCTTACTATTTCACTGATACATACCTCAATATCTGAAACTATTAGAAAAGTATGTATCCTTACTATTTCACTGATACATACCTCAATATCTGAAACTATTAGAAAAGTATTATCTTTATTATTTCACTGATACATACCTCAATATCTGAAACTATTAGAAAGGTATGTATCCTTACTATTTCACTGATACATACCCCAATATCTGAAACTATTAGAAAAGTATTATCTTTATTATTTCACTGATGCAAACCTCAATATCTGAAACTATTAGAAAAGTATTATCTTTATTATTTCACTGATACATACCAAACTATCTCAAATGATTAGAAAAGTATTATCATTATTATTTCACTGATGCAAACCTCAATATCTGAAACTATTAGAAAAGTATTATCTTTATTATTTCACTGATACATACCAAACTATCTCAAATGATTAGAAAAGTATTATCCTTACTATTTCACTGATACATACCTCAATATCTGAAATTATTAGAAAAGTATTATCCTTACTATTTCACTGATGCAAACCTCAATATCTGAAATTATTAGAAAAGTATTATCCTTACTATTTCACTGATACATACCTCAATATCTGAAACTATTAGAAAGGTATGTATCCTTACTATTTCACTGATACATACCTCAATATCTGAAACTATTAGAAAGGTATGTATCCTTACTATTTCACTGATGCAAACCTCAATATCTGAAACTATTAGAAAAGTATTATCTTTATTATTTCACTGATACATACCAAACTATCTCAAATGATTAGAAAAGTATTATCCTTACTATTTCACTGATACATACCTCAATATCTGAAATTATTAGAAAAGTATTATCCTTACTATTTATCCTTACTATTTCACTGATACATACCTCAATATCTGAAATTATTAGAAAAGTATTATCTTTATTATTTCACTGATGCAAACCTCAATATCTGAAACTATTAGAAAAGTATTATCCTTACTATTTCACTGATACATACCTCAATATCTGAAATTATTAGAAAAGTATTATCTTTATTATTTCACTGATACATACCTCAATATCTGAAATTATTAGAAAAGTATTATCCTTACTATTTCACTGATACATACCTCAATATCTGAAATTATTAGAAAAGTATTATCTTTATTATTTCACTGATACATACCTCAATATCTGAAATTATTAGAAAAGTATTATCCTTACTATTTCACTGATACATACCTCAATATCTGAAACTATATTATTTGTTTTGACTATTAGATTTGAAATAGCCTTACCAAGAAATAATGATGAACTTATGATACCATGTAGATTACCAGCATCCAAACCTACACTTAAATTAAATGTACATTCTTTACCTAAAATTGGTATGTTTCTAGTTTATTTCTTATTGAATACAGGACTGTACAAGTACAAGTCTATCTCGTAGACTAGAAATGTAGTACTTGCAGTACTAAACATAAAGGCCAGTTTTTTTATCAAGCTTCTGTGTTGTGTATTGAATTTTAATAGTTTTTTTTTATGATATCAGAATGCAGTATATTAATTGATACCTATAACTATTGTATTTTAATACAAGAATAATCCTTATAAAGGGCAATCTCTATTGAATACTGGTATGTAAATGGTTGTTTCAGAAAAGATTCAGCGTGTTTATGTCATGCCCTCAGCACCTATTGGTTTTTGGTCTAGATTAATAACCAGACTAGTTGTATTTTCCCATAGTGCAGTAGCTGAGGTAAGAAACAGTGTATTTCTTACCATTCAGATACTTAGTTTTTTCTATTATTTTCTATCTATATGTTGATTCTCAATGTAGATTGAATTTACCTAAATACCACATGAGTGTGTGTCCCACACCTAAGCACAAGTTTTTACTGATCTATTTTAAACACAAGTTTTTACTGATTTAATTTTATAAAAATGTCCATTAGTTTAGTACTTTAATTTTTATTGTTAACTATTTAGATATTGTTACAATTACATGGTGAACCTATATTACAATATTGGAGAGAGGGTATATTTGTAGCTTGGCATAAAGTAAGTTTTTCATTTTACAAAGGCAATGGCTTGAGCCTATTGTCAATTCCATGGAGGGATTTTAATATGCATAGCTAATTATAAGTGCTTGGGACCATGGTATTGTCCGATCAGAATGACCAAATTTGAAAGGACCATTTAAACCCATGTAGAGATCAAATGCCAACCCTTAGGCTAATCAACAAGCATGTAACTGGCCTAGCCAAAGCTGTAAATAATATGTTATTACTTTCAGTATGCCTATTTTTTGGTTGATTGTATAAAGAATGAAGATGAAGAATTGCATATTACAGTTCCCTCATCAACTTATGGTTATAGGTAATAGTAGAACTCATTGTTTAAACTGCTTTAACAATTATTATTGTTATTCTCTATTAGCTATTCAAAACAAAAAGTTGCGAGACAAATTTCATAACCAGAATTTATCATATTAACCCTCATGTTTACAAATACAGTGCAACTTCCGTATGTCTTTCTCAAGTCACTACCAGTAAGGCAGTATTTTGACTATTTTAGATTATTAGGATATCTTGTTGATCATGTTGATGCACTAGTAGATGAATGGTATCCAGGTCTAACTGGGGTTGATCCATTATTAGGTAGAGAGTTACTACAGAAATTTGCCTTGTGTCATGTTTGTCAAGGTAAGTGATCTGTTTGCTGTATTTGTTTCTGTTTTTGAAATAAACCTATTTTGTTCACATCAATAGATTTTTATACGCCCACACGTAAGTATGGGCGTATATTGTGGTTGCCCCTGTCGGTCTGTCTGTCTGTCCGTCCGTCGGTCTGTCAGTCTGTCGGTCCGTCCGCTCACTCTACAGGCTATAATTCTCTATAGATTCTTCTGATTGTTTGTATGTGTGTCAATATCATTATGAAGATGTGCACTATTGAATTTGGTGATGATCCAATGATTTTCTTTAGAGATATCGCTTAAAACTCTGATTTCGCTTTCGTTTTTCTTTACTTTTTTGCCTTGTGCTCTCTCCACAGGCTACGAATCCCCATACATTCTTTTGATCTTTTGTATGTGTGTCAATATCATTATGAAGATGAAAACTCTGATATCGCGTTCGTTTTTTTCACTTAATTTGCTTGTGCCCACCCTAAAGACTACAATTCTCTATAGATTCCTTTGATCTTTTGTATGTGTGTCAATATCATTATGAAGATGTGCACTAATGAATTTGGTTGTTTAATGATTTTCTTCAGAGATATCGCATAAAAATCTGATATTTAGCTCTTTATCAAGCTGCTGGTGGGCGTATTCACTTGCGAGACTTGTCGTAAGCCTATGTTTTAACTAAGGCTCCATAAATATGTCTACTGTTGAGATGTTACAAGCACGACTGGCATGCTCACACCACTCAAAAACTCTAGGACTTGGATTATCTATAAAGGCAATTCATAGTAAAATCTAGATGGATTATCTAGTTTCATAGCAGTGAGTTGTCATTGTCTGATCCACTTTTGAGCTGATAGGACATTTGTATATTCCACAGTTGTGTATATAATTGGCCGGATAGGAAATTTGTAATAATGTTTAATTCTAGGAACACCAATGAGATTTTTGCTGTCTAGAATAATTATTCAATCAGAAACTAGTGATGAAATAATGTGTCCTCAACATGAGGGTAATATACCACTGAAACATCTGGTGAATATAATATATTGATATGAACATTATTCAATATGCACTAGAAAAGCGCAAGGACTGTTGATTACAAGTTAAGAAAGGCTCAAAGATTTAAACTCTTGCATTTCTTGGCATAGATGAAGATAATACCTGGTCTCCTACCGTCAGTAATGCATTGAAAAAGGGAAGACTGATATAGCTGTCCTCATGAAATGTCTGTGCATACTGAAAGTTGCTTGTTTGTAAAATGTGAAATGTATTATTTCATTTACAGGCCCCTGATGTAATGTTAACAGATCTAGAAAGTCATTTTCAGCTTGATTATGATCAGTTTAACTTCAGAAAAAGGTAAGTCTCTGTATATACAGTGTACTCTGTGATATCCGACATCTGCGTATTCCGACATTCTGCGTAATCCGACATCATTTTCTGGTCCTGATTGATTTCCTTCTTAGGCTAGTTTAAAAAACTCTGAGTACACCGACACTCTGTGTATTCCGAATTACGATACTACTCATTTTTGTTTTGTTTCCTGGTGTTTCTTTCTGAAAATTTAATCAGTATAATCAGTGAGTCTAATGTTTTTCACAGTACAGAGAATGAATTGGGTGATGGTAGTTTTGGTTCAGTGTTTAAAGCTGTATATAAAAACAAGGTACTATATGTTCACTTTAACATATTTGATAAAACGATTTTTTATGGGCGTATATTGTGGTTGCTCCTGTCGGTCCGTCGGTCCGTTCACATTTACCTCGTGCTCACTCTACAGGCTATAATTCTCTATAGATTCTTTTGATCTTTTGTATGTGTGTCAATATCATTATGAAGTTGTGCACTATTGAATTTGGTGAGGATCCGATGATTTTGTTTAGAGATATCGCATAAAACTCTGATATCGTGTTTTTTAACTTTTTTGGCTCGTGCTCACTCTACAGGCTACGATATAGAGTTTGTTTTACAGTTCACATTTAGCTCTTTATCAAGCTACTGGTGGGCGTATTCACTTGCAAGACTTGCCGCAAGCCTATGTTTTTAATGTTTGTTCAAATGTGATGATGTACTGTATTTGATGAATTTCACTTCAAACATTATTTTTCAGGAATTGTCTTCTAATAATTCACCAATAGGTTTAACAAATGATCTATTTATATTTCATAGTCTGAAATGATCTGTACAATCAAAGTGTTGTAATTGAGCTTGTAATTAATCTATTCACAACATGATAGAGTATATTATTGATTGAATTTTTCAGCCTGTAGCTGTGAAAATATTTAATACTGTTGGAGATATACATCCACATAAACTATTACGTCAGGAGGTACTGTCTTAGCTTTTTTTATTGCTAAAATAGATAATAAACCAAATTGTGTTATTTTAATAGTGGGAACTAAAACAGATTGATGTCAAAAATGTTAATAAATTTTGTATTGAAACTAGCACAGAATTTCATGAAATATAAGATTAGATAAGATAGTTATGTTAGTCTTTAATACCTGCATCAGATGCAAGAAAATTTGTGATAAAATTTAATGGAATTCTCTTGAATAATACCCGTTTTCTGGCAAGTCATGACATTTTTTTATCCATGTATTTCAGGTGAATATATTACAGAGATTAAATCATCCTAATGTATTAACATTAACAGCTGTTGGTTTACGTCCTGATAGACTTATTGTGTTAGAGTTAGCACCACTTGGCTCATTAGGCTCTATATTACGTAATAATACATCACTTAGTCGTTTATTACATCTTAAAATTGCTACCCAGGTAGGAACAGTTCTCATAGTATTAATGTTTCATTCTGAAAACTTTTGTTTTATATAGACTGGTGAAATCTGTGTTCCTATTGACCATCAATTGTAATGTTTTGCTTCTTTTGCTGTTCATGCTTGTTATCTTGATATTTGTTTAACAAGCAAGTGAGTTTCAATATAAATCTAGAAGTAATGGTAATGAATTTGTGTTATATAGGTCTGTGAGGGTATGGCATATTTACATAAATTAATGGTAGTTTATAGAGATATGAAACCAGATAATGTTTTGATATATAGCCTGTCGCCAGGAGCTAAGGTAATTAAATTTTAATTGAAAACAGGCCTACATACTAGATATGATTGTTTGTTTTCATAAAACTGAATTGTTATCTTTGTATTAAGGTAAATGCTAAAATATCAGATTATGGTATATCAAGATTTACTACACTCTATGGTTTAACAGCTCAAGAAGGTTCTCCTGCATACAGAGCACCAGAAGTTATAAAAGGAGAAACCTATTCATTTCAGGTACAAATACTTCACTTGTTATTTTACAACAACTACTTGTAAGTCTATCCCTTTTCAATTATATCATGAAGATAGTCTTTGAAATGAATACTATTACATGTTTGGCACTTTCTATCACAAAGGATTATATACAAGACCATTTCCTGAAGAAAAATGTCTAATTCTGCAAATTTTCTTATGTAAAAGTGTTGATAATGTATTTTAAGGCTGATATTTTTTCATTTGGTATAACTGTCTATGTTATGGTAACTGGAGGTCAACATCCTTTTGATGAATATGAGTTTAGTTCAGAAATGGATAAAGCTTTTGCAGAGGTTAGTATTAATTAAATATACATATTCTGCTTCTTACTTAACATAATCAGACCAATGTTCATGTGTGCTACAGGCTGTGTAATTTAAGCTAATTGTCTGGCAAATTCCCATCTTAGCATACTGCTAGTCATTGCACATCTACTTTAGCCCAGGAGCTGAAAAGGCAGCATATAAAATTCCATTTGATTGTATTTCATTTGTAAATGACAAATCTCTTATTGAGGCCATTTTTATTTTTTTAGAATTTACCAATACCACCCATAACTAAGAGAGGATGTAAACCATGGCCTGATATGCAGGAATTGATCAATCAATGTTTACATCAAGTACCAGATTATAGACCTCAGGTATGTTATAATCAGTGTTTACATCAACCATCAGATTATAGACCCCAGGTATGTTATAATCAGTGTTTTACATCAAGCATCAGATTATAGACTTCAGGTATGTTATAATCAGTGTTTACATCAACCATCAGATTATAGACCCCAGGTATGTTATAATCAGTGTTTTACATCAACCATCAGATTATAGACCCCAGGTATGTTATAATCAGTGTTTACATCAAGCATCAGATTATAGACCTCAGGTATGTTATAATCAGTGTTTACATCAACCATCAGATTATAGACCCCAGGTATGTTATAATCAGTGTTTTACATCAAGCATCAGATTATAGACCCCAGGTATGTTATAATCAGTGTTTTACATCAAGCATCAGATTATAGACCCCAGGTATGTTATAATCAGTGTTTACATCAAGTATCAGATTATAGACCCCAGGTATGTTATAATCAGTGTTTTACATCAAGCATCAGATTATGACCCCAGGTATGTTATAATCAGTGTTTACATCAACCATCAGATTATAGACCCCAGGTATGTTATAATCAGTGTTTTACATCAAGCATCAGATTATTGACCCCAGGTATGTTATAATCAGTGTTTTACATCAAGCATCAGATTATAGACCCCAGGTATGTTATAATCAGTGTTTTACATCAAGCATCAGATTATAGACCTCAGGTATGTTATAATCAGTGTTTTACATCAAGTATCAGATTATAGAGCCCAGGTATGTTATAATCAGTGTCTACATCAAGTATCAGATTATAGACCCCAGGTATGTTATAATCTGTGTTTACATCAAGCATCAGATTATAGACCCCAGGTATGTTATAATCAGTGTTTACATCAAGCATCAGATTATAGACCCCAGGTATGTTATAATCAGTGTTTTACATCAAGCATCAGATTATAGACCCCAGGTATGTTATAATCAGTGTCTACATCAAGCATCAGATTATAGACCCCAGGTATATTATAATCCGTGTTTACATCAAGCATCAGATTATAGACCCCAGGTATGTTATAATCAGTGTTTACATCAAGCATCAGATTATAGACCCCAGGTATGTTATAATCAGTGTTTTACATCAAGCATCAGATTATAGACCCCAGGTATGTTATAATCAGTGTCTACATCAAGCATCAGATTATAGACCCCAGGTATATTATAATCCGTGTTTACATCAAGCATCAGATTATAGACCCCAGGTATGTTATAATCAGTGTTTTACATCAAGCATCAGATTATTGACCCCAGGTATGTTATAATCCGTGTTTACTGATAAACTATTAACATTGATTTATTCTTATACTTACCGTCATTCCATGTTTTGTATATTTGGTTTTGCCTAATTGAGCATGCGCATTGTTATGTTGTTTTATGTTATGGCGCTTGATATGAGCCTGAATAAATGTGTGAACTGAAAAGTGATTTTGGATGAATTTAACATGGTACCAGAGCGTGGTTGCTTTTCAAAATAGTAGCGTAAACTATTTATAGTGACACTGAAGCGTAAATTTGTGTTTTAATGACAACAAAATTTTTTTTTGAATTTTTAATGAACTGTTTGATCGGTTAGTGAAAAACCGGAAGTAAATGTTTTTAGCGGAAGTCGTAAAAAGTTGGCGGTAAAGTTGATAAAATTTTGCTGTAAAAATGAGTATGAAAGTCAATCCACCAGTCCTCTCAAATGACAAGACTTATGAAAGATACAAACAAGAATTATTGGCGCGGCATGAAATTACCAATTTAGAAAAAGGCAAACAGGGTATAGCTGTAGCACTATTTCTTATTGAACAAGAGAAACTGCGAATTCGAGAACGTTTTTTTGATGAGCTTACTACGGACCAATTAAAGGCTGAGGATGGTTTAACAGTGTTGATAACATTTTTAGATAAACATCTAGGGAAAGATGAGTTAGTTGATAGCCTTGAAGATTTCAAGCGGAAAGAAACTCAATCCATAACAGAATATATCTCAGATTTTGATTCAAAGTACTCTAAGATAGTGAAGAAAAATATGACTCTGTTACCAGAGATTTTGGCTTTTAAATTACTGAAATGTGCTAATATTAGTAAAGATGAGCGCATGTTAGTTTTAACAGGCATGAACTACGAACGCAAAGATACCTTATATGAACAAGCCAAAGTTTCATTAAAGAAATTTAAAGGTTCTGCAAGTGGTGGAAAAGACTCATTAGAAAATAGTAGTGATCTTAAGTTAGAACCAACCTTCTTGGCAGAGAATGAAGAAGTTCTTGCAGCAGCGGGATACTATAAGTTCAATTCTAATCGTGGTAATGGTGGTCAGTATCATCGTGGTAACAGCAATTATTCTTTCAGACCAAATAGAGGAAGATCTTCAGGTAGTAACTTGAGAGGTAGGGGTTATGACAGATCTGAAAAGCACATGAATCCCAAATCATTTAATGGCAAAACATTGACATGCCACGCTTGTGGATCTTACAGACACTTATTAAAAGATTGTTCCCACAGCTATGAAAATCGAAATGCACATGGTGATTCTAAAGAAGCATTTATATCTGACAATGAGGTTTTATTGACGATGAATAACTTTGAAAATGTAATAATGTACACTGGTTATGATAAACAGGACGTGAGTCATTTGGGGAAAGAATCGCAACATAGTGCAGTAATAGATACAGCCTGTTCAAGTACTGTTAGTGGCATGCATTGGTATGAAACTTTTTTGAGTACATTCCCTGAAAACAAACAGAAAGAAATTAAAGAGTTTAAAGGCACGAAGTGGTTTAAATTTGGAAATGCTTGCAGTCTATGAAGTGTGTGCATGTCCCCTGTGTTATTGCTGGTCATCAGTTTGTTTTGGAAATTGATGTGGTAAATTCCAATATTCCTTTACTATTGAGTTTAAAAACTTTGAAAAATGCCAACGTCAAATTGGATCTTGAGCACGATGAAGCTGAAATCTTTGGGAAGAAATGTGCATTGGACTTCACATCCAGTGGTCATTATTGTATTCCGATTGCCAGTGACACACCTATAGAGGAAGTTTTTAGTAGACTTAAGGCTTTGGATAAACTTCATCGTCAGTTTGCCCATCCTTCAAAGTTACGCTTGGAGGGCTTACTTACAGATGCTGGAGTTTGGGATAAAATTTATTCTGCAGAATTGGACCAACTGTATAAAAAATGTCAGACATGTAAACTTTTTGCTAAAACTCCTGCAAGACCTGTTGTTAGTATGCCTATGGCTCGTACCTTTAATGAATGAGTAGCTATGGATTTAAAAATTTTGAAAGGTGGCAGATATATTCTTCAAGTGGTGGATATGTTTTCAAGATTAACTGTATCTGTCTTTGCTCAAAGTAAACAACCTAAAGAAATTGTTGATGCTGTGCTGAAACATTGGGTAGCTGTTTGGGGTCTTATGGAAGGTGTCTTATTTGACAATGGGGGCGAATTCAGTAATAATCTCATGCGCGAAGTGGCCAGTATTTTGGGTATTGAAATTTGTACTACACCTGCAGAGAGTCCTTGGTCTAATGGTGTGTGTGAAAGAAATCATCATGTTACAGACCGAATGCTTGAAATTTTAACTGATGACAATCCTAATGCTGATAGCACTACTCTCCTGGCTTGGGCTAATATGGCAAAAAATTCATTGCAAATGTGGAATGGATTTAGTAGTTATCAAATTGTTCAAGGAAAGAATCCTAACCTTCCTAATATTTTGAGCGGTAAAATCCCTTATATCCATGGATCTACATCAAGTGATGTTCTTCTGAAACATTTAAATGCTCTACATTCCTCCAGAAAAGCTTTTATGCAAAGTGAATGTGATGAAAAAATTAGACGAGCTCTGAGACACCAGATCCGAGCAGTAGAAGAACATTTCAAACCAGGTGACTCTGTGTTTTATAAACGGGAAGGTCATAATAAGTGGTTGGGTCCTGCCAAGGTTATATTTCAAGATGGTAGGCTAGTATTTGTTCGACATGGTGGAGTCTATGTTAGAGTTTCAACAAATCGTATTATCAAAGATTTTCCACAACCCAGTTTGGATACTGGTGTTACACATAATGATGTTTCCTCTTCTAATGCCACAAAACACTCTTCACAAGGGTCTAGCTGTCCAAATGTTTTCAGTGAAGTGATAGGTGAACCATCAGTAAATACCCCAGGTGACGTTGATACTCCTGAAAATGTTCATGGAGACAGCGAACATTGTGATATAGATGACATTCGTATAAAAAAGAATGATAAAATTCAGTTCAGAGTGTCGGAAAATGAGGATTGGAAGACGCAACAGTTCTCAGCAAAGCTGGCAAATCAACAGGTGCATACAGGCATTGGTTTAATGTTCAGTTAGACAATGGACAAACTCAAAGCCTTGATATGGAATCTATTAAATGGAAAAAGTTTGATGAGGAGTTTTGCTGTGTTCATGCCAACTTCTCAACATGGTAATCCAGACTGTGTACAGGCCAAGCTAGATGAATTGGAGAAATTGAAACTTTTTAAAACTTATGATGATGTTGTTGACCACAATGGCCAAGATAAAATTTCAACAAGGTGGGTTGTGACTAAAAAAGGTGATCAAGTCAAGGCTCGATTAGTAGCTCGTGGATTTCAAGAGGAACAATATATTCAAAGTGACTCCCCTACTATAGGCAAAAGTACAATGCGAACTTTTCTTGACATTGCTGCTTGTCAATTGTGGCCTGTTAAAACTACTGATATAAAATCAGCCTTCCTTCAGGGTAAGAAACTAGATAGGGATGTGTTTTTATCTCCTCCTGTCGAGGCAGATGTTGCTAAGGGTAAACTATGGAAATTAAACCACTGTCTTTATGGCTTAAATGATGCTGCCCGACAGTTCTATCAGAGTGTAAAAGATGAACTTCTTAAGTTAGGCTGTTAACAATGCACATCTGATCCTGCATTGTTTTATCTTAAAGATAGCAATGATTCTCTTATTGGTTTATTAGCATGTCATATTGATGATTTTTTACATGCTGGTGTCCCCAAGTTTGATGCATCAGTTATGACATGTTTACGTAAACGCTTCCTGGCTGGAAAATTAGCAGATACTAGTTTCACATATATATCGGTTTCAACTTGGTTCAATCTCAAGATGCTGTAACTCTAGATCAATCTTCTTACATGGAAGAATTAGGAACTGTTAAATTAGCCAGTGATAGAGGCACAACTAGCAAACTTTCCGAGGATGAATTAACTCTTCTTCGACGTCAAGTAGGTAAATTAAATTGGGCTGTGCAAGGGTCTAGACCCGATTTAGCATTCGAAATGATTGATTTAAGTACCAAATTAAAAAATGGTGAAATTAATGATTTAAAACGTGCCAATAAGGCTATTCTGAAACTTAAAGAGATAAATGCCTCCATACGTTTTCCTAATCTTGGAAATTATCAAAATTGGCATTTGGTCGTATTTTCTGATGCATCCCTTGGAAACATCTGTAATGGTGTTGGGAGTGTTGGTGCTCATTTGATATTGTTGGTGTCAACAAATAACTATTGCTCTCCTTTAAATTGGCAATCCAATAAAATCAAGAGAGTTGTTCGCTCTACAATAGCTGCTGAGTCCTTAAGTCTACAGGAAGCTTTAGAGGATGCAAGCTATTTAAAGCATTTAATTGAAGAAATCTTCTCATCAAAGACTATGTATAACATTCCCATTGAGGCATACATTGACAATAAGAGTGTTGTTGAAGCCATCTATTCAACTAAGATGGTGGACGATAAACGTTTAAGGCTAGATATAAGTGCTATTAAAGAATCTTTATCTTTAAAACAAATCACCTCTGTTAAATGGTGTCCCAGTGAGTTGCAATTAGCTAATTGCATGACTAAAAAAGGTGCTTCAGGAAGTGGGAGTATTTGTATTAACAGTTAATTATTTGTTGAATTTGGAGTTATAGTGGTTGTTATTTGTATTAACTTACATCATTACTTACCTTCTAGTATCCTGCTATCTGTTATTCTTGTCATTTCTTACAAAACTCAGCTTATTAAGTTTTAATCAAGTTTATTTTATCACATATCACCACCCTTCTGTAAAACTAACAGCGAATATTTCTGAACAAAGTATGGATTTTTTGGATACTACGGTATTCAAAGGACCAAGTTTCTCTCAAACAAACAAATTAGACATCAAAGTATTTTTTAAACCAACGGATACTCACCAACTTTTATATAAAAACTCTTTTCACCCAAAACATACTTTTACCGGAATAATCAAATCACAAATTTTGCGTTTTTTTAGAATTTGCACTCAAAAAGTAGATTTTGATGCAGCTTGTAGACTAGTTTTCAGTAAATTAAGAGAGAGGGGCTATTCCAAACGATTCTTGCGCAAAATTAAAAATGACACTGTTTTGGACCTTTTGAAAATTAATGATCCCCCTCCTCCAATAAATAACTTTGGTGCAATACCATGAAGAGGTTCTCGGTGTCGCACTTGTGAACATATCCATAAGACTCATTATTTTCAAAATAAAAAAAACGGAAAAATATTTGAAATTAAAGAACGTATCACGTGTACGGATAAAAACATCATTTACCTAATTTCGTGTAAAAAATGTGACAAACATTGCGTTGCGAACTCGATTTAGCGGCCATCGCTTTGATATAATTCATAGCAAAAATAGACCAATTTCTCATCATTTTAATTTACCTGACCATTCCATTGAAGACCTACTTATCATGCCTATTGAATACTAACTATGCTAACTTCACCTTATCTTGTATTGAACATTTATCTCTTTATTTGTGACCTTGGCCAGTGCTTTACATAGAAGTTTTTAGGAACTTCTTCACTCTTAACACTATTTACATTACCTTATTATTTTACACAGTCAACAATGGATCATTTGTACCTTCTGGATAGATCTTTTTTTAATGTTCATTTCTAAAAGAAAAGAGAAAAGAAAGTATTATTAATGATAAACTATTAACATTGATTCGTTTCTTATACTTACCGTCATTCCATGTTTTGTATATTTGGTTTTGCCTAATTGAGCATGCGCATTGTTATGTTGTTTTATGTTATGGCGCTCGATATGAGCCTGAATAAATGTGTGAACTGAAAAGTGATTTTGGATGAATTTAACATTTGCATCAAGCATCAGATTATAGACCCCAGATATATTATAGTCAGTGTTTACATCAAGCATCAGATTATAGACCCCAGGTATGTTATAATCAGTGTTTACATCAAGCATCAGATTATAGACCCCAGGTATGTTATAATCCGTGTCTACATCAAGTATCAGATTATAGACCCCAGGTATGTTATAATCAGTGTTTTACTTCAAGCATCAGATTATAGACCCCAGGTATGTTATAATCCGTGTTTACATCAAGCATCAGATTATAGACCCCAGGTATGTTGTAATCAGTGTTTACATCAAGTATCAGATTATAGACCCCAGGTATGTTATAATCAGTGTTTACATCAAGTATCAGATTATAGACCCCAGGTATGTTATAATCAGTGTTTTACATCAACAATCAGATTATAGACCCCAGGTATGTTATAATCGGTGTTTACATCAAGCATCAGATTATAGACCCCAGGTAAATTATAATCAGTGTTTACATCAAGCATCAGATTATAGACCCCAGGTATATTATAATCCGTGTTTACATCAAGCATCAGATTATAGACCCCAGGTATGTTATAATCAGTGTTTTACATCAAGCATCAGATTATAGACCCCAGGTATGTTATAATCAGTGTTTACATCAAGTATCAGATTATAGACCCCATGTATGTTATAATTGGTGTCTACATCAAGTATCAGATTATAGACCCCAGGTATGTTATAATCAGTGTTTACATCAAGCATCAGATTATAGACCCCAGGTAAATTATAATCAGTGTTTACATCAAGCATCAGATTATAGACCCCAGGTATATTATAATCAGTGTTTACATCAAGCATCAGATTATAGATCCCAGGTATATTATAATCAGTGTTTACATCAAGCATCAGATTATAGACCCCGGGTATGTTATAATCAGTGTTTTACATCAAGCATCAGATTATAGACCCCAGGTATGTTATAATCAGTGTTTACATCAAGCATCAGATTATAGACCCCAGGTATATTATAATCAGTGTTTACATCAAGCATCAGATTATTGACCCCAGGTATGTTATAATCAGTGTTTACATCAAGTATCAGATTATAGACCCCAGGTATGTTATAATCAGTGTCTACATCAAGTATCAGATTATAGACCCCAGGTATGTTATAATCAGTGTTTACATCAAGTATCAGATTATAGACCCCAGGTATGTTATAATCGGTGTCTACATCAGGTATCAGATTATAGACCCAAGTGAGATGATGAGATGAGAATTCTCAAAGAATGTTTGTGGACAGCTACAAATTAAAGCCTTTTGATTGTTATTGGTATGAAACAGATTTGTTTTCTGTAGGTGTATATCTCTTTCTTTTAGTCGCATGAAATATGCAAAAGATTAAAATCAGCAGAATTATATTGTTTAAAAGAATTTCGTCCAATATCAGTTGGTACCACAGTAGAATGTATAACATATCAGGTAAGTCATCTATATAAACTGTGAAATATTATTGTCTGTATATTGCTTGATTCATGCATTTAGTTTTTGATTGCGGTTAATATAACTTCTATAAGTTTACTTTGGCGAATTTATAATCAATAATGATACATAATTTTATCAACATTAACATTGGGTCCCATATGTTTCAACCATGCATTTTAGTAAGCATGCAATATTAAACCAGAATAGAATATGTGAAGCCTGAAGATGTTTTTATTTATTTATTAGCCAATCAATTCCCATGAGGGTAAATTATGGATTGCAAGTGGTGATAATGATATTATGCAGTTTGGATGGTTAAATTTATTAGATTATAGAGATGAATATAAGGTAATCAAAGTGACAACTAAGTTTTGACATGTGTACGATACTACATGAGTAATTAAATTTTTACATTTTATTACAGGGGCCTTATTCTCGAAAACTTAAATCTCTTAAAACCAGTTGTAAGTTAAAATTTTGGCTTAAGATTTTGTTAAGTCGTATTCTCTAAACCTATTTACAACGTGATTTTAACTTAAAACGATTTTAACTTAAAACACCATTTACCCTGTTTTAAACTAAAATCGAAACAAAATGGCGGCAAAACAAGTGATGATTAAAACGATTTGGGGAAGAGAAATTGGCCTTAATTGTGCTCATTATTAATAGTATATCCGGGGTGAAGAAAATGTGGAATGGGAAATGGGGAGCCATGGGCCTTGACAATGCCTAGTTAGATGTCTTGACAAACTATTTTTTTCCATGTGAATACATTTTTTTTATTAAGGACACAATACATAGATAACATGACAGTAGTTAACTAACAGTCTATACATCGTTTTTCACTTGGTAATTGTTGCCTCTTTTGCACCATTTCGAATTCGAGTCTTTTTTTGATGGTTAGTCTATCTAAGTTTTAATTGGCAGGCCTAACTAGGCCTAGGCTAAACTTGTGGATTGATCACAGAAACTCTTTTTAAGTTGAGGTGGCATCCCTGAAAAGATAAATAATATTAATTGATTTAAATTGAGAAAATATATTTTTGACTTACTTACATTAGGCCTCAAAGATCAGTGTTGTAGGCTATATTTTAGCATACATGTATGTAGATCTAGGTCTATATTAATTTTCTTGGTCTAGCCTAGGCCAATTTCACTTTAAGCAACTCAATTTGTTGTTTTGCACTCTGTTTTTATCTACATAACAGTCTCTAGGCCTATGTCTCTTACTTTCTATCTATTAACCTACGGAAGGCCATTATTATGTCTAAGCGGTATCACTATCAGTAAGATTCTATATGAGCCTTGACAAGTCAAGTCAAATTTAGTAGACTAATATTAACTAAGAGCCAAGAGGTCGAACTTGACTCCACAATCGAAAGCGACTCTAATCTAATCATACTAACGTCGCTCAATCTGCATGTCACAAAAGCAAGTCAAGAGTTCGAGAGTCAAATGATTTTTTTACGAATTTACTCAAGCAATAATTACCGATTTGTGTTTGTTGACATCGGGGATTCTCCACTCTACACTCTACTACTCTCTCACTCATGCTGTCTCGGAGTCGCTGGTCCGTTGTTTTCTCATGCTTCATAATTAATGGAATCCATCAGTAACATCAGTTATCAGTTTGTAGTTTTAGTAGTAGGGTGAATTAAGAAGATAAAAGTGTGCTTGGATATGTCAGCATTTAAGGTCATCCACGCACATTAATAATGTAAGAAATTCATAAAAATCCCTTTGACGTCTCTTTGTTTTGATGTGGGACAAAATGGCGGCTTGACGGCAGACTGACCTTGTGTCTTTACAGACGACGATTTGATTGGTTGGATAAATTACGACGTCATAACTTGATTGACAGGTCAGGACTATCTATCACTAAAATCAAATTTTAAATTAAAACTCATTTTGAAGAATACCCCTTTATTTAAGTTAAAATCGAATTTTAACTAAATCAATTTTAGTGATTTTAAGTTAAGCCGTCGAGAATAAGGCCCCAGATTTTAAAGAAAAAATGTTGACTGAAAAATGATTCATGTTTTAACTCCATTGATATTGTAGGGCACCATGTTTCCTTATGGTAGAATTTTATCTATGCTGCCCATAGATGAGCAGTATATATTATTGGGTACTCAAATGGGTAAAATATGGGTCTTTGATGCATTATTGTGCAAGTTAGCACATTCTACTGAAGTTTTACCTGATTCTGTATTATCACTACATCATTTTAAAAGGTAATTTTGATAGATATTTTTACTCTTAGTTATATTATATTTATTTCAATTGACAATTAGTGTAGCATAGCTTTCACACCACATTCAATCAATTAATTTGTTCATTGTTTATAAATGGCATAATAATGATAATGATATCCTCATGATAATTGTTTTGGATTGTCAATTACAGAGAAAAGAAAAATGATATGGTGTTTGCTGGATTAGCTAATGGTTCATTGGCATTCTTTCCCTTATCTGAAATATTACAGGTAAGTCCAAGAATTGTATACTGGTACTAGTAGTGTCTCTCTCTAACAAAATATTAGAATGGAAAGATTCCTACCAAAGGTTAAACTTCTCCCTTTTATTTTTATGAATTACATTTCAACAATGGAGAGTTCAGTTAATTCTATAGCCAGAAGTTGTCCAAAATGCAATGAAAATGCTAATGAAAACTTCTATCTGTTTTTTGTTAATTGTATAGGAACCTGATACATTACCTTTACCCCCGATGGTGTTAGGGTTATCACATGAACCTGTACGATGTATAGCAAAATATAAAGATAAAACTGTAACATCAGTTGGTACAAAGGTAGTTATTATTGGTATTGGTATGAATGCTGAGAACAAATTTGATACCAGATCACTAGAAGAAAGGTGATACACAGTTTTTTCTTGAAAGTTTCTGTATAAATTTATTTTATCATTTTTTTTTCTATTTTGAAATATTATTTTAGGCTAATATTGATAAAAGAAAGCTTAATCTGCATAATCTTATCTTTCTTTTTCAGAAATATGACATATAGCACACCTATTTTAACCATGGCAATAGGGAAATATTTATACATATCAAAACGTCAATCTAGTGTAGTAGAAATGTGGGATATAAAGAGAAGTAAACTCCGTGATAAATGTGATATTCAAAAGATATTTAAGTAAGTATTGTTGGTTTGGTTTAAAATAAACATAGTGGAATAAATTTTGATGGTTTGATTACTTATTATTTCAAATGTGGGCTAATTCCCATAGACCTATTGCCACATACATTTTGCAGTAGTCCATATCTGTTGGTGGATCCCAATGGGTTGGTTTTTTTAAGGGCAATGAAAACTATACTCTTACCTGATTATTTCATCAAAGTGTTAGTAAAATTATTAATTAGATGGTACAATTATTATATTGAATACAACACTTCCTCATCCATAGAATAAATACACTTTCAAATTTTACAAGGGTTTGGAAAGAAATATTTGTTTTTTTTTTTCTCAGTCTCCAACAGCATCAGAGTAGAATAACAGCAATGGTATTATGTGATAAGAAAGAGTTATGGATTGGTACAGGAGGTGGTCAGATTGTTATTGTTGATAGTTTATTGTTATCTCCCTTAGTAATGACAGCACGTCATACAGCATCAATACGCTGTCTTATGTGTATTCACCTTAAAGGTACAGTAATAGATGCCAGCATAGGTCAAGATAGTAGCTTTACATATTTCAACCTGGTTTTGTTGCTATGATACATGTTTCCAGAACTGACTTTGAAAAAATCATTTTTGTGTAAGCAATACAGATTAATATGCACGTTGACATCAACAAGTTGAAAACCTCTGTCATGGCAAACTTTCCTTCATTTCATAGTACATGTCATTTACTCTCTTTATTAGCAAAAACCTGAGCAAAAATTTTTTGTAGTTAAATAGTCCGTTTTGAGGTCTAATAACTGTAATGTATGTGAGAGAGTATTAAAGACTAGCTATAATTGTAGAAAGAGATGAAGATTGTATAATATTAAGTGGGGGTTTAGGATTTCGACGTACCCCAGATACAGATATAGATAGAGGTAAGAAGGTTGTTAGTTATAGGACTGACAGAAAGTATCCTTGGCACCTTTATAAGCTAGCAACATTCATTTTTATACGCCAACATCTCTCTTTGTGGACGTATATTGTCGGCCCCCCTGTCCGTCCGTCGGTCCGTCAACATTTGCTTGTAAACGCTCTAAAAACTAGAATCAAATGAAATTCGGTATGTGTATACATATTCATAAAACAAAGATGAAGTTCGAATTAGAGCTTCTTTTGACCGTTAGAAGCAGAGTTATTGCCCTTGCCCCAAAATCTTGAATATGCTATTAATCTCTTGGTTTTCAACTGATTTTGATGAAACTTAAAATGGATGTTATTGGACCTAAATCGAAAGGTTTGAGAAAGTTTAGTAAACTTCTGATTAAATTTAAGGCTTTTTCAAGATTTAGGCCTCTTACGTCAGTTTTGAGGAGTTATCGCCCTTTAACCTCTATACAGTAAGTGCTTCTATCAACATCAATTGCTTGTAAATGCTCTAAAAACTAGATTTTTTGATGGAATCAAATGAAATTCGGTATGTGTATACATATTCATAAAACAAAGATGAAGTTCGAATTAGAGCTACTTTCGACCGTTAGAAGCAGAGTTATTGTCCTTGCCCCAAAATCTTGAATATGCTATTACTCTCTTGGTTTTCAACCGATTTTGATGAAACTTAAAATGGATGTTATTGGACCTAAATCGAAAGGTTTGAGAAAGTTTAGTATACTTCTGATTAAATTTAAGGCTTTTTCAAGATTTAGGCCTCTTACGTCAGTTTTGAGGAGTTATCGCCCTTTAACCTCTATACAGTAAGTGCTTCTATCAACATCAATTGCTTGTAAACGCTTTAAAAACTAGATTTTTTGATGGAATCAAATGAAATTCAGTACATATTCATAAAACAAAGATGAAGTTCGAATTAGAGCTACTTTCAACCGTTAGAAGCAGAGTTGTCCCAAAATCTTGAATATGCTATTACTCTCTTGGTTTTCAACCGATTTTGATGAAACTTAAAATGGATGTTTCATTTTTACCATCTGCATGCCGTGATCCACTATCTTATTTGATCCATTGCCCATTACATGAAATCTGTCCATTTCTCTTATGCCTCCATTATTTCAACATATACATTTGTTAACGAGTGCTAACGATTCTGATTTTGTTTTTTTGTGTTTTTTTTAAAACATATAGCCTATGCTTAGGTATTATGTATTATGTTGAAGCATTTTAGTATTGGGGTTGAATATCATGATTAGTTAAAGATGTAATGAAATTTCCTTAATGCCTTTTTATGAAACCTACAATTCCATATTTACAGTATAATACCAAGACTCATCAATTCAAAATTATTCTTTATGAATTTGTGGTTAAACCTCATAAAATAATTTCTTTTTCTTTTTAGAGAATCAATATGGCTGTATAGCTGTATGGGATTCCAATTTACCTCAAATAGTTAAATCATATCAACCTAACAGTGAAACTAGAAAACTTTCTAAAGCTGAGAGTAGATGACATGATTTGGAAACCTGATTTGGAAAATAATTTGTGCATGTGTAGAAATGGGTTCTCTAATGTGAGAACATATTTCCGAACTAACAATGTGGTGTCATCTTCACAATAGTGTTTTATTTTTTTAGTGTTAGGGTGTATTGAGACGAGTCTCAATGAAAGCACTGGCCTAGGTCACAGAGCAATAGATAAGTCTATTAATTATGTGAAAATTAGTCAGTCATTAGTATGATTTTAGTTGAAAAGACACACTCACAAACATACACTGTATGTTATATAATATACTGTATATAGCCTTTTAGTGTTATTATACATTGAATCAAAAGGTCAAAGGGTATATTGTAGGTGTAAATGATTTTTGAACAGTTAAATAAAACAGCCATAAAGTATAATCCTTTAGCGACATTTAGGGGTAGAGATCATATTAAATAACACAATTTTATGGTAAACTACTCCTTAGTTTTATTACATTCAGGTGAAGATGACAATGTAGATTGTTGAAACGTAGTGTGTAATAAAACTAAGGAGTAGTTTACCATAAAATTGTGTTCCGTTATTTAAAGCCATAAAGTATGTGCAAGACAACAATTTAGTGTTCCTGAGAAAGAATTCCAATATTATTATTGATATGTGATATTAACCATTGTTTGTTACAAATTTACCAGTGATTTTAGGTTATGTGTAGTGGATTTTAATGCTTATGAAGCTTCTTTGATTTAATCTGGATCAATATTTGCATATTACGTTATTGTTATCTTTTTATTTTTGCAAAGACCTAAATAAATGGAGAATAGAAATATGTTATGTAGAGTTACAAGGATATGATTGACCAACTTTTAAAAAAAAGATATCTAATGTATTGCAGTTTTAATAAGGCTTAATTTGGAAGAAAATCAAATGTCATTTCAAAAGATCATTAAGAATTCATTATCAGAAAAGTGCTCATATACCTGATATTCAGGTCTTTCAATCGGTTAGATGGGTTGCCAGCTTTTATTCTTCTATTACCATTCTTATGAAATTATTTTTAAAAAACAATTCCAATATATTTTTATACACCCACATGGAGATATTTTCTTGTAGGCATGATGGAGGCTACAGTTTTTATCTGATCTCGATGAAACTTATATTGCATGTATATATTGATGAGATTTCTGTCAAGTTTAAAATTGGTAATAATTGGATGAACGATTTCAGAGTTATTGCCCTTAAGAATGCATCAAATTAAGCTTGTATGCACGATAGAGGCTACAGTTTTTGTTCTTGTGAGTATGTCAATGAGACCTTGTTCATTATTGAATTTGATGATAATTTGATTTGATATCCCAAAGTTCATTATAAAGTCACTAAAGACTGTTATCATTTCTGACAGCTGGTAGTGGGGTATCTTACCTTGCCTGGCAAGCTATATATATTTTTTATGTGATCATGTTACAATATGTATTTGAATTGTTATTGTTAATGTTTATTAAACCTGTGATACATTTTTTTTATTATGAAATAATAACTTGTAAAGAGCAATAATAAAATATTAACACTTTAATAATGTTTTTTAAATGGCCATAATACACTGGAAAAACTCCGGAGCCTTCATCAGTAATGACCCACACAGTCTTACACACCTTTCTGTAGCTTGGCTACCTTAATAACACCAATGATATATGTCATAATATTCCCAATATCCCTTTTAGTCTTGAATATATGTAAATAATCTTTTTTGTATATCACAGAGTATCTAAAAATGACAAGTCATCATTTTAACATTTAAACGTGGATAATTCTGGAGTCTAATGGATTTGATGGCTCAAATTTCTATGGTGAGATGTCAACACTATAAATGATTGGCTTATCTAGAAAATCCTGTTTCTGAGGCTAAAGTATGATTGGTTCAAGAAATGGCGCATCTGTCTCTTTAAGTTCAGCTAGTAGAAAAAGAGTTGCCTAATGTTTTGCTTCATCAGCTGGTAAAACTGTATCCCAGCCTCCTGTTTCACTTCTAAGTTTGTCAACAACTATTATCTTAATTAGGACATCATTACAGGAAAGAAAAGTAATGAACAGAAACTGATGGTTGAGGGTTGAGGGTTTCTTCATTCGACACAATAATTCATGTTGTTAAGAAATGGGCCCAAACTCCCCATTTAAGCTTTTATTTGCCAAATACATATAGAAAATGATATAATTCAATAAATGTCCTTTCTGCACTTGATAAGTCTTTAAATTTAAATACCCTTTTAATTCATATGATATTTCTCTTTATGTTTCTGTAAAACCTTCTCATAAACACATTGAAATACACATAAATTACACTTATATCTAGCATTAATATGTGTTTTATAATGTTTATTTAAGTTATGTTTATCACGAAATAACCTATCACAACCTTCCCAACTACATTGTAATGTCTTCTTCTTAGTTTTTATTTGAGTTTTTAGATGAGAATAGTTCATATGATCAGTTAAATTAGATCGCTGTTTAAATCTCTTTGAACACTCTGCACATTGAAAAGGTCGAGTATTTGTATGAGTAAGTTTATGCCGCTTTAACTTTTCTAAAGAAATAAATTCTTTATCACAAACATCACACTTGACTTTTAGAACTTTCTCAGTGTGAGATGATGCTATATGAATTTTCATAGTTCTTTGTTGTTTGCATTGGAAACTGCATGAATTGCATGATAAAAGAGATCTTTCTACATTATGTTTTGATTCAATGTGACACTTTAACAATTTAGTTGTCTTAGTGCGGAATGTGCACTTATTACACTGGAACACTTTTTTAATCTTAGAATTGGCAGGGAAATCTGTGGTTGTGAATGAATGCAAAGAACCCTCTGATTTACTGGTATGAGCATCATTTTGTTCAGTTTGAATGTCATTGTCTGATATTCTTTTAGTGGAATAAATGTCCTGGCATTCTGTATTGAGAGCTTTTGGTTTACTGTCATTCCTTGAAGTCATAGGCTTTTCAACTCCAATCTTAGCATTAGCTCCCAAACTGACTTTTCTATGTAATTGTAGGGTTGAACTATTGTCAATAGCAACAGAAGTATTGAGAGAAGAATTGCTATGACTATTTTCACCCTGATTATTTTGTCTCTTTAAACACCTTTTAGTGTGTCTATTTAAAAGTTTTAAACAAGTTGTTTTAAATTGACACAGTGTACATTGATATGGCTTCTCAATTTTGTGAACTTCTTTTAAATGGTCTTTTAATTTCTTGTCAGTTTTGAAAAATTCTCCACAATTTAAACAATAAATCTTTGACTCAACTTCATTAAGAGGTGAAATTGCTGCTTCAGGAAAAGAAATACGAAGATGAACATTTTGTCCTATTAATGATGGTCCTATATAAGACTGTTGTACAGGAGGAACAGAATAACATTCATCATCTTGACATTCCAAATACAAATCAACAGGATTATGTAAAATAGGTATATCAGTGGTATCTATATTAGATAAATCCCAGTCAAAATAATCTGTAGCGGTAGTAGTAGAGATATCACATACTGGTAATACTTCTCTTTCTTCCATTTTAATCAAACCATGTTATCTTTTGTTTAATCTAATATAAAGAAAGAAAAAAATAAACATTAAAATCTTCTAACATACAAAATGTGATTTTTAACTTAATTTACCAGGAGGCCTACATAGAAAATTGTTTTTAACACAATAAAAGGCTAATGGCATATGTACATATATATTATCTAAAGCAAGTAGCCTAAGGGTTGATAGTCAACCATTGAATTCTCTTTAACTACCATTTTCACTCTTACTACTATATTTTATTTGAAAAATGAAACGGATAACAGTCTTTGCCTTAATTAGATATTGTGAAAGCTTATAATTTACAACAGGGCTTACAGACATTTACGAAAGAAAATATTTTCTGTTACTTCTTTCTGCAATTATTAATTGGTAAATTAAAAGTCAGGACAATCACATTGGTCGGAGAGTAATGGATAGGCGTTCACTACCACAGTGAGCTCAGAATTGATTTTATTTTTTCACTCACCAAAACGTCTATTCTGATACAAATTCCAAGAAATTTAAATTTAAGTCCAGAAAAGTGCCAGAAGTTAAGAATATAGGCTTCTACAAAAATTTTGATTACATCTCACAATGATAACTCACCATTCAACATATGAGTTGAATCCTTTTCAAATGTCTGTAAAGTTCATTATTAGGCCTGCTTTTCCATTAAGATCACTGAAAGATACAAGTTTTAAAATTAATTAAAAAGGTAAACAAGGCCATTAGGTCGCTTATGCCTATGTAAATTGTTTAAAAATATTCTATGATGTAAGCGATATATTTAGATAATCTCGATTTGCCAGACGAAAGACCATTTGGCTATTTTCATCTGTTCTCTGGATGATCGAAAATGTTCCAGACATTTCTGTACATCCGGGTTCTGTTTTCTAAAAACATGGCAGCCGTCTGCAGGTTGGTTATATCGACAATCACCATATATCTCTAAATTTCTGAAGACACCGGGCTGTGTTTCTTAACATAAAATTTCATGGAAAAGTTTTACAACAAAATCATCCCGAAGTGAGAATTTTTGGCCAGTTCTGTATAAATTTGTCCTAAACCATCGCCCTCTTTCCGCCATTTTTGTAAGAAATTTCCAATTTATTTTTCCTCGTCAAAAACATAATAAATATTTTGAATTTTCACTCCAATATTTCCTACTTATTCATGTTAATTCGTCGGCCTGTTTGTAGAAATAATTCTCATTGATTTTATATGAATTAAGAAACTTGAACTGTATTCTTTTGAAAGCAAGAATAAGAAAGCAATTGAATGGTCTTGGCCTCACTCTAAGTAAATTTTGAATAGAGTCTTAGTAGGAGCACGTGGTACAGGAAAGCTTTTTTCAATGGGCCTACAGAATATAGGCTATGTAGTGAATACCATGCAATATGAATATTATATCTATAAGCTCATTGTTTCAGAATGGCATATTTCCAATATTTTTTACTTGATTTTGTTTTTAAATAGATCTAACCAATCCAATTTCTATGGACCTGATATGTAGAAAATATTTTATTATTAATTTCCAATTAGATGAATCGACTCAAATGTGAAGGTCAATCATGAATTTTTAGGGAACTAATTTAATTCTGACATCAGTCTTCATAGTGGTTGATTTTTATTATCATTTACTGGTTGATCACATTTGCTAAGTTTACTTTAAAAGGATTAGGCTTGCAAAAAAAAACAGTTTGATTTAAAACAAAATCAACATCACTTGCCATTGAAGAATTAAATGAAATGAATGGAGTTTTACGTCCTACTTTTCTGTACCATGTGGGCTAATGAAGACGGGCAACGCCGTGCAGGGTGCAATGAGGGAAATTTTGCTAGGACAGCGGCATAAGCCTGCTTTTTTTTCTATTTCCAACTGTCGAAGGATCTTTAATGTGCACAGCCTGTAGCACACGGGGCCTCGGTTTATTGTCACATCCGAACGACTAGACGCTTTTTCCATGTCAGCCCCTCTTGCCTGCATCACTGACAGGGGGAAACCGGGTTGAAAAATCCGAAGGTATTATCTCGACCTATGCGGGGATAATAATATAATAATATTCTATTCACTTTGCATCAGTGACAATAGAAATATTCAGAAATAAAAAATCAGTTCGGCTAAGCATAGTGACTTGTAACAGTTGAGTGTTGAAGACTATGATGCAAAACTTGTAAGATAAAAATAATCATGATACTAAAAAATAAACTGAATTTTAATGTTGTTTAACTCTTTGACAGTGTGCTCCAAATGTCAAGTTATCAAGGTTACCTTACATTTGTACATTTGGACATGGATGAATTCAAGCCTAACATGCAAATTGGATTAGGAATAGGGTTTCTTTGTATATATATATATATATATATACTCATTTGTTTTGAATTCACAAGGACAATTTAGTTTTGCACTATAAAATACACTTCAGATGCATTGATATGAACTACTTACTAATCGGATTAAGATTGATTATGAACAATAGCTTTATATGAATGATTCTTATTGTGTAGAATATTAATTAGATTAAATCAGCAATCAATTACGGTACTTCATTTCTGAATGTGAACAAAATGTTCCATCCTAACAGTAAAAAAGCTTCTGTAGATATTGGTTATTTGAATGACTTACATTTATAAATTTTATAAATTTGAAAATGTTTTCTTTTTATGTTGACAGCATGTTCTTAGCACATTTATATTTTCCCTCTCAATCTGTTCATTACCTCGTAACTCTGAAATCTACAGTTTTTAAAGATTTTTGTATAAAACTTGGTATACATGAGTATTTTGAACCAATTTTTTTATGAGTTTTGTTTTTAAGCTTTTTGAAATTGGATTTTTTTTCAGCCATGGTTTAAGATAAAAGAAGTGTAAGTTCTAAATAGCTAAAGATGAAGATTGATAGATCTAAATTAAAGAAATCTTCAACTGAAGTGGTAAGTATTGCCTTTAAGCAACGACATAAAAATGTGCATTTTAATAGATTCAAATAATTTCCCCATAGTTAAACCATGTGTTGTTTATGTGAACCAACTAAATTTGGATCAGAAAAAACTGGTATGATTTTGATTTGGATATAGTCGACAAACTTTGAATGTTGACAGCTTCTCCTTGCCTGGTTTACTCTGGAAATGATATTTATACTGAATCCTGAAGACAGCAAAACTATTGATATTTTCTAACCAATTTCAGCCTGCTGATTGCAGAGCTCTTATTGAAAAGCTAAAAACATGTCCAGAAGAGGAACTATTAAGTGAACTGAAAGCAGTTAGAGTATGGACAATTGGGAAGGTAAGATTCTGGTACAGAGTTTAATTTCAATATTAAAGCTTCTACATTAAGGTACCATGAGATTGCAACACACAGTTTGTCTTGCAAATTGCTGACATGAAATATCGGCAAATCTGGTTGCCACAATAGGACATATCACATGGTTGTGTATTGATACTTGACAATATCAGTCTAAGATGACTAACACGTGTGTATACACATAATACTGAAGGTCATCTAAAAAAAAAACTGAAATTTCCAATTCCTGAACATAAACATTGGTACCAGTAAGCCTGTTAGTATCTAAAAATTTGCTGCATTAAAAAAGTCATTGAAATTTTGAAGATAAGGTGCTACATTTGATTTGTTGGCCCATATCACAATACATTTCGTGTATCATGGTACATATTCTATCTAGCATTAACAATACCAAGCATTGATGGAGACCTGAATATTATGGTCTCAAGATACTTGATGGCTATGAAGTAGTTTTCCAAGCCACAGAATAGATGGTTGTTGCCCGAAGAATGTCTTCTTCAAGTTAATGCTGCTGTTTATTGTGTTTCTTCTATATGGAGCATTATTTATCTTCATCATTATTGATATGATAGTATTGATGATCGTCTATAATGCTAAATAAAATTGTGATTCCCTACCAGGGGTTTATTATTGATATAATTTTAAACCTGGGATATTCACCCACTACACGCAATATTTATAGCGCAGTTTTCATGATCTTACCAATTAAAACTCGGAGTCCAAAGGGCGAGACTAATTAAATCGATTATCAAATGAAAAAGTACTAAAAAGTATTGATAACATGATTGACAAAGATCTGGCAAGACAAGGACTTAACCTTTCTTTTATGAAGTATCAGTTCAGATTAGTGTTGAAACGGTTAGTGGATTTTACGAACTGGGTAATCGTCGGCAATAACTGTTTGTTATTCGGTTAATCCCGGTTAATTACTAAAGATTTATAAAGGAGTAAAAAACCGCATTTGCAGTAACTCACCGTTAATAAACTAGAGTAAGTGTAAATGAGTACCCAGGAAGATTTTAGTTAGTTTCCCGCGAATTGTCGGTTCAAAGCGACAGATACCAAACAACCCATTGAAGCGTTTGCTTCAATGTAAAGATTACGAGCGGGCCTGACAGAGTTCAGACGGACTGGCGCTATTGTCACCCATTGCTACAGTCTCTAACAGATCAAAGGTTTTTATACCAGTTGTGGTGTCAGTGTAATGAGTGTATCTCATTGAAGTCGCCGCGAATCAGTGTACTGGTTCTACAACTTGTATTAAACTATTGTCTCAATGAAACCGTACTCATGAATATTAATAAGCTTGAAGCTGATTGACAGGGAAGAAGAAACAAACAGCCAATTAGAGGAGAGTTTATAAAAAGTAATACGATCGTTATAACTGTTTTGTTCTAAGCAACTCGTACCCGATTGAAATAATAAAAATAATAACAAAACTAGAACATGCTTAAAAAACACTGTGTTACATTTCTGTAATACAATAAAAAAAAAAATAACAAGATTCAACAAAACCGTGGCGCATGCCGAACGTCTGATATTGATTAGGCTACAGTGCTTACTTGTTAAACCTAATTAATATAACGGTGCACACGGCAACTGTGGACAAACTAAGACCATCGTGAATGCGATTATCCAGAAAGAGTAATTAGTTGAACTTATATCAAAAAAGAGGCTTGATAATCTTGACCACAATTCTTGTAACTCGTTAGAATTTTGATAATTGATACACTATCTTGATTTATTAATCTCAATTATTCAATCAATAAAGATGTTTATTTACTAAAGAAAACAGCTTAAATTGCTCTCTTTTTACTTCTTATAAAATTGACGGTTAACCGATGCTCTTAAATCAGACCAGGTTACCCGTGAAATACTACCCGAAATCGGTTAACTGATTTACCGTTGCAACATTAGTTCAAATGCATCAAATACTTCACTTTGGTTTGTTTAAAATATGATTATAAGTTTGTGGTTATGATACTAAACTAACACCTTAGTGCTGGAACTAGACATAGGATTGTTTAGAAAATTATATAAAAATAGATTCTAAAATCCAGTCTAAAAGTGCCAAACACAGAGACTTTGCACGATACTATTTGATGTTTTTTATAACCCACATTATAATGTTGTTGTACCTTGTCGTCGCCCCTGTCCATTCGTCCATCCACCATTCCAATTTTTATACGCCCACATCTTTAGGTGGACGTATATTGTCGGCACCCCTGTCCGTCCGTCTGTCAAGATTTGCTTGTAAACGCTCTAAAAACTAGAGTTTTTGATGGAATCAAATGAAATTCGGTATGTGTATACATATTCATAAAATGATGGTCAAGTTCGAATTTGAGCTATTTTTGACCGTTAGAAGCAGAGTTATTGCCCTTGCCCCAAAATCTTGAATATACTATTACTCTCTTAGTTTTCAACCGATTTTGATGAAACTTAAAATGGATGTTATTGGACCTAAATCGAAAGGTTTGAGAGAGTTTAGTTTACTTCTGATTAAATTTAAGGCTTTTTCAAGATTAAGGCCTCTTATGTCAGTTTTGAGGAGTTATCGCCCTTAAACCGCTATACAGTAAGTGCTTCTATCCACATCAATTGCTCGTAAACACTCAGTCCGTCCGTCGGTTCGTCAACATTTGCTTGTAAACGCTCTAAAAACTAGATTTTTTGATGGAATATGTGTAGACATATTCATAAAACGAAGATCAAGTTCGAATTTGAGCTATTTTGACCGTAAGAAGCAGAGTTATTGCCCTTGCCCCAAAATCTTAAATATTTACCATCCGCATGCCGCGGTGGGCGTATATGGCTTTTGTCCACTATCTTCAGTCAGATAGATGTCTGTGGTTCCTGCAAATCCATTGTAACTATGTGTTTGATAACATCCCTAATCATGAAGGGTCTTATGTGATAGAAGCATTATATAGGCATTGAGCTATAAGTCATTACAGTTTTGAACTTGTATGAAAATATAGTGATTATGATATCAATAGGCATTATTTATCTTCATCATTATTGATATGATAGTATTGATGATCGTCTATAATGCTAAATAAAATTGTGATTCCCTACCAGGGGTTTATTATTGATATAATTTTAAACCTGAGATATATTCACTCACTACAGAATGTCATTTAGTATAACAGTGTACAACTGGTTACAAAATTATTTACCTTCAAGATCAGTATTTAAATAGATATTTCATTGTTTACTTACATGAATTGAATTAAATTCAATGATAGATTATCACCTTGTTGTTCTTTGTTTACAATGAAAACAATGTTTTGCAGTGTGAGTTATATCATTGGTCAGATGTATTGGATATTTTTGATGAAGTTTTAGAGAAAGGATGTAAGAAGGAAACTGATAAGAAATGGACAATAGCCTGTGATATTCATGGCAATGAACAGGTGAGTCAATCTGTTAAGGTTTTGGAATTGTGGGACACATTTGAAGCAAATATATTTTCACAATCTTATTTGGTTATGTAATACAAATGGTTTTCTGTAGCTAAAACTATCAAATCAGTAACGAAATGAATACTGATTAATTTTGAGCATTGTATTTACTACATTGTTATAGTATTATTACAACGAACATATCAATGCAAAATTAATTATAGTTTCTAATGAATTTAAGGTTTTTGTAAGAAGACCCTAAATGAAGTCAGCTTAAGATTTGAAACTACATTGGATAATTCCATGTACTCTCTTCTAACTGCTGTAAAATTACATATCAGCTTAGTGATAAGTTTACAGAATTGAAGAGACCATTCTATTTAAACACATGCATCAATCAAATTGTTTAAAGTTTGCTTTCTTGAATTCTAACTGGTGATAAAGCTAAATTAAGCTTAGATTGTATAATGATTAATGAAACATTATGATTCTTAATTGTTAATATTATATATTGTAGTTAAAAAACCTGATTCTAGAGATATTGAGATTTACAGCTTTATTGATAGAACATAGTTTTTCTCGACATTTATATAATTCTATGGAACATTTAACTACTCTATTGTCAGCATGTGATATGACTATAGTACTGGGGGTTTTAAACCTTCTTTATGTATTCAGGTTAGTATTTTATTTTGTATAGATGTCTTTAAAGATGTTCTTCTTAAGAATGATATAAATTTAACCCTGAGATGAAGAATATCACTAATTTGAATTGTGTTGTAAATAACTTTTAAATCGGCAGAGAAGCAGATAAGATGCACATTTAAGAATTTCTCTCACATCCTCGACTATGTGTTGATGCTCATTAATAAAAAAAGATAGTGGACAATATTGACAATTTGTAAGTATAGTTTTATTATGTATTTCAGCAAAAGATCCAATTTTATTACAAGACTGTATCCTGAGAAGAAACAAGCCTTAGTTGTTAGATTAACACATTTAGCAGAGGTATGAAAATAAAAATCCAATAGAGGGCAAATAAAATACTTTCTCGTAATTTTGATAGGCATTATTTATCTTCATCATTATTGATATGATAGTATTGATGATCGTCTATAATGCTAAATTAAATTGTGATTCCCTACCAGGGGTTTATTATTGATATAATTTTAAACCTGGGATATTCACCCACTACACGTAATATTTATAGCATGAGCTAACGAATTTAAACACTGAGCCCGAAGGCCTTTTAGCATAATCTTGTGTGTTTGGAGGAAATTAAAATCTGTTTGATTTTATTTTAGAGTTGGGGTGGTAAAGAAAATGGTTTTGGTTTAGCTGAATGTTGTAAAAATAGTCCTCTTTCTGTAAGTAGAATTACCTTTTGTCTTGACACTTCATAACTGTATCAAAATGATTTGCCTACCTTTCCTTCTTTGAGTCGAGCATCACAAAAAAAAATTGAAAACTATAGTTTTAAGTGATATAAACAATTGTCTAGTATCAATGTATTGAATTCTGATTAAAAGTTTACTTTTAATTTTTCAGAGTTTCCCGACCAGTGCTACAACGCTACATTTCGAATTTTATTTTGAAAATAAAGAAGAAAAAGAAAAATCTGGCAAAAAGGTGCGGTTTTGGGGTTTTTTTTTCTCCTTATTCTTGTGAAATCTTGAAGTATTATGTCTCCTATAAATTTACATGGAACCTTGGATGAAATGATATACTTTATTTTGTTTCAGGCTGTCTCTAATATTGTACAGAATATACATATGGATAATGTTGATGAATCAGAAAAATTACCATCTGAAATAATGGAAGAATTAATAGAATATTTCAATATTCCTCCCAATAAACTGGTATGTTTCCCTGTTATCTCACAATCTACAAGGAATGTGTTTGCTTCAATATGATATTTTTATACGCCCACACGTAAGATGGGCATATATTGTAATCACCCCGTCGGTCTGTCGGTCTGTCCGTTCACATTTGGCTCGTGCTCACTCTACAGGCTACAGTTCTTTATGGATCCTTTTGATTTTTATTTTGTATGTCAATGTTGTTATGAAGATGATCCCTATTGATTTTCGTGATGATCGGATAATTTTTCACTGAAATATCGTGTCTGACTTGACGTTTTTCTCTATTAGCTATATTGTGCATTTCGTGCTCACTCTACAGGCTACAATTTTTTACAGATTCTTTTGATTTTTATTTTGTGTGTCAATGTCATTATGAAGATGATCCCTATTGATTTTCGTGATGATCGGATAATTTTTCACCGAAATATCGTGTCTGACTTGGCGTTTTTCTCTATTAGCTATATTGTGCAACTTGTGCTCACTCTACAGGCTACAATTTTTTACAGATTCTTTTGATTTTTATTTTGTATGTCTATGTCGTTATGAAGATGATCCCTATTGATTTTCATGATGATCTGTCGATTTTCATGATGATTGGATAATTTTTCACCGAAATATCGTGTCTGACCTGACGTTTTACTCTATTAGCTATATTGTGCAACTCGTGCTCACTCTACAGGCTACAATTGTTTACAGATTCTTTTGAGTTTTATTTTGTATGTCAATGTCATTATGAAGATGATCCCTATCGATTTTCGCGATGATCGGATAATATTTCACCGAAATATCGTGTCTGACTTGACGTTTCACTCTATTAGCTATATTGTATAACCCTGTAATCACTAAAGACTGTTTAATCATTTCTGACAGCTGCCAGTGGGCGTATGTTACCTTGCCTGGCAAGCTATCTTTAAAGAATTAATTTTGGTAGAAAGATTTTTTTCCTCTGAACATATTACATTGCAATTTATATTAAAGAAAAACCATCTTTATATCTGAAGATGTAATTAAGATATTACTCAATTCATGATTTTTCTGTTCCAGACATTACTATATACACATATTAGATTGGCCCATTTATTTTCTAAGTATGAAGCTCGGGTACAATGTGTACAAGCCAGATTACAGGCAATTTCCATTTTAGGTGAGATAGTTTGTTTTAAAGCATGTTTCTAACAATTAGCCTACATGAAGAAGGTTAAACAGCAAATAAATTCTATATCGATGCTAGAAATTTAGTTCGATTATTTATATTGATGAGATCTTGGACTTGGATGTTCATTGGATGAAAGGTTTTTGCGTTACTGCCCTTGACTAAGGCCAAACGCGTAAAATTTAGAATTTGTTTGTGAACACAAGAGAGATTACAGTTTTCATCAGATTTGAATGAAATTTTGTGTGACCATTTATAATGATGAGATCTTAGTCAAGATTGAATTTTTCTTGTTCTTGAAAACATGTTCAATTTTTAGCTCATAAACACTCTAGGCGGCACAATTCTTGACAAATATTGACGAAACTTTGTGTGAGTGTTCGTTATCACTCAAAGATAAACGGTATAGAAAATAAGAATTCAAAAATATTTAGGAGTAACTGCCCCTGTTCTTGAGAAAGCGTTCAATTTTTAGCTCATAAGTACTCTTGGAAGGCACAATTCTGGATTGATTTTGACGAAACTTGGCATGAGTGTTTGTTTTCACCTAAGGATCAAGCCAATTGAAAATCAGAAAAATATTTAGTATAAGTTATTGCCCCTGTTCTTGAGACCGTGTTCAATTTTTATCTCGTAAACATTCTACAAGGTTCAATTCTTGACAGATTTTAACGAAACTTGTTGAAATTGTTTTAGCTCTCAAACTCTAAAAGACGTGATTCTTGACAGATTTTGACAAAACTTGGTGTTTATTATTCAGAACGACGCTGAAGGTTGAATTTACCTTCTTGAGTTTTCAATAGCTAAAAATTTAACACGTTTTAAAGAACAAAGGCAATAACTCATACTCAATATTATGCAGTATTGCCCTAAAGAGTTTAAAAGAAGTGTATGAATATTTCATACTGGTAATTGTTACTGTACTGACAATATTTTTTTTTCAAAACCAAAGCTGCTAGTGGGCGTATATTACCTTGCCTGGCAAGCTATCTTTGAGTTATTGCTGTCGACTCAGGAAATTAATTTGTTTGTGAACACTAAAGAGAAATTAAAATCTTTATATTGTGATCATCTATCACAATGAGATCATAGTCAAATTTGACGATTTTTCGATCAACAGAATTTGAGTTATTGCTTTTGACTAATTAAAAACACATCAAATTTGTTGGCTTGTTATCGCGATAGAGGTGACAGTTTATGTCAGAATATTATTAAATTTTGTGTGTTTAAATCAAAAATATCTTCCACAAATTAGATTTTTGGTACAATTTAACGCAGATTGGCGACCACTCTTGATGTACCGGTACTGAAAATGTATGAGGGAAGTGGGCGTATTTTGAAAGGCAACTACTTGTTAATACAAGGACTTGGATTCTTATTGATGGAAACCAAATGTGCATTTTTATACGCCCACACGTAAGATGGGCGTATATTGTAATCACCCGTCCGTCCGTCCGCCCGCCCGTTCACATTTGGCTCGTGCTCACTCTACAGGCTACAGTTCTTTATGGATTCTTTTGATTTTTATTTTGTATGTCAATGTTGTTATGAAGATGATCCCTATTGATTTTCGTGATGATCGGATAATTTTTCACCGAAATATCGTGTCTGACTTGACGTTTTTCTCTATTAGCTATATTGTGCAACTCGTGCTCACTCTACAGGCTACAATTTTTTACAGATTCTTTTGATTTTTATTTTGTGTGTCAATGTCATTATGAAGATGATCCCTATTGATTTTCGTGATGATCGGATAATTTTTCACTGAACTATCGTGTCTGACTTGACATTTTTCTCTATTAGCTATATTGTACAACTCGTGCTCACTCTACAGGCTACAATTTTTTACAGATTCTTTTGATTTTTATTTTGTATGTCTATGTCGTTATGAAGATGATCCCTATTGACTTTCATGATGATCTATCGATTTTCATGATGATCGGATAATTTTTCACCGAAATATCGTGTCTGACCTGACGTTTTACTCTATTAGCTATATTGTGCACCTCGTGCTCACTCTACAGGCTACAATTTTTTACAGATTCTTTTGATTTTTATTTTGTATGTCAATGTCATTATGAAGATGATCCCTATTGATTTTCGCGATGATCGGATAATATTTCACCGAAATATCGTGTCTGACTTGACGTTTCACTCTATTAGCTATATTGTGCAACCCTGTAGTCACTGAAGACTGTTTAATCATTTCTGACAGCTGCCAGTGGGCGTATGTTATCTTGCCTGGCAAGCTATCTTATTTATTATATTTCAGTTTATTCTAATTCAATACAAGAAAATTTAAATATAATACTTTACCCTGGATTAATAGAAGAATTAGTAGATATTGTAGAATTAAAGGAAGAAGGACTGGTTGTAAGAAATTTTGATTACAATAATTATTATGTCATCTGCCCAGGAAAAATTGCAACTTGCTTACTCTGCTTAATCACTTGTCAAAAGACACATGTTCGCTGAATGCATTGACTGATGTGTGGTCATTCTTAGCACAGAAAACTGACATCATGCCAAGCATAGTCTGGTATGCCAAGTTGGTATGTGTTGATATCTTTGAAACATTCATGTTTTATCTATGATACAAGAATAAAAACTTTATTTTGTTATCTAGGATATAAAAGCTGCTGCCCTTAGAACTCTGACTTCTATTATTCATCTAGAGAGAAATCCAAAGTAAGAAGATTTTATATTATTTTGTACATTGCTTTTATATTACTTCAAAAAGTAAATAACCTAACAATTGTTGTTTTAGTTACTGTCTTGAGATGCAACCTTTTCTCTATTGAAATTAATGTGACTGTCAACTCAGAGATTTAACTTTCATAACCTAGATAGATATACATATTCTAGTTTTCCCAATACTTTGAATCTTTGATGACAATTGTATGTATTGTAGATTAAACAGTATTATTGATGCAACCGGTGCCTCATCTTATCATGGTTTTTTACCTGTATTAGTTCGTACCTGTATTCAACATATGATAGGTATGTCTTCATTAGACCTTTTTGCACCAACTTCTAGTATAGAGTAGAAGATTTATAAGGCAATAAGTCAAATTTGTTCTAACTTACTGTTGTCATTGAGCTATAAGTCATTACAGTTTTGAACTTGTATGAAAATATAGTGATTATGATATCAATAGGCATTATTTATCTTCATCATTATTGATATGATAGTATTGATGATCGTCTATAATGCTAAATTAAATTGTGATTCCCTACCAGGGGTTTATTATTGATATAATTTTAAACCTGGGATATTCACTCACTACAATTAAAATGTTTTGTACACTTACCACATTATTTGTATTGTCAAGGAATATTTGACTGATTGTTATATCTTTATTTCAGATTCAGAATTAGATCCATTCCCTCAACAGTATGCAACTGCCCTATTTTCTTTCCTCTACCATTTAGCTAGTTATGAAAATGGTATGTTTTATTTTTGTGTGTTTTTTTTTTCAATTGATTATTTTTCTTAAATTGAACCTTAAAGTCTCCAAACATTTATATATGACTATCTATTCTTACACTATTCAAAGTTATTGATTGATTTCAGGTGTAGAAGCATTAGTATCTTGTGGTATGATGGAAGCCTTATCTAAAGTTATCAATTGGTATGCAGAAGGACAAGATCATATTACAGTAAGATTAATATTTATATTTTTATACGCCCACACCTCTCTATGTGGACGTATATTGTCAGCACCCCTGTATGTAGGTCGGTCTGTCCGTCCGTTAAAAGCAGAGTTATTGCCCTTGCCCCAAAATATTGAATATGCTATTACTCTCTTAGTTTTCAACCGATTTTGATGAAACTTAAAATGGATGTTTTTGAACCTAAATCGAAAGGTTTGAGAAAGTTTAGTTTACTTCTTATTAAATTTAAGGCTTTTTTTCAAAATTTAGGCCTCTTACATCAGTTTTGAGGAGTTATCGCCCTTTAACCTCTTTACAGTAAGTGCTTCTATCAACATCAATTGCTCGTAAACACTCCGTCTGTCCGTCAACATTTGCTTGTAAACGCTCTTAAACTAGATTTTTTGATGGAATCAAATGAAATTCAGTATTTGTATACATATTCATAAAACGAAGATCAAGTTTGAATTTGAGCTATTTTCGACCGTTAGAAGCAGAGTTATTGCCCTTGCCCCGAAATCTTGAATATGCTATTATTCTCTTGGTTTTCAACTGATTTTGATGAAACTTTAAATGAAAGGTTTGAAAAAGATTTAAGGCTTTTACAAGATTTAGGCATCTTACGTCTGTTTTGAGGAGTTATCGCCCTTTAACCTCTATACAGTAAGTGCTTCTATCAACATCAATAGCTCGTAAACACTCTAAAAACTAAGGGTTTGAAGGAATCAAATGAAATTTGGTATGATGAAACAAAGATCAGGATTGATTTTGAGCTTTTTTCGACGGTTAGAAGCAGGGTTATTGTCCTTCCCTCAAAATCTTGAATATTTACCACCCGCATGCCGTGGTGGGGCGAATATGGCTGTGGTCTACTATCTTTTTATTTTGTAACCTCCATTAAATCATGGCTTCAATTTTATTCATCAATCCCTCGTTGATTGCTTCAGTACTAGTTAGTTGAACACAATATATTGCTGTGTTTTTCAGTTTGTTACTCGTGCCGTCAGAGTTATAGATCTTATAACTAATTTAGATATGGCAGCATTTCAAGCTCATGGTGGTTTACAGGCTTTCATCAATAGATTGGAGGTAAGGGTCAAGAAAGTTACTACCTTTTATCCTTAAAGTTTAATGCATTCTTCACTTGCATGATAATATCTGTGTGATAAGTCTTACTAATGATAAGAAAAAAATTGAGGTTTATTGTAATATAATACGATAATAGATGCATTATTTATCTTCACTATTTTTTTTTTATATAGTTTTAGTGATCGTCTATAATGCTACATTAATTGAAAATTAAAGAAGTCATTAGTTTATATATAGCTAATGAATTATATAGTATTTTACACAAAATGGTAGTTATGTTGTATGACTTAATTCGGCTTATCTGTACTATTTCAAGATGAATCAAATCTTTGCCACTGAACTTTATTTACAGCATGAGGTATCAATTTGTCGTAAAGAACAACCATTTGTAATAAGACCTAAAAATAGAGAAGCCAGTGTAGATGTTGTACCTGAATCACCACCAACATTAAGTTTAATGGAGACTGATACTCATACTGCTGATACAGTATCTAGTCATCAGCATGGTACTGGTATTAATCAAGGTGCTTCAACATCTTCTGGTATAACACATGCTGCAGATCCTGAAAACTCGCCATCTAAACCAGGTTAGTGGTTTACTTAAATATCATACATTTTTAGCTCCTGGATAGCAACAGAATTTTAATGTTTTATTATAATGTGGCACTAAAGTCAACATTGTTTTAAGAGCACAAATGTTATTCAGAAATTTTTTGATAAACATTTTCGGATTTAATGCCCCTGACTAGCCAAACTTTGTCAAAATATGTCAGTTTTGATTCAGTGTCACTGAAACTTTATTTGCTCACTTGTATTCTCACTAATGTTTAATGAACAGATTTTACTTAATGGTGATAGACTATAGCATTACAGTACTTACCTTGATTGAACCAAAATGTGTCAACCTTGGTTTGTGAACACAATTCAATTAAATAACCATTTAAAAACTATGTTTATTTATTTAGGAGTGCAATGTTTTCCACAAAGAGCAGCTTTATTAAAGTCCATGTTGAATTTTTTGAAGAAAGCCATACCTGATAGAGCTTTTGCTGAAAGTATTAGACATTGTAAGTTATATTATTGCTATATTTTGTGGTTGGTGCATTGTATTTACTACATTATAATCCTATTGTTATAGTGGACATGTCAATGCTAAATTAAATTGTGATACCCTACCAGGGGTTTATTATTGATATAATTTTAAACCTGGGATATTCACTCACTACAGCTCAAATTGTTTCAAGATAGTGTCAAACGCTTGGCATGTAGTTGAAATATGTTTTATGAGAATGTTTATGAGATATTTAATGACTATATTATAGAGAATCCCTGTGTTTGTTTGAATATATGAATGAATTCAAATTTTTGCCCTTTTGAATATTTACCCTCAGCTTCCTGAGTTTTCAACCGAAAAAGTTTTAACCCCATTGTTGACCTTAAATGGTAAAGATGCAATTTCTTGTTTCGCCATCTGCAAGTTGACTGGCATATTAAACTTGATCCTGAATCTTCATTTTAGTGATGGATGGTTCTTTACCAAGATCATTAAAACATATAATAAGCAATGCAGAATATTATGGTCCTTCTTTATTTCTTCTTGGTAAGTAGTATACATGTTGTTGTGTGTTAGATTATGAATACATTGATTAGTAGCATATTAAAAGAGTGCTTTCTAATTTAAAAGGAAAGAAGGAACTAAATGTTCTTGTTATTCAATAGAAATATTTTATGTAATTTAAACAATGAAACCTGTGAGAGTACAATGTATAATACAAAATATTAAATTATATATTTTTGTAGCCACTGATGTTGTAACAGTATATGTATTTCAAGAGCCATCATTATTATCATCATTACAAGATAGTGGTTTAACTGATGTTGTCTTACATGCTCTTCTGAAAAAAGATGTAAGTTTTACATTAATTATAATCGTTTATAAAGTCAAATAATTGAATTAAGATTACTATTGAATTATTTAACATGAATTAGATGTACACTATGTGCTTGTGAAGGTACTGCCTATTTGAATAAAATTGAACTTCTCAATCAACATGATTATAAGTTAATGATTAAAATAACACCCTTGTTTTACACAGGTTCCTGCTACAAGAGAAGTGTTAGCCTCCCTACCTAATATGTTTAGTGCTTTATGTTTAAATACCAGAGGATTACAAGCTTTTGTTGATTGTGATCCATTTGATAGATTATTAAAAGTTTTATTATCACCTGATTATTTACCTGCCATGAGGCGAAGAAGTCGTAGTTCAGATCCTTTTGGTGAGTATTGAAATATATATTTCTTTGATGAAAAGAGCTGTAATTAACCTACATCTATATCTTTCTTGTGTTCTGAACCATTAATAAATGTGGGACTCATTTCTTCATCCATGATGTGCTTTCCTGAAAATCCAACTTTACAAACACCGAACGCATACCCAAACTCCAGTAAACTATATACAATTTACTAGATGACCATGTATGCTATAGTAAAATAGAATTGTATATTATAAAGATAACTAATAATTTAGTTAATCTATTACAATTCTTGGACATTAATAGTGATGTAATTCACAGTTCAAATTTGATTATAACTACATTAGACCCTTTTGTCTGACGTTTTATGAAATGGCTTGACATTCATCAAAGCACAATGAAGTGATTGAAAAAATTCTAAACACTTTATAAATTTGAAAAGAATAATCATTGATGCTTATTTTGCCTTTCTTCAGTTTATGTATTGTCTTAAAGTTGCCTTTGCTTATTTTTCTGGGTCAAATGCTTATTGTTTGATTTATTGATGTTTCTAATGAATAAATCTAGTAAATCCAATAATGAAATATATATATAAATAAATGAAAATAAGGGAACCAGACTTTAAGATTTACATTATTTGATTGTCATTGAAGGTGATACAGCTAGTAATTTAGGTAATGCTATGGATGAATTAATGAGACATCAACCAACATTACGATCACATGCTACCATGGCTATCATTAAGGCAAGTTGGTTTCATTTTGTATAGTGGATATATGATTTTATTCTTTCGTAAATCAGTAAGTCATATGCCAAAAATTGTCGCAATATTCCTTTTTTCCACAATACTACAGAAAATGACAAAAAATAACTTTTTGTTCATACCCAGCTTTGATTTTTCTACGGATCAATACTTAAAACTAATATATCTAGCATACCCAAACTCCAGTAAACTATATACAATTTACTAGATGACCATGTATGCTATAGTAAAATAGAATTGTATATTATAAAGGTTACTAATAACTTAGTCTTTTACAATTCTTGGACATGATTTTGAATATACCCTTTAATTTCAGAAGAAATTTAATTTTCTTTTTTATTTTAAACATATTCTTTTACTGGTAATCTTTATAGTTATTGGAAAAAGTTGGGGAAATGGGAAGAGATAGTAAATATATTTGTTATAAACAACCAACTAAATTAGATATTAATATCAACATGTCTGTGAGATCACCACAACCTACTGATGGTGGATCTTCAGATGAAGAGGAGGAAGAAGAAGAATTAGCTACTCAAGCTACTACTACTAGTAATAAACCAGATACATTATCTACTGATTCTATGCAGTATGTTTCTTTTAAATCTTCTTCACAATACTGTATTATTTTCAGTAACCTCACTGTACATCTGAAGCATGTTAAAAGTTGTTCATTTCACCAACCCCTTACCAAAGTGTATTTGGACATGATGCATTATCTTTATGCAAGCTGTTCCATATCAAGGTTCTAATTTGTGATTATTATAATTGTTTTAGAACAACAGAAACTCCAGAAGAAAAACAAGCTATACCACTGACTGATTATGTTTTAAATGTGGTAAGTGTCAATAATATATTTGTTTACTGTTTTAATTACCTTAGTATTTGTACTTATCCATTAAAGGTCATTAAGGCATACACAGTTTATGTTTTATGTGAAATGGCACCATGTATGTAAGCTAATGCTAAGAATAAATGTCTATTTTTTATAAATACGCTTTAGTGAACTTTAACAGTAAGTACATCATGTATTTCCTTATTGGTCACATAAATTTGCAAAAAAACTGCAATGATATCTCAAATAAGACACTAGCATCCTATTTTCCACGTAAGTGCTGGATGTTATTTTGCTAAATTTTGATTCTTAACATCAAATATTCACGAATAAATATATGTTCTGTGAATTTGTGAATAATGTTCAAAACATCATAGATACAATCTAAAAAGGGGGAATGATTTTACTCTTTGTTGATATCAATCTATTTCTGTTGCAGATGAGATTTGTGGAAGCTATATTAAGTAATAATTCAACTGATGATCATTGCCGAGAATTTGTCAATCATTTTGGTGTAACACCATTATTACGTATACTTGGTCTACCTAATTTACCAATAGATTTTCCTGCCTCACCAGCCTGTCAAGCAGTAGCTACTGTCTGCAAGGCTATCTTGGTGAGTATTATTCTATATTCGTATAGGTTTCAAAGACAGTATGTTGAACTTACACTTGACTGTTTCAGGCTGGATTTAGTTATTTTAATAGACTACAAGTCGTTGGGCATTATTTATCTTCATCATTATTGATATGATAGTATTGATGATCGTCTATAATGCTAAATTAAATTGTGATTCCCTACCAGGGGTTTATTATTGATATAAATTTAAACCTGGGATATATTCACTCACTACACAATAATTGTTGTATTTTCAGTAAACTTTTTTTTTTTCTACAACTTTGACCATGTCATATTTCTTTTTTTTTTTAGACTTTATCAAGAGAACCTCAAGTTTTAAAACAAGGATTAATACAACTAAATGAAGTATTAGATAGTTTAAAACCATTACATAAACATCTAGACCCTCCTGGTGGATCAGTGTTATTGAGAGAATTAGCTGGTGTTAGTGGTTCTGTTGATCCCACCCTCTCACCACAAGCTACACCACTACTCCACGCTTTATCTGCTGCTCATGCTTATATTATGATGTTTGTACATGTTTGTCGTCTGGGACAGGTAAGAACATTTATTTTTGGCCTTGTATGCTATGCCCATTTCTGCTATCCAGTTTAAAGATAATGATTTTATAATGAATTAACTTATAATATGATTCTTGTCTTGAAAAACTGAAGTTTGTTTTTTCAGAATGATATTCGTACAATATCTGTGAGTCATTGGGGTAGTGAATTAGGTTTGGAGGTGTTAGAAGGATTGAGTCAGTTATACACATCCTTAGTTTGGGAGAGCACAGTGTTATTAGCTTTATGTAGTGAAGACATCTTACCGCCCGGATGTGATTTTGGCCGAGCTGATATAGACAAGATACTGCCTAAAGATGTGAAAGGAGATAAAGACTTAAAAGAAGGTGAAGAAACCTTGAGTCATAGTTCAGGAGAAATGGGTAGTAATGGTGTGAGTGTTGCAATGGAATCTCTTAGTACTTCTGAAAATCCTGAAATTCCTATGGATGTCTCAGAGCCATTGATTGCTGATAAGGATGCAAAAAAATCCAAACTCTCGCCTGTATTACAAGCTCAAATTAAACAGTTAAAACCGTTATTATCAGTGTCATCCCGTTTGGGACGGTCGTTGGCAGAATTATTTGGGCTATTAGTGAAATTATGTGTGGGTACACCATTACGACATCGGCGTTCTCATCAACTTCCTCCAACACCAACAGCACCTACTCCTGCTGCTCAGTCAGTAGCTAAAGCTTTGACTAAATTATTAGCTAATGGCTTATCTTGGACACCACCATCTTATGCCCCTGTTCCTAAACTAAGGTTTGTATGATCAGTTTTTATTTGATTTTCCTTTATGCATCTGTCTAGTTGTTCGGATGGGACAATAATCCCTCAACAGTTGGAAATCGAAAAAGAGCAGGCTAATGCCGCTGTCCTGGCAAAATTTCCCTCATCACACCCTGCATGACGTTGCCCGTCTTCATTAGCCCACATGGTGCAGAAAAGTAGGATGTATAACTCCATTCATTTCCTTTACGCATCTGCTTTATAGCATGGGACCCAAAATTGCAAGTCTAAAGCATGTCCAGAATATTTATGTATTTTATCAGTTAAAGTGTAACAAATCATTACATTATACAGCAATATATAATGTTAGTTGAAATGATGATTTTAAACTACAGTTTAAGTATTAACAATACTGGAACTGAACTGTTAACAATTACTCAAATTCTCTAAATTGTATTTCAGGTTAACATTTCTAGTATGTTCTGTTGGTTTTACATCACCAATGTTATTTGATGAGAAGAAACAACCCTATCATTTAATGTTACAGAAATTTGTCAGTTCTGGTGGTCAAGATTCTTTGTTTCAGTGAGTTAGCTAGCTACTAATTACTCAATTCAATATATAAAACAGTCTGACATTTAAAAGTTGGTTGTCATTGTTACATGATAATGAAACTGAGATGAGTGTAATTAAAAACTGGCTTTTCTACTTCAGAGCATTTTCCTGGGCTTTATCAATGGATGGGAAGGTGCCTTTAACTGCAGGAATAGAACACTCTGATCTTCCAGGTATGTTTGTATTAAGTTAATGGAATCTTGTAATGAAATTAAATTTTCTATAATCCAAAATAGATAAAGTAAAATTATCCTTTGTAACGAAGTTGAAATCAAAATCCAACAACATGGAATAAAAGATTAACCAAACTTTCTCAGCCATTAAGGTATAATTGTCAAATTTGAAATTTGTAGATGGGTCTGGAGAGTTTTTAGATGCCTGGTTAATGCTGGTAGAGAAGATGGTCAATCCTAAAACTATATTAGAGTCAGTCCATGTATTACCAGTTAAATCAAATCAACCAACCTTTACACCATTTAGTCCTGTCCAATACTTAATTTCAACACAGAAGGTGAGAAGGTTATAAATCTCTGCTTTCAAAACAAAATTCTGAATTTTTGCTGCAAATGATAAACGTCCTGTCATGAATATGTTTAATGTGATAAAACTTTGGTAGAGGTTTAGATTTCTAAAATCAAGTTTATTGTAAATAAACTTAATCACTCTTAAATATATCTATTTATTTATATACAGGCTGCATTCAATGCTGTAATGAATTTGTGGGGTAAACAACCATTAAAGATTTATGGTAGTAGAATGTCAGAATCTATGTTAGCTATTCTGTGTCACATTATAAAAGGAGAAACTATCATAAAGGTAAGAAGTTAATTTAATTTAATTTAACTTGTGTATAATATTGCTTTGTTGGTGATAGATCTCAGAGCTACTATTTATGGACGCTTGAGCATACCCAAACTCCAGTTAACTATATACAATTTACTAAATGACCATGTATGCTATAGTAAAATAGAATTGTATATTATAAAGATAACTAATAACTTAGTCTTTTACAATTCTTGGACACAAATTTGAATGTTTCAAAAGTGAAAATGTTACAGAAGAGCTACTTCAAAATGAATTAGGTTACTTTATATATAAATACACAGTATTTTACATGTACATATCTCAAAAAATTACAGGAAGCATTAGCTAAAGAAAGAGAAGAAAAACCAGAAACAAGTACTGATTCAACAACACCAGCTACAACTGTAGCTACAGGAGCAAGTGTTAGTAGTGGTAGCAGAAGATTATTACCAGATACTGATTTATATACACCACAAAATATACAACAAGTTAGTTCTAGTTTGATTATTTATTACTTTAAGAATCAATTAACTTTTCAAATCAATAGATAATGTAAATAATACTAATAAATTCTCAATACCAGCTGGTCCTCGGCCAAACCTAGGTATTGTTCTTTCTAAGATTTTGTGTCCATTTACAGATGGGTTGACTGGAACAATGAGGAAGATGTCTTATTCAAGGTCACCAGACTTTCACATGTAGATGGAGATTAATTTGTTGGGCGTATGATGTCAAATTCGCTAAGAACAACTAATACAGTCTGTCCTCTTGAATAAACAATGTATGAAAGCTGTATTTGAGATAGATAATATCTCAATATGATAATGTGTTATAATTAAAATTGTAGTTGATGGATATGGGATTCACTAGAGAACATTGTGCTGAAGCTTTGATGCATTCTGTGAGCTTAGAGCAGGCCACAGAATATATATTATCACACCCTCCACCAGCTGTCCCTTCAACAGTATGTATCAGTTTTTTTTTTTATCTTGTTCTTGATCCATGAAAATTCATGTGGCTATACTAGCCTGTTGTAGCTGTATGATTAAAGCTAAGTGTTTCTTGTATTATGACATGTTAAATTCGAATGTATTGTTATAGCTGTTAAATAAATAATTTTGTTTCTTTTAAATATAGGTAATGCAAGCCAGTAACCCTGAGGCTGATAACCCCAGTACTAGTGGTGGTAATAATGAAGAATTAACAGAAGATGATCAGGTGATGCAAGCTATAGCTATGTCTTTAGGACAAGATGTTGTTATGTCAACTGATCAGGTATCCACATTCTCTCCATAACCATTATTACCCAGTTGTATTTAGCTGGTTCAATGATGAATATTAACAGACAAGCATATATCTGAATTACTTGTTGATAATTATATCTGAGAACTTTTTATATTTGTATAGTGCTCACACAAAAGCTGATTTTTACCATTCGACTATTTGATTTGCATACGAATAATCGACGATATTTTCAATTGAAAAGTTGCTTGAAAAATCAGCTATTTACTGGCAATTACGACTGATTTCGCCAGTCTTTCCGACTGTATGATAGACTCACATTGTAACAACTCATGATCTTTCATGTCTTTAAAGCAGGGATTATTTTACTTTTCTATAACCTCTTGATGATCGATGAAGTGGTGAAACGATTGCTAATTGATAAAATGAATAAGAAGATAACCCTCCAAAAAATAAATGAAACCATAAGTGACCTACCAATCTGATTGGACAACATCAGCAGATGCCTTTTTATTTGCCCCACTATCTTTATACCAGCTAATCAATTTCTTCCTATCATTAAAAAAATTTAGACTTGACTAGACAGTATAAATAGTCCTGACACGGCGAACATCTCAAAGCAATGTTCTGTAGCAAGCCATTGGCCGTCTGAAACTTGCGTAAGCGATGTTGAAAAATATTTTCTGTACTCCTGATGTTGTGTCACATTTATGTACTTTAGCACATAATGATAAGAACATATTTCCAAGATTACAAAGTGTGAAGAGATACGAATATGTAAAAAGACTGTGGCATATTTGGACGATCAAAACTTTTAACGTCAATAAATAAGTTAATAGTAAAATTATAGTCCTACGCCATCTCACCTTGGACAAACTACTGTTTCCTCAAGAGTTCTGACAAATATCAGTCGGTCGACAGTATGAGGATCCAATGTAGCCCTTTTCGTGTGGAAGTCACATAAAAGACAAAGTTAGCAGATCAACCTTATTGCCAGGGAAAATTTCCAAAACTATGGAATGGTTTTCGGAATGAACTTTTTTTACAAATCGAGTTAGTCAATGTACGTGCGAATAATCGAATGGTAAAATCCGATTCGAATATTCGCAAAAAAGGATTTGAATTTAACTATTCGACTATTTGTGTGAGCACTAATTAATATAATAATATGATATATTATATAATTATTATATGATAATTTGATATATAATATCTGAATCTGATAACAGCAAGTTACAATGATGAATAGTTAACAGACAAGCATATATCTGAATTACTTGTTGATAATTATATCTGAGAACTTTTTTATATTTTTATAATATCTGATAATTAGCTAGTTACAATGATGAATATAGATAGACAAGCCTATATCTGAATTACTTGTTGATAATTGTATCTGAGAACTTTTTTATATTTTTATAATATCTGATAATTAGCTAGTTACAATGATGAATATAGATAGACAAGCCTATATCTGAATTACTTGTTGATAATTATATCTGAGAACTTTTTTATATTTTTATAATATCTGATAATTAGCTAGTTACAATGATGAATATAGATAGACAAGCCTATATCTGAATTACTTGTTGATAATTATATCTGACAACTTTTTTATATTTTTATAATATCTGATAATTAGCTAGTTACAATGATGAATATAGATAGACAAGCATATATCTGAATTACTTGTTGATAATTATATCTGACAACTTTTTTATATTTTTATGATATCGGAATCTGATAATCAGGTAGTTACAATGATGTATATTAACAGACAAGCATATATCTGAATTGAAACTTTTCGATAATTAATTAACTGTATATTAAGTATATAACAAAAACACTGCTTTTTAGAAAACTGAAAGTGAAGAAAGGAAACAAGAAATAGAGGAACCATTAGATAAATCAGTTTTAGATAATTTCACTGAAAATATCTTACCAGGTATGTGCAAATGAATTAGTGTACCTCTTACCATTGTCTGTCAAATGTGGATAACATTTCTTGATCTATGCACAAACATCAGATAAATGATATAACTATGAAAGCAACTATTAGGCAATACAAAATAAATAGTATGTTTTACAGGCCTTTTTTTTAAAAATCCGAGCGAGGAGGTCGAATTTATTATTTATTATTTATAAGCACTTTTTTAGATTTTTAACTGGAATAAATCAGAGCGAGCGAAAGTATTCATTATTTATTTCCACAAAATAATTTCCATTCGTAGGCAACATTTAGGCATTTCTGGAGTTGAATTATTAATAGTCAACAGAAGTACAAAAACTTATGACAATTCAACACTTCCTTCACATATACTTTGAACTTGTATTTATTTGATTAAATCCATTAATTAACTAACTTAAGCCAAGGTGAAGTTTGTAAAAAATGTCAATATAATTTTAAAAATGTAAATAATATAAAGGGATAATAGTGCAGTTGTGTAACCTATTTTCGTGGATATAAGAATTCAACACCGAATTTTGTCAAAGTTAAAAAAACGAAATTTCTTTTTTATGTCGCCCATGTAAATTATTAAACATTTCCGGAAATCCACAAATAATAGGTTTCCACGAAATTAGGTTACTTGACTGTGCTCAAAGTTTGACAGTAGGTTGTAAACTAGTAGTACTGATTAGCACAATAGCTAAACAATTCCAGTTTCTGAAAAGTATGATAAAATGAATTGTGAAAGTGCCTCATTAAAGTTGGGTTTTGTTATTGTTCTTGGACAAATCATGCTTATTGTTTGATGTTTGTAATGAAATATCCAAAGATATCTACCGCTTCTGACAATGATGCACTTAAGGTGCATTCTTGTAGACTTGTTTTGGTCCAACGCATGCAGAACTGGAATAATTATCAAGATTAATGTTTTGATTGTCAACTTAAAATGTGTTAACAATTTGTTTAATAGTGCTTCCTTCAGCAAACTTATTATCTTCCAATGGTTAATTGTCAAAATCAACATCACTTTTAAGTGATATAAAAAGAACAATGGCTTTTAGCGGTGATTTTTAACTTTTATGAGAATTATTAGATCTAGAAAAACGTGTTCTAAACCATTTCCGGTTTTATGAAAATAACTCAAGGGAAATTATTTTAAATATTAAAATTAAATATTAAAATATTCAAGGGGAAGGGGAAATAACTCTATTTTACACATTATTTTGGTGGAACGCGCACATTATTTATTAATTACTTCAAAATGTCAATAAATAGATTTGAAGCTTGGGGTATTTTATTGGAGTGCGCGGGGCCTGTAAAACAGACTATTTATTTTGTATGGTCTTTTATAGCTTGTTATAAGATGTTATATTATAAATTATCAAAATATTAACAATTACAATAACTACTTTCTTATAGGTTGTATGTCACTATTAGATACACTACCTGAAACAGTATATCGTGTATGTGATTTATTAGTTGTTGTTACTAATAGAAACGGTGAACAGTGGAGACAATCTATGTTAAAATCACTAGTTTTACAGGTAATATTAACTTTTTACAGTTATTCACATGTTGTACAAGTATGAATTAACTCGAACCAGATATTTAGAGAAAAAATCAAGTAAACATTGTATGCATACCCAAACTCCAGTAAACTATATACAATTTACTAGATGACCATGTATGCTATAGTAAAATAGAATTGTATGTTTTAAGATAACTGATATTTTAGTTTATCTATTACAATTCTTGGACAAAGGCATTAGTCACTTTTGTCTTCAAGTGTTATTTAGAAATTGATAAATTATTGGAAAATTCAGTGAAAGTTATATATGTCTTGAATGCCTCTTTGTAGATTTGTGAATTTGGTGAAAAATTATGTAGTCAGATGTGTGTTATAGAAGATATAGATAAGAGCAATGAGAGTTCAGATTCAGCTAAATTTGCTACCAGACTACATGTCCTTAGTTTATTATTTGAGGTAAATTAAGGTTTTATTGATGCTATATACATCTAGTGAAATTTTAGGCTGTCCTGGTATAGAAAGGAAAACATTTTATGTTATGGAATGCTAGCAAATAAATATTTAATTTCTGTTGGCTACAAATTTTATCAAATCATGAAATGCTCAAAATTGACCCTATTTCAGTTAAGAATATTTTTATGAGCATCCAAAAATGTTAAAAGCTAGAGCTTTCATACAATTTATTAATCTTGTAGAGAATAATGCAATCTTTTATAATTTATGCATTGAAATTGTATGTTGAATGAATTGTTTCTTTAAAACCAAAACACACCAAAAAAGGTTATGTAGGACAGAGGCTAGTTTTTATACGCCCACATGAATATGTGGTCGTATATTGTCGTTGCCCCTGTCCTTCGGTCCGTCCGTCAACATTTCTTGTGAGCACTATAGAGACTACAGTTTTTATCTGATTTTGATAAAACTTGGTGTGATGCTTTAGATTGATAAGATCTCGGTCAAGTTCGAATTTGACATATTTTCGATGAACGGTTTTTGAGATATTGCCCTTGACTTAGAACGCCTTGAAATTTGTTAAAAATTGTTCGTGAGCAGGATTGAAGCTACAGTTTTCATCCGATTCTGATGAAACTTGGTGTAATCATTGGAATTGATAAGATCTCGGACAAGTTCTAACTTGATGCATTTTCGATGAACAGTTTTTGAGTTATTGCCCTTGACTTTGTTAAAACGTGTTGAAATTTGTTAAAAATAGTTCGTGAGCAGGATTGAAGCTACAGTTTTCAACCAATTCTGATGAAACTTGGTGTGATCATTGGAATTGATAAGATCTCGGACAAGTTTTAATTTGACGCATTTTCTCTCAACGGTTTTTGAGTTACTGCCCTTGACTTTGTATAAACGCGTCAAAATGTGTTTGTGAGCACTATAGAAGCTACAGTTTTCAACCAAATTTGATCAAACTTGTTATGATCATTGGAATTGATAAGATCTCGGACAAGTTCTAACTTAAGGCATTTTCAATGAACGCTTTCGGAGTTATCGCCCTTGACTTTGTAAAATGCTTCAAAATTTGTTTGTGAGCACAATAGAAGCTACAGTTTTCAACCGATTTGGATG